GGAACACCAGATCCATTCACATCTACGGGAACACCACGACGGTCGAGCTCTGAAGAGCGCCAGGAGGATGGCCCCAAACAGAATGACGCAGGAAACTCAGGAAGTGATCAGCAATCAACATCCCCGGATAGCGTGAAGCCACTGCCTCCTTTGCCGAAACAGCCCGTCTCAAAACAACTCCAGCCTCACGTAGTGTCACCGACCCCGTCGGAGTTTCTTCTCGTGACTGGAACAGAAGAATCAGAGCCGGGTGTTGGTATATTTGTTGACATGGACGGCGAGGTTGTGCGAGGTACCATTAACTTCCACCGGTATCCGAAGTCTGTTGTCATTGATGCCGGCGAGGACGATCAAGCTCTTCAGCCAAGCGAAGATGCCAGGGAAGAATTTGTTCTTGCTCTCATTGATATCAAGGACGACGGGGCAAACCGTACCCAGTTAGAAATCCAGCGATGGGACGATGATCCAGTGGAGCTTGAACGGCACAAGAGGTGGATGGAGATTCCTTCCTCTACAGAGACTGAATCATCTCCTGTTGGATTTCAACACACTCTCAGTGCCAGTCGCTTGGAGCTAGATGAAGTGGGGAACCTCCTACGCATGAGCCGATTTAAGAACCCTGCACTGCCACCACATGTGTCCATGGCAGATTCCAGAACACAGGCCTCAATCGAACAGCTACAAAGGGAAAAAGAGCTCTTCGAATCACAAGAAATGACAGATTCGGATGCTTCCAAAAGGGGGGAAACTGGGGCAGCCCGGGACTGGGAAACCCAGCGAAACGAAGATGAAGCAAAATTCGCACATCGGCTTGGAAAGCTTCAAAGCAGTTTGATTTTGTGGTCTGGTTCTCAAATTTGGCGACTCGTTAAGAACCCTTTGGTCATTCAACTCGAGGGTATTCTGCAAAATGCACAGCAAACTGATTCTAGCGGGCACACGCTTTTGCAAAGAGGTGCGGTTATTGATTTAGTATTTTCTATACAAGATGCAGAGCCTAAAAATGAGTCCGAGTTCATTGGTTTGGGGTATGTCAAACAGAAAGCGAGCCTGATGTTGTATGGGGATCTGCTTTCCATGCACCCAGACCACCGTGGAGATGCAGTGATACAGAACACCGAACATGCAATTTTGGCTGGCAACTTGGACCCGCGTCTGGCATTGCTTTTTATCCCCCTTCTCAGATGCGAAGTTCTCCAAGGCCCGCAGGGTATTTGGATACACGCTGGTCTCGCAACAGTCACAGAACAATATTTGGAGCTGGTTGCAAATACCAATGACCAATCAGTTGGACCCGCAGCCGTGCACAGTCCCGTTTTGAATATGGTCAAGCGGTTCCTTTTCTCGTGGCAACAGAAGAGAGGTTACGGCAGCATCACCGATGAGACTTATGTTCTTGATAGCACTGATGCTGCCCTCTTGCACCTTCTTCTCGAACAAGATGCTCACATTGATCCAGAGCAGCGAGCATCCTCACGAATCCGCTCGGAACTCAACAAGCTAGTTGACGGCTGGAAGGGCAATTTTGACCGTGCAGTGGCACTTCTAGAGCAATACCAGCGACTTTATATACTGAGTCGCTTATACCAGAGCCAAAAGAAGTCCCGCAATGTTCTCAAGACATGGCGCAGAATTATTGATGGGGAGAAAGATGCTGGCGGCGAACTCACTGGCGCTAGCAGTGAGAAGCAGATGCGGAAGTACCTGGTGAAGATCAAAGATGTGCAGCTAGTGGAGGAGTATGGATCCTGGCTTGCAGGACGAAACCCCAGTCTGGGCATCCAAGTCTTTGCAGACAACTCCAGTAGGGTGCAGCTGGAGCCAATCGACGTGATTGCGCTACTAAAAGAGCGCGCTCCCAACGCTGTTCAATTCTATCTGGAGTATCTCGTCTTTACCAAACATGTGAGTTACCTCGTGCACGCCTCTACCGCGGTAATCAACTAACCCAGAACACCAGCAAACCCAATACGCCAATGACCTCATCTCATATTACCTCGACGAGGTGCTTTCAGTCCTCGAGTCTGATCCTGCCGCGCGAGCTTCTCTCTCCGACTCCTACTCTACGTATCGAGCAATGCGTCCTCCTAAGCCTACCTATCTGAACTTCATCACGGCCAACACCCCCAAAGAGTCGTGGTGGCAGTCTCGACTGCGCCTGCTACAGATACTAAGCGGCACCTCAGGCACACAGTTTTCATCTACTGCCCTCCCATCCGGGATCACTTACTCGATTCCTGCCGTCCTGGAACGCATCGAGCCCTTCCAAAATGAGCTTGTCTCAGAAAGCATTATCCTGGATGGCCTGCAGGGCCACCACCGCGCTGCTCTACGTCTCCTCACTCACGGGCTAGGTGACTATGACTCTGCAGTCCGATACTGTCTTTTCGGCGGCCCTCGCAGCTCCACATCTTCTGGCGGCGCCCAACCCGAACTTGCAGACCATGCCCAACAATCGACCCTGTTCCGTCACCTCCTCGACGAATTCCTTCAAATACAAGATCAGACTGACCGTATCGAAAGAACAAGCGATCTCCTTGCCCGCTTCGCTGGCTGGTTCGACGTCTGTGAAGTCCTAGAACTCGTTCCCGAGGACTGGAGCGTGGACATCCTGGGCGGCTTCTTCGTCCACGTCTTCCGCATGCTCGTCTCCGAGACCCGCGAAGTTCGCATTGAGCGTGCACTCAGTGCCGGACTCAATTTACGGACCGGCGTTGAATACACGGATAGCATGGAGAAGGCTGGGGCGTGGATCGAAGACGGGGATGGACTGCGGCGTATCAAGGACCGCGGACCCCAAACACAGCCTGATGATGCAACCGCGGGCGATGATGGTGACTTTGGTGAAGTAGTGGGCCCGCTCGCGTCTGGGGAAATCGACCAGGCGATCGTGCGAGATTAAGGGGGTGGCGTTTGTACATACAGGCTTTTAATTCTTTTTCGTATTCGCGTGGCGGCGTTGGATCTTCTATGATACCTCTACAAATTCACGATATGCATTTGGGTCAGTTTTTGGATTCTTATCTGCATCTATTATGAGTACCTAGTGTATTTGCTCTCCGGTCTTCATGTAGTAGCTTTGTGGCCCTTTCAGTAAAGCTACCTACTATTCGGCCTTTGAAAATTGCTGGATCCTAGAAGTTTAATGTGTTGACAACCTTAGAAGTAGTATTATGTTTAGCATAGGTATCTCTGATAGTATACCTACTAGTACACTACTAATCATGACATACTAGGCATTCTCACATCACATGAACCGAAGATCCTGTCTATCACTTGAGCATGGGTTTTATTTTTGTTTTGATGAGAAACAATGATCATCCTATTTGAGGTGGCAGAATAACCCATCTGCCGTATGACGCAATGCGTCAAGGTGGGAGAGAGAAAATAATGTAGAAAAAGAGAGCAAAAAAAAAAGAGGCATCGCATAGCATTCATTCCCTTCGTAGCCCCCAAGGAGCAGGAGTATCACCGGTCAGTGCCGAAAAGTAGAAAACCGGGTTTATCAGAGCTAGTTGTGGCCCTCTGCATCGGGGCCGAAAACTCCACCGGGCCGATTCGCACTTCAAGCTGTTCCCTCTTTTGTCAAGCAGACGACCCGCTAGACATTCTAGAGGGAGAGAAGAGCGGAAGACCCGGGCTAAACAGCTGAAAGAGGAGAGAGAGAGAGAGAAGATTACTCTTCAGGCTGCACGAACGGGTTGGGGATCTCCTCGCTTCCATCAGCAGGCGAGATCAGGACGATGAGAGTACCACGGGCAACAATGAGGCCCAGGGAGCGGGTGGTCTGGTTGCCCTCATCATCTGAAAGAGTTAGTATTGGACAAATAAAAGTTTAAAGGAGGGGTAAGTACCACGCATGGACTCCTTGACATCGTCGAGGACGAGGTTCATAAGCTGGTCGAAGCCCTTGAGGGTTCCGGTGACTGTGGGGCGCAGTTAGTATATGTGGTATAAACAGTTTATATGAATTCAAGATGAGAATGAAGAGAAGGAAAAGAAGAGAAAAGGAAGGAAAAAACAAAGGATTAAATTACTCACCCTCACGGCCGCCATTGAATTTGACCTGAACCTCCTTGTCCATATACTTGCCCAAGTCGAGGATGTTTTCCTTCTTGGGCTTTTCTTGGGCACCGCCACCACCGCCACTTTTCTGCTGTTGCTGTTGGCGCCCACCACCCCGACCGCCGCCGCGGCCGCCTCGGAATGAACCTCGTTCAGACATTTAGGGAATCTGAATAAGCAAGAAAAAAAGGGGGGGGAGGTGGAGATAGCGAGTAGGCAATTCACGAAGGTGCAGTAAGCGGTAACCCTAGGCTTCCAGGCGCACGTACCGTGGGCAGATGGAAGGGGCACGTATGAGGGATTTTCGGGCGGTGAGGGACGACAGTGGAAGAGTGGAGGAAGAGGTCCGCCCGGCGGAGAGCGGGACTCCCCCCTAACAAGGCTACATTCTCCGTATTCACAGACTCCTGTGTACATATCAGGCACCCGTCAAAAAAGGGGTCGCCAATCTCCACTGGAGAGGCTTGTTTCTGAGCTAATTCAACCGGTCGGTACGATAGGGACGCGTCATAGCCTCTTATGATCTGAGTTTCAGTTTAGCCCTTGGATCCAGTGAGCAATAAAGAACCAAAAAAGAGTAGCCTAGACAGTACCCAAGGTAAATGATCCCTCCCCAGCGGAGTAGCGGAGTTCCGCCAGTCCCAGTCTTCCGCCCTGCCCTGCCCTCAGCGCCTCTGCCCCCAACCTAATCACGTTTTCTTCTCCCTTCCCTCTCCTGTCTCACTCCCATCCTCTGCGCTTGACATCTGTCATCCCATCTTTATGGCCCGTCGCCATCGTTCGCTCTTCTAGCGGTCCTTGCCGTCCCGCGCATTAGCTACTCTCGGCCATTCGCCTTCCACGCCCGCATATCACAGCATATCACACCACCCTCCCAAGACTCCCTCCAGTCTACACCTAGCCTCTTGTCCCTCAACTCCCCTCAAACTCCCATTATGGAGTCCCGACCTCCATCCGAGCCGTCTAATAAACGGCCGCGGTCTCCGACCGCCGACCAGTCGCAACAATCCAAGATCCAAAAGACCCAAGCGAATCATCTGCAGATCAATTATCTTGCGCGCCAATATCCCGATAACCTCCCACTCGTCTCGGTCGACGACAATATGCCCGCCATTGTCCACCTACTCGGCGAGTATGACGGCGTCTTGCATCGGCACGAGAGCATCGCGGGCAATCTCGGCGCATGCCCGCTGGGTCCGATCCTGATCAAGCGTTTTGAGCGCTTGTTCGATGGTCCTCCGCGCGTCAGCAAGTCGCATGGTGGAAAAGATAGCCCTACCGTGACTTGGTTAGATGTCGTCGAGTTCGCGAAGAACAAGCCGGATCAATTTCTCCTGGAAAACCGCAATGGCGTGCGCGTCTGCCAATTCTATACAAAGCAGTGTCGCGTGGAGATCAGCGAGGAGGACTATGTACTGGTTGCCTCTGGTATGCCCCAGAAGATGATCCCCCCCGCAGCCGATCATCGAGGATGAAGAGAAAGAGCTGGGTGCGCTGGAGATTTTGGAGAAGAATCTACAGTCTATTATTCAGGCTGCCGATCAAGGTATGCAAACAGGTCTACACATTTCACATTTTATGCAGGGATTCTGACTTCATTGCAGTGTCGGCTCGAGCCCGTCAGCTGAGCTACCGTTTGAAGAATCGCCGCACTGCCATCATGAGTCGTCGGAAAAACGATGCCTCGCTACATTTACAGTCGCAGTCCCAATCGCAGTCCCAATCTCAATCCCAATCACAAGCTCGCGTGCCCAATGAGACTTGGCGCGACTCCAATGGCCACAACTCAGCTAATGGCAATGCTCACGCCTCGCCGTCCGGCTTCGTAGCCGTCAATACGACCCGTCACGAAGCCGAACCGGCCGAGGACAATCCTTCCCCTTCCCAATTTATCTTCTCACATGGAACCACCGACAACGTGACAATCATCAATGGCACTTCAATCAAAGGCGCCTCGCCTACCACGCGAACTGAACTGATGAAGAAATTCTTCACCACGGCTGACCGACAGGCTCGCGGCTTCGAAGATGCCTCTACTCCCGTCAATTCTCAGACGCCTCGACCACAACCACAATCATCAGACCCGGCCGATTACAGTTTATACAATAATGCTTCCTCTACCCCGGTGGCCATTCCAAGCACACCATCTTCATTGCTTCCACCACCCAAAACAACACCTCAAGAGAAAGATGACGGAGGTCCATACAAACTGGAGATGGTAGCTCGCATGGAGGATCTGCAGCGTGGTGAGCGAGTCTCGCCACCATGCGATCGATGTCGCCGGCTTCACATGGACTGTTTGAAGAATTTGACTGCCTGCGTGGGCTGTACCAAGAAACATGCCAAGTGTTCGTGGAGAGACGTTCAAGAGGGCGAAATACGAGCCGCCAACTGGACCCTAACCACTCCTCGTGAACCTCGCGAGCCCCGTGAAGAAATCGAGGAAGGCCGTTTGTCGTCCATGCCTCCTCACAGCCTGACCTCTCCCCCGAAATACCCGGTCTCTGCCGAACGTGAACACGAACGTCACACCGAGTCCCCCGCTGGTCTGAGCTATTCCCATAGCCGTCGAGAGTCTGCGCCAGGTGCTCCTCATATCGGACCCGGCTCGGGGGCATCAATTGGACTACCCTCATCTGAAAAGTCTCCTCGCAGGGCTGTTAGCGAGACCGAGAACAGTGGCCGCTTACAGCAACCTGGCAACTCTCGACGTGCCGATGACGAAGACCCAGATGCCAACCAGCGATTGATGCAGGCCATTCTCGACACAGTTGATCATCATGCTCGAGTCGCGGCTGCAGTTCAGGAAAAGGAGCGTGGTGCGGGGGCCGAGCGAGGAGGCGAACCGGTTGGTGAGCGTGTTGAACGGACTGTCGAGCGCCCAGCGGAGAATCCCAGCTTCAACCATCATGATCGCGATGCGGATCGAAGCCGGGAGCATGACCGTGACCGTGATCGTGAACGGGAACGGGAACGGGAGCGATGGATGTTACAAACCTAGAATGGTCTGACTGCATTGACTGCGGTGGCTGACTTTCTTGAAGTGTACATATTAGGAGTGGTTTCTTTTCTTTCTTTTCTCTGTCTCATTGGCTGTATAGTTGCGAGCGATTGGCGAAAGGGTCGGCTGGAAAGTCTTGTTTGAGCGTATATACTATATCCATGATTTGATGTCCTTTACAAACGAACTTTGTGCTTTCTTTTCCCTCCGTACCCCGGTTTACGAATTACTCCGGATTTGGCTCGGATATAACCTTGAAATGATCCCATCGGATATACATCACCCGTCACCCCTCAGTGCCAATGCTTATAAGATGCTGACCAATGTCAGGAATTGATTCCGGGTGGGTCGCGGGGGAGCGGTTATATTCTCATCCATGCTGTAGATGTAGTGTGGTATGTCAGAAATACTATCAGCTATAGGTAGAAGGACTACAAGGAATGGGAGATTCTCAGTGTGAATGTGAGTGTAAGTGTAAGTGTAAATGTAAGACTCGTATACATCAAGCGCCGTAGTAATTCCGCCGCGCTGAGTGGGCGGAAACTGCGGGGTCCCGCCTTAAATTTGGATCCGGTGGGAGCTCCAACTTGGACTCACCCCACCATCTTATCCCGTCGGCAATGCCGGGCATACGCAAGTCCCGGAGCTGCTGGGCATATTACAAAAAGACGAGCTCTTCGGGGATCCCATTTTCACATTTCTGATCTGATCTGAACTACTTTGATCTGAACGCACCACACTACCCATACCTCCCCCACACCACCCGCCATCACAATCACAACCAAATCACAACCGCAACCATGGACCCCTCCCTCGTCAAGATCCCACCAATGAAAGACCTAACAGCAGACAACATCACCGAAAATGTAATCACAATCAACTCGCTCTGCGAAGACGCGCGGATGAAATACGTCCTCGAGCGCCTGGTCACACACCTGCACGACTTCGCCCGCGAAACCCGGCTCAGCAGCGACGAATGGATGACAGGCCTCCGCTTCCTGACAGAAGTAGGCCAGATCTGCACCGACGTCCGGCAAGAATTCATCCTGCTGTCCGACGTGCTGGGCCTCTCGCTGCTGGTCGACAGCATCGATCACCCCAAACCGCCCGGGTCAACCGAGGGCACCGTGCTGGGGCCCTTCCACACGCATGACGCGGAGGAAATGCCCTCCGGCGAGTCCATGTCGCACGATCCGAAGGGCGAGCCGCTGCTGGTTGTGTGCACGCTGCGTGATACGGAAGGGAAGCCGATTGAGGGCGTGAAGATTGATATTTGGGAGACGGATTCTTCGGGCCATTATGATGTGCAGTATGCTGGGCGGGAGGAGCCTGATGGGCGGTGCGTGATGCGCTCGGATAAGGAGGGGTTGTTCTGGTTTAGGGCTATTACGCCTGTGCCTTATCCTATTCCGCATGATGGGCCTGTTGGGAGGTTGTTGAAGAAGTTGCATCGCCATCCGTATCGCCCTTCGCATATGCATTTCATGTTTGAGAAGGAGGGCTATGATCATTTGATTACGTATGTTCTCGCTCCGATTCTTCAATGGTGTACTTGGGAACTTGGGCTAACAAAAAGGATGCAGTGCTCTCTACCTCCGCAATGACCCTTATGAGACCTCGGACGCTGTCTTCGGCGTGAAGGATTCTCTAACCGTTGATATTGGCAAGGTTGGCCCTGAACTTTCGAAGAAATATGGCGTCCCTGAGGGCCAGGCCCTTTTGACTTACGACTTTGTTCTTGTTTCCGACGCCGAGACCAGTGAGTTGCGCGCGCACAATTCTAAGGTGGCGCTGGATAAGCTCGGCCGGAAGGTCAAGATCGTCAATGGTCTGCCAATTCCCGATCTGGACTAAGTATAAAAATATCCAACGGAGAAAAGTTGCATACCCACGAACAAAGAAAAGAGAACTTAATTATGACCATTGGATGAATTGGGATGTTTGATGTATTGGATTAACTAGCCAGGAAATGGACATGATCATGAATGACATTAATTTGATCTCTCTTCTCTGGTCGGATAGTTTGCATACTACTACGAGTACGTAGTTATTTAGTGCAACACAAGCTGAGATGATCTCAAAAGTGTAACTGGGAGCATTGAAGCAACGAGAGCTACGTGATTCCCAATTTGTTAATGATATAGTACGGCATATGAGCCACGTAAAGTACTCACATCACAAGACCGATCTGATGAGTTCCATCCCATTCCGTGTCCCCCAATTCCGTCACCTTACTCGGATTACAAGTCCTCGTATTGGCACTGATTGGAGCGTGTATCGTGGTTGCCTCTCGTATATCAAAAGTCGTGCTCTGTGCAACTATACACAAGAGGCTGGTCTGAAATACATCCTCAGGGTCTGAACGTTAGCCATTTAGGGTGATTGGTTAGCTTTCCGCATCCGTTGGACAGGATTTGGTGCAACCTTGTTTAAAACATGGGGAAAGTGGAAATTGCGTCCAGATTATAGAATCCGGGGACGCCGTCCTATTTCTCGCGGTTTCGATCTTTTTTGGAGAAGAGATCTTGGTTACTTCCAATGGTTTATTCCAAACTGATAAGTCATCATGCGGCTGATTATTTTACCTGTGGCAGCATCGTTATGTGCTGCCCTGATTATTCCTGAGCAGGAGGTTCTTGCTGAACTTTCTGGGTTACTTCGCAGTGACCAACCCAGTCAAGATGAGGACAAACAACTTGATTCCTGGTGGTCAAAGATGGCCGAGTTGTCTCAAAACGGCCAGCAATCGGCCACAAAGCTTGCCTTGAGTGTCCTGGGGCTTGATCTTAGTTTGGATGGGGATTTTGAAGCTCCCGATGGCGAAAATGAGGACTACGACGATTTTGATGATGAAGATTATCTCAGTCGACAACGACGCCAGCCTCACCGTCATCACCACCATAATCATCCCCGTCATGGTAGGTATGAATGTGGACCTGGATATGGTGAAGGTGCCGGTCATGGTGAGGGCCCTGGTTATGGCGAAGGACCTGACTATGGCGAACGCCCTGGATATGGTGAAGGTCCCGGTTATGGGGACAGACCAGGATACGGCGGCGGCCCAGGAAATGGATGTGGGGATCCTGGCCGTGGTCCTGGTTATGGTGATGGTCCTGGTGGAGGCGGCGGCGGTGGCCCTGGTGGGGGAGGTCCCGGTGGGGGGGGTGGTTGGCCCGGTGGAGGAGGAGGAGGAGGAGGAGGCGGTTGGCCTGGCGGAGGCGGTGGTAACCCTGGTGGTGGAGGATGCGGCGGTGGTTGGCCTGGAGGAGGGGCTCCTGGTGGAGGAGGAGGCGGACGCTGGCCTGGCGGAGGTGGAGGTAACCCTGGCGGAGGAGGTGGTGGTGGTTGGCCTGGTAGAGGAGGAGGAGGTTCTGGGGGCGGAGGGGGTTATCCTGGAGGCGGCGGAGGATATCCTGGGGGTGGAGGAGGGTATCCTGGAGGCGGCGGTGGTTGGCCTGGTAGAGGAGGAGGATATCCTGGGGGTGGAGGAGGGTATCCTGGCGGAGGAGGTGGTGGTAACCCTGGTGGAGGAGGTGGAGGTGGTGGTTATCCTGGTGGAGGAGGCGGCGGTGGTTGGCCTGGTAGAGGAGGAGGAGGTTCTGGGGGCGGAGGGGGGTTATCCTGGAGGCGGAGGTGGGTATCCTGGAGGCGGCGGAGGATATCCTGGGGGTGGAGGAGGGTATCCTGGAGGCGGCGGAGGATATCCTGGCGGAGGAGGTGGTGGTGGTAACCCTGGTGGAGGAGGCGGCGGCGGTGGTTGGCCTGGTAGAGGAGGTTCTGGGGGCGGAGGGGGATATCCTGGAGGCGGAGGGTATCCTGGGGGTGGATGGGGAGACAAAGGCCCTGGATACGGCAATGCTCCAGGATACGGTCGTGGTCGTGGCAGACCAGGATATGGGAGATGGCCAGATGAAAGAGGATGTCATGAGCGAGGTGGCCCCTGTGACGACTTCAATCTTTTGCCGAGATTCTGCACGGAAAACCACACGATCTGGGAGTTGATCACCGAGAACAAGCAAACATCGCAGCTTGCAGAACTCATCAAGGGCCACGACGACCTGGTCACCCTACTGAACAGCAGCGGAGACAACTATACTCTCTTGGCACCGACGAACAGGGCATTGGACTGGTTCCTGCACCATGAACATGAGCCTTCATACACGAAGGAATTCCTGCGATATCATATCTTGCCCCGGCAACTTGATCTCCGGGACGTGAAGTATCAGCAAACGTTGCCCACGCTGCTGAATCAGTCGGAGCTGGGCAAGGATATGCCGCAGCGGCTGGTAGTGAACAAACACGGACGTCGAGTGTTGTTCAATGGAGTCAGTGAGGTTGTAGCGGGTGGCATAGTAAGTACTAATCCTGAAAAGTGGGTTAGTCATTGATAAATCACTGACAACGCATCAGGTTGGAAGCAATGGCGTTCTTCATCACATCAACACGCCACTCATTCCACCTCCAAATGCCAGCACAATCATCAAACTCCTGCCGAGGCATTTCAGCGCTTTCACCCTCGGCCTTGAAAAGACCGGTCTGATCCACCAGTTGACCGACGAAGCCAGAGCCGGCGGTACAACATTCGCCCCGACAAATGCAGCCTTTGACCGTTTGGGACAACTTGCAAATGAGTATCTCTTCTCTGCCGGCGGCGAAAAGTGCTTGCATGCCTTGCTGGAGTACCATCTTGTTCCGAACCACACTTTGTATTCGGACGTGCTGTATGATCAGCATGGACATGTGCATGAGTTTAGATCTGGGGAGCAGGATTCTGCGGTACATATTAAGCTGCCGACGCTTCTGAAGAAGCAGACCTTGAGGGTTGATGTTGCTTGGCCTGGATACTCGGTTATCATGCGGGTGAATGGTGTCAGCCGAGTCGGGGTTCATGATGTTTTGGCGCGAGATGGCGTCGTGCATATCGTGGATCAGGTTCTGATGCCGTCTAGGGAAATCAAAGGAAAAGGCAACGAGGGAGTACTTGCGATGTCGATGCTTCGGGAGATTCTCGAAGAGTGTAAAGGGATGCCGCGGGAGGAGCTGTGATAAATGAGCAAGTAGTGACCAGAAATCCGTTGCCAGGGGGTCGGTCTGGGTGGAGGGCTCTATTAGTCTATCATCTATCAGTTTGCACCAGGATGAGATTGATGTTTCTTCATTCTTTATCTGTCTGTATTTCCATAAGATATGCTGGCTGCGCGGTCGGCTGCCATCGTTTTCAAGCAAAACTCGATGGTGCGAGATCATACGCAAGCTTCCAAAGTACCATGTTGATCAATCAAAAGGAGCCATTCCCTCGGGTCCGTTCAGACTCGAGCTGTTCATAGAAGGGATGGATGTGGTAACGTCGATACCAACCAAAATAACCGTGATAATCATAATTGCATATCCGAAGCGGGTTGAAAGGGAGCGATATATCGCTCAGTGCATTCTTCTCGTAGGCTTCATCAATGCCTGGAATGAGGACTCCAGTGCCTTCTTGATCTCTTTATAACTCACGACGAAACAGCTTTGTTCATCGCGACTGACCAAAGTGACCTTCTCATCGGACCCCGCATCCAGCTTGTTCAAACAAGTCAACACATGCCCAAGGTCGACCACTGCATCGCCTTGCGCGTCCACTTGGTGGAAGACGTAGTCACGGAAGATCTTCAAGAAATAACGCTCCCCGCTTTCCGACCACTGCCTGTCATGTTCATATTCAGGTCGCTCATTGACGAGGTTCAGTTTTGTCATCAAACGCACGAGCCGTCCATTTTCAAGCTCGCGGCCAAGATCAGTCGTGAGCTGGTCATCGAGATGGAGGGCCGAGTCAAATGTGGACATCAGCTGGGACGAAATTCCAGTGATGAACAGGTCGATGTTCCGCTCCTGGTCTATCTGCAGAGAATTCAGCAGCCAGAAAACAGAGTTCTTCATTTGCGGGCTATATGCGCGGGTGAAGTGTTCCATAGCCTTGGCGGGGTTGTGCATGACATTGGGCGAGTTAGCACCCAGAGTGACCATCATTTGTCCGAAGTTGACCAAGTCCTGTCGCTGCAAGTCGGCCACGGTCCTCTGAGTATCAAATTGAACCACATCCAAGATTGCGCAAGCATTCAAACGGATGCGGTTCTTGCCGGTAAGTAGAACTTTACTCGGCTCAAGAATGCGTGCAGCGATACCATTGGAGTGGATCGCTTTCAAGGCATTTGCGATTTGAGTCATGTATCCCCACAGAATCTGCTCGGTAATGTGTGGGTTGTGGCGGTTCTGGAATCGATTTCCAGCGCCCAGATGTTGCTCGGCTAGGGTCTTAGAAAGCGGATGGTAATCAGTGACGAAGATCAGGGAGCTATCCTGGAAGCTTCGGCTGGTAAACGCATCGTGGACAGTGACCACGCTTCCACTGCACACTCGTTTCCAGGCTTGGACGGATCGGATGGCTTTCTCGTTGGTTAAACGGAACCCTTGGTTGATCAGCAGTCGTCAAAAATGCGGTTAGTTTTGAGGATCTCTTACCTTCCAGTCTGCGCAAAGCATAGAAATTTCCATCTTTGCCCGACTGTGCCTTGTATACCCAGCTTGGATAGCCGAAGGTGGCGGCATTCTTCTGATGGCTCAAGTCCAGGGGAACCAAAGAGTGGAAATAGTCGACCTGTGCAGGTAACTGAGTGTCTAGAAAGGTTAGCCTGGCCCAGCTTGTCGTGTTTTTGGAAAAGCCAACGTACTAGGGAGGGTCTGCAAGGTAGCTGCAGCTTTCTTCTGCAGCTCTTCTCGGAAGTCATTGGGGAGAAAGAGGTCGTGGACATTCCGTTGATAGCCAAGCGTGCTCTGGCTGTGGGGACCGATCGGAGCGTAGAGATGATATTGGACCTATAGATGATGTTACATGTCAAGTACAAGAACATAGAGATTCTCTATGCTCAACATACCGGCTGCTGGAAACCAGTCTGGTTGGTAAAGAAAGTAGCCCCGCCAAGTGTAGCCGCCGCGTCGTGCGAATATGGGTTGGCAGAGACAGGGCCCACCGCGCCAGCAGACAATGCACCGGAGGCTGTGACAAATGGATCAAAGGCACTTGAGGGAGTTATGGTACCATTTCCATTACCTTGGATGGATGACTGCGAAGAAAAGGGGGTTAGATCAGAGCAACGTCTTAAACTATGGGGATCAAGGTTTCGCTCCAGCGGATCAAAATCATCCGCAAGTGTACTGAGGCTTCGAGTAGAGCGATTATGGTAAGATAGCATCACCATCTTGTGATATCTAGCAGTCTTTCAAGGACCACCGTTATAATTGTTGAGATGGTTGAAGGTTACCAAGCGGGGGGATCTTCAAGCGTCAAGAGCCCCGCGGGTTTTTTGATCCGCAGAAAGCAACCACGAATGGTTCGGGAAGGACTAATCGAGACTTCAGACTTCAGACTTTAGACTTACCATGTGGGCACCTTCAAAGCCCTGTGGAACAAATTCCTGCACCTCAGCCATGGACCAGTCTGGAGTCCCGACTTCTTGTCGTGGGGTACTCGTATTCGAGCCTTTGCCAGTCAGCGGGGTCTTGGGGGCCGGCACGGGGGGACGCCATACGTGAGGCGGCGGTTCTTGGTTGGAAGGGAGCGGCATTCGCAGCTTTGGGGGAGATGGGATTCGATTTCTTGGGGCCGGATACGCCATTGCCGGACAAGATGGAGGGGGTGAAGCTAGGTGAGTCGACATTGAAGCGTTTCTTATTGCTAAATTAGATTAATCAGTATACCGATATCCAGTTGCGCAAGAACGAGAAGATCGATTCAACACGTACATATCTGATTGGTACGCCGAGTTTACTTTCTGGGGGTCATGGTTGAAAGCGCAACCTAGACAAGGGGGACAGACTTCGGTCAACATCAACCCTCTCGGATATCGTGAGGTGGGGAAACTCCTAATTCACCTTTGTCTTCATATCGACAACGGCCATAAATAGTGACATTGCGGCATAGGGTGTCTTTCGCATTCTCTGTGGTGGAAATGGAGTAAGCACAATCCATCCTACGGTCGGCATGCTAGTCCGGCGGATTCATCTCAACATTTCCATGACGATCTACCGAATGCTAGCTACCTCAAAGGGACCGCCATTCATCTCTACTCACCTCGGGTCTTCATTTTAGGCGATCCCGTCGTGCGACGGGTGTCATCCAAAGGAGGTTTGCCAGAGGATGCCATCAGGGACGGTTGGGAGGACCGAGGAACGATAAGGAATCAGCGCAGCTGGATCTCCATTGAAACGGGGACTGAGATGAGGTGAATGGGTCGACAGGAAGGGAGTCGCATTCCCTGATATCTGATGCGTCTCCGTGTCCGGCGCGTTTTTGGGGGGATCGTCGTGAGCGGGTCAATTGCGGGAGGGGAGAAACGAGGAGGGTCGCGGATAAAGATAGCAGACGATGCACCACGCAGTTAAGAATATGATGCCCAATACGGATCCGCCCTCCAAAGACGAGATCGGAAGCGATAAAGCCGATGGCCAGGAAGGACCAAGTTGACGCGGGGCCTCGAGCGAAGGGGGAGGTGCACAGACCAGGCGGTCAGGCGGGCGATCGAATCAGCTTGGAGTGAAGTGAGGTGGATGAGGTGATGAGGTGAGGTGACCAGGGGGTACAATTTATGGAAATATGAGAGATGTAGATGGTATATATACCCTAGGATATGATGGGATATATCTAGATCGATGAGAGGGAGGAGGATGAGAGGATGAAAGGATGGAACTCGAAGAGGACCAGTAGCACGTGGACCACTGATTGTAGGGCTCTATCGAAATATATCTCCCATGGTCACTGTACCTACGGAGTCCTAACTGTGTACTACTATGCCAACCCTGGACAGTGGCGGCTTCTTGAACAATAAACCAGTACAGCTTCATGGTCCTATTATTTCACCCTCTCAATAGTCACCTTTGATACTACTTCCAAGTTAATATCTGCCCGTCCCCTGAGCTGCCTGGACTGCCCGTAGGTACCTGATGATATAATCACCCCTCTCCAGGGCTGGTCAGTATTGTACTAGTAGTGTGAATATTTTAGAATTACTACTAGTGCCTCAGGCTACTAGTAGTAGTTAGTAATTGTTGAAATCAGTCTGAATACTTAGGATAATATATATATAGACTAGTCCACAGTCTGGCTATGAACAATCCAAACTCCGCTGTTATTGAATACCTTATTATTTCTCCGCATTCATCCTACCTCCGCACTGCCACTGGGCGGTATGGCAGGCGGTGTATATTCAACCCAAACCCACTTCGGCGACAGCTCATCGCTGCCACCTATCAGCCACCATGTCCGAAGAGCTCGACCTTGACCTCGACCGGCTCTCCTCTACTGAGAGGTCGGCTTTAGAAACATATACGTCCGTGACAGGCCAAGAACCCGCCCAGGCTATTGCCTTACTCCGACGATCACAATGGAATGTGCAGGTTCGCGAACCCTCCCCGCCCGCAGCTCTCCCCGGAAGCCGTCAACGTGGAAGCTTGTCGCTGACCATCTCCTCCGCCATCTAGATTGCGATCGCCAAATTCTTTGACGGCGAAGGCCCCGACCCTGTCGAAGAGGCCCGTGAGGCACTCCAGTCGCCCCCTCCACGGCCAGCCCGTCGAACCCAGAACTTAATGACGGATGACTTCACTGAGCAACTTGCGCCAGCTCCCCGTTCTGCAGACCCAGCTCCCCGCGTCAATACTCAACCCGAAAGTCAACCTACCTTCCGCCCACCATTTATACTTGCTCTACTGTTTACTCCCTTCAACCTCGTGTACCGCCTCCTGTACAACTCGTTTCGTCTCTTTGGCACATTATTCCCCTTCCTCCCACGCCTATTCAACACCACCGCCAATCCAGCCTTACAGGCAGCACGAAGAAACACCACCGGCCGTCGACCTTTGGGCCCCAAAGACACCGCTGCCCGGTTCATCCGTGAATTCGACGAGGAGTACGGATCGCACTCGCTCCCATTCCTGAGAAAATGGTTACAACATGGCACTGGAGAAGTCCCACCGGGATTTGAAGTATTTGCTGATCGTGCTTCTCGCACCAGAACACGACGACACGAGCGGTTGGGTACGCGATACCCTGCTAGCACCCGAGGTCGCGGAGTTCATCAACGACCCGCAAAACAACCTTCTGGTGTGGGGCGGCAGCGTCCAGGACTCCGAGGCATATCAAGTGGCCAATTCGCTGAAATGCACCAAGTTCCCCTTTGCGGCGGTCGTCGTTCACACTCCCAATGTCTCGTCAACCGCGATGTCCGTGGTCGGCCGCATCGCGGGAACGACATCACCGTCCGAGTTCACGGCTAAACTCCGTGCTATCACCTCCACGAATCAGGAGCCACTTGAGCGAATTCGCGCTACCCGGGCTGAACAGCAGGCGTCTCGTAGCTTGCGTGAAGAGCAGGACTCTGCGTACGAGCGATCACTGGCGATTGACCGCGAGCGGGCGCGTCAGCGTCGGGAAGCCGAGGCTGCACGAGAGCGTGAAGAGCAAGAGGCGGCTGACCGACTGGCGGTTGAAGAAAAGAAGCAGCGTGATTTAGAACAGTGGAAGCAATGGCGCGCACAGTCTCTAGGCACCGAGCCCGGGACCGATGTGAAGGAAGCGGTGCGCGTGAGCGTGCGACTACCCTCTGGAGAGCGGATTATGCGCCGGTTCGCGCCTGAAGCCGATATCGAAGAGCTTTATGCTGTGGTGGAGTGCTACGAGGTATTACAGGACGAGTCAAGGCCCACTGATGCGTCGGAGCCTGAAGGATTCACACACGAATACGGATTTCGATTAGTGTCCCCCATGCCCCGAGCAGTTTATGCAGTCCAGGAGGGCGGAACGATCCGAGAGAAGATCGGGCGGGGTGGCAATCTTTTAGTGGAGCCGATCGAAGAGGAGGAAGAGGAAGAGGAAGACGGTGAAGCGGAGGAAGTAAAAGAAGGGAGGACCGAGGTGTCGTCATGATAGAAATTGATTGCTGGGTATACCCTGTATGAGTTGACCTGAATTTTCATGTACCAGCGGTGCAGGGATGACTGTACGGAGTACGGAGTACACCGTATGTTGATAAGTCGTAGCTCAGAATGGCTCGAATCTATAGTAGTGATGAGTATGAAGTCTAAAATTTGCATCATCCGGTATGTACATACGTCCGTACGCACAAGTATGTCTGTGCTGGCCTCCACCTGGGCAGTTCGCAGACCTTAGTCGAAAGCGGCTAGAGGGATCTGATAATGAAACCTACGGTAGCTGGGCAAACCTAGACAGGGAGAAAGGTGCGAGTATGTACGATGTGTATACTCCGTACTAGGTACATAGTAGAGAACTAACTATAGCTACAGATTACGGACACATCATATCAATTCTCACCAAGAGCAAGAAAAAAGATGCGCCATGGCTTTAGGCACCAAGATGGTGGAATCTGACCTACATTACCCCTGTGATGTTGAGTCAGACTAACTCATTCTGACCTGACTAAAAGCGGACGAAACTGGGGTGAACGGACGAAAAGCGCATGAGTCAGGGAATCAGCAGTCGGATGTTAGGGAGCCCGAACCGGGAACGTCGTGCCCAGACTCCGCCGCGTGGGGCTGCAAGTCGGATGGCGGATAGCGGCTTCCCGGTCCACTTTTTTTTATAATTTTTTCTTTTTTACTTTTCTTTCCTTCCATTTCGATTATTACAAATTTACCCCCATACTGTAGATTACCATGTGCTATACATGCATTACCGTGCACTACTATGAACTATCCAATCAGATCCTTGATTTATACTCCGATGTACCACATGGCCCCCCCTCATAATTCTCCTACACAGCTGGCCCGTTTGCAACACTAAACCGAATCCCGTAAAAGCACGACCACTAGCCGATGTTCGATGTTTCCTGCCATCGACACTCTTGGTACCAGCTCGCGTATTTATTTTTGATCTGGCGATGCTAATTCGCCCCAGCCAATACCGGTTAGGCCTCCAATACACGCGGTCGCTCTCAACTCCGGACCCTTATCGCCGGATGTCTGGACTTCCCTTCGGAGGCAAACTTGGCATCAGTCCCGGGCCCGATTTTTTTCGTATCCTTTTTCTTCTCTCTCCGCGTCTTTACGTTGCTTCTATTTATTGTTTCCATGTCTTTGACCCCTTTCGCCCCTTTCCCTTTAATATTCTAATACTCCATTCTTTACTTCACCTCTTCATACGCCTAATATCCTAATTATCTACAACTACTCACCTCTATACTCTGCACCCCCCCCCCAATCCAACACCATCTCCACTGCATGGTGATTTCCTAATTGACTCCTATCTGGGCCCCACACCTCCCCTCCCCCTTCTCCATATCAACATTCGTTAAGGAGTAGCCCACCATGTCGCTCCTGGGGACGATTAACCCCAATGTCGTCGAATCGACGACTGAATCGACGACTATCTCACGCGAGATGCACCGCCACGACCCTGCTGCTAGCTTCAGCACCGAAGACACCGCCATGGAAAAGTCCGAGGAGATCGACGAAGAGGTCGTCGAGGCCGAGGTCACTCGTCTTGCTCAGCAGCTCACCCGTGAATCGACTCGTTTTGTCGATGCCGAAAACACCTTCATCGATGTCAAGGAGGAATCCACCTTGAACCCGCACAGCCCTAACTTCAAGGCCCGCAATTGGATGAAGAATCTCCTCGCTATCACTGCTCGTGACCCCGAACGTTATCCCATGCGCCAGGCCGGCATCTCTTTCCGCAACCTTAGTGTTCACGGTTATGGTAGCCCTACAGATTACCAAAAGGATGTGTTCAACTCCGTCCTCCAAATTGGTGGTCTGTTCCGTTCTATGATGGGATCTGGCAAGCAGAAGATCCAAATTCTGCGCGATTTCGATGGTTTGGTCAAGAGCGGCGAGATGCTCGTCGTTCTGGGCCGTCCTGGTTCCGGTTGCTCGACCTTCTTGAAGACGCTGGCCGGCGAGATGAACGGTATCCACAAAGATGAAAAGACCCAGATGAACTACCAAGGTATCTCCGACAAGAAGATGCGTGACCAGTTCCGCGGTGAAGCTATCTATACCGCCGAGACCGATGTGCATTTCCCTCAATTGACTGTTGGCGATACCCTCAAGTTCGCTGCACTGGCCCGCACTCCCCGCAATCGTCTGCCGGATGTCACTCGTGAGCAGCACGCCCAGCACATGCGTGACGTTGTCATGGCCATGTTGGGTCTCTCACACACTATCAACACCCGCGTCGGAAACGATTTCGTTCGTGGTGTTTCTGGTGGTGAGCGCAAGCGTGTCAGTATCGCCGAGGCCACCCTCTGCGGTAGCCCTCTGCAGTGCTGGGATAACAGTACTCGTGGTCTCGACAGTGCCAACGCCCTGGAGTTCTGCAAGACTCTGAACCTGATGGCCAAGTATTCCGGTACTACATGTGCTGTTGCTATCTACCAGGCTTCCCAGAGTGCCTACGATGTCTTCGACAAAGTAACTGTCTTGTACGAAGGACGACAGATCTATTTCGGCCGTACCGACGAGGCCAAGGAGTTCTTCACCACCATGGGCTTCGAGTGCCCTGAGCGTCAGACCACTGCCGATTTCCTGACTTCCCTGACTAGCCCCGCTGAGCGTATCGTGAAGCCTGGCTATGAGAACCGTGTTCCTCGTACTCCTGACGAGTTCGCTGAGGCGTGGAAGGCCAGCACTGCCTATAAGGGTCTCATGAAGGAAATCGACGAGTATGACCAGTCCTACCCACTGGGTGGCGAGTCGCTGCAAAAGTTCGTCGACTCCCGTCGGGCGATGCAGGCCAAGAACCAGCGTGTTCGCTCTCCCTATACCCTTTCCGTCGTCCAGCAGGTGAACCTCTGCATGGTCCGTGGCTTCCAGCGCCTCAAGGGCGATGCAAGTTTGACATTGTCGCAACTCATTGGTAACTTTATCATGGCTCTGATCATTGGCTCTGTCTTCTACAACCTTAAGGACGACACCGACAGTTTCTATTCTCGTGGTGCCCTTCTTTTCTTCGCTGTCCTTCTTAACGCCTTCTCCAGTGCACTCGAGGTAAGCTTTGCATAAATTACCGCTTCTTTGCTAGAGCATTGTTGCTGACAGGGAAACAGATCTTGACTCTTTACGCGCAACGACCCATTGTTGAAAAACAAGCCCGCTATGCTATGTACCACCCTTTCACAGAGGCTGTGGCCTCCATGCTATGTGATATGCCCTACAAGTTACTCAACATGGTGACTTTCAACGTGACACTCTATTTCATGACGAATCTTCGCCGCACACCTGGAGCTTTCTTCACCTTCCTTGTGTTCTCCTTGGTAACGACCTTGACCATGTCTATGATCTTCCGTACGATTGCCGCCACCTCGCGAACCCTCTCACAGGCCCTGGTTCCTGCCGCTATCTTGATACTGGGATTGGTCATCTACACTGGTTTCACCATCCCACCCACCAACATGCTTGGCTGGTCTCGATGGATGAACTACATCGATCCTATTGGCTACGGCTTCGAATCGCTCATGGTTAACGAATTCCATAACCGCCAGTTCACATGTCCGGATGCATCGTTTATCCCTGTATACGGTGCTTCTCTTATGAACAAGGTTTGCAATACTGGGGGCTCCCGTCTTGGCCAGGACGTTGTCGAAGGCGATAACTATCTCTGGGATAACTTCCAGTACTCCAACACCCACAAGTGGCGCAACTTGGGTATCATGTTTGGTTTCATGATTTTCTTTATGGCTACCTACCTGATCGGTACCGAGTTCATCTCTGAGTCCAAGTCCAAGGGCGAGGTTCTGCTTTTCCGTCGTGGACACGCACCCAAGCGTGGCAACTCTGATGAGGACATTGAAGGCACCCAGACCGTCAGCCATGCCGAGAAGACCGACGAGACAACCAGCGAGCAGGGTGCTGGTGGAATCCAGCGCCAAACCGCTATCTTCCACTGGCAAGACGTGTGCTACGATATCAAGATCAAGAGCGAAGAGCGCCGTATTCTGGATCACGTTGATGGCTGGGTCAAGCCTGGTACCTGTACTGCCCTGATGGGTGTCTCCGGTGCTGGAAAGACCACTCTGCTTGACGTGCTTGCTACTCGTGTTACTATGGGTGTTGTTACTGGTGAGATGTTGGTTGATGGCCGTCTTCGCGACCAGTCTTTCCAGCGCAAGACCGGTTACGTCCAGCAACAGGATCTCCACCTTTACACTACAACTGTTCGCGAAGCTCTTCGCTTCAGTGCTATGCTCCGTCAACCTGCTGCCACCCCCGCCAAGAGAAGCTAGACTATGTTGAGGAGGTTATCAAACTGCTTGGAATGGAATCGTATGCTGACGCCATTGTCGGAGTGCCCGGTGAAGGTCTTAACGTTGAGCAGCGTAAGCGTCTCACTATTGGTGTCGAGCTTGCTGCTAAGCCCCAACTGCTTCTGTTCCTGGACGAGCCTACTTCCGGTCTTGACAGTCAGACCTCGTGGTCCATTCTTGATCTAATTGACACCCTGACCAAACACGGCCAGGCTATTCTCTGCACCATTCACCAGCCCTCTGCCATGCTTTTCCAACGTTTCGACCGCCTTCTGTTCCTTGCCCGTGGTGGTAGAACTGTCTACTTTGGAGATATCGGAGAGAAGTCCTCCACTCTTGCCAACTATTTTGAACGCAATGGCGCCCCTAAGCTGCCTCTTGAGGCTAATCCAGCTGAATGGATGCTTGAGGTGATTGGTGCTGCCCCTGGTTCTCACAGTGATATCGACTGGCCCGCTGTCTGGCGTGAAAGTCCCGAGCGCAAGGAAGTGCACAACCACCTGGCTCAACTCAAGGCGACCCTGTCCGCAAAGTCCGTCGATGAGTCTGCCTCTGACCCTGCCAACTACAAGGAATTTGCTGCTCCGTTCAGCGCCCAGCTCTGGGAGTGCTTGATCCGTGTGTTCAGTCAGTACTGGCGCACCCCGATCTATATCTACTCCAAGGCGGCGCTTTGCATCCTCACATCTCTCTACATCGGTTTCTCCTTCTTCCACTCTTCCAACACTACCCAGGGTCTCCAGAACCAGATGTTCAGTATCTTTATGCTGATGACTATCTTCGGTAACTTGGTGCAGCAAATCATGCCTCACTTCTGTACCCAACGTTCCCTGTACGAAGTTCGTGAGCGCCCCAGCAAGACCTATTCTTGGAAGGCCTTCATGACGGCCAATATCCTTGTCGAACTCCCCTGGAACACCCTCATGGCAGTTTTCATCTTCGTTTGCTGGTACTACCCCATCGGCCTGTACCGCAACGCCCCCGAAGGCCACCTCCATGAACGCGGAGCTCTGATGTTCTTGCTCATCTGGACCTTCCTCCTCTTCACCTCTACCTTCGCTCACATGGTCATTGCCGGTATCGAGCTTGCCGAGACAGGTGGTAACCTTGCCAACCTGATTTTCTCCCTTTGCCTGATCTTCTGCGGTGTCCTCGCCTCCCCGGACCAGATGCCCCGCTTCTGGATCTTCATGTACCGCGTCTCGCCCTTTACGTATCTGGTCTCGGCCATGCTGTCAACCGGTGTCTCCGGCGCCGACGCCACCTGCTCTGCCGTCGAGTATCTCAGCTTCAAGGCCCCGGCCAACGAGACCTGCAAGCAGTACATGGCACCCTGGATCGCCAGCTATGGTGGAAGTCTCATGGACGAAAATGCCGTTTCCGACTGCCAATTCTGCTCCTTGTCGACTACCGATGCCTACCTTGACCAGATCGGTGCGCACTTCTCGGAAGCGTGGCGCAACTTTGGTATTATGTGGGCGTTCATCATCTTCAATATCTTCGGCGCTGTCTTCATCTACTGGCTCGCGCGTGTGCCTAAGGGTAGCCGCAGCAAGAACTGAGACGGCATGTCATGTATTAGCTTGATGCTTGATTGTATGTTTGCTATTTTCTATATTATTTTTTAGATATTCTCTCTCCTTCTCTTTAGATACTTCTTTCTTTTTCTTGTCTGTCTAGACACAATGAATATAATAAACAAAAGTTTACTCAATATTTCAGTTCATCTCTTCTCAGGTACAGCCCTAGAGTACTGATAGTAACCTTGGAAGGTCTAGGGTAGGGGAATCTCAGATAAAGGAGATAAGAATAGTACAGATCCATTCATAGTTAGTTTCTTGCCAGTAAGTGTTAATAATATTATAGACATTCCAGAACCCCAGCGCCAATGCATTAAGAAAACAGACAGAAGATCAGACTCGAAAATGACAGCAAGAAAACAAGAATGGAAAAGAAGAAGGGGAAAAAAAAGTAATAAAAAATAGAGACAAAAGAATGCAAAAGCAAGCGCGAAACTATAAAGGAACCCTCAACAAAGAAATCTATCTACCAAGTAAAAGCCTCCTCCACAAAATCCACCACAGCACCCCGACCAATCCTCTTCCTCGCCGCCCCCCGAACCTCATCCGCAAAGGCACCAGGCCCACAAACAGAAACAAGCGTCGCGCCAACCCTAACCGGCAAAATCTCATCAAGAACGACATCAGGCCGACACCGACCAGAATGCATTTGCACCGTCGCCGACGGCGAAACAATATCCGCCGCGCGCCGCGGTTTAGAAACAAAGAGCTTCACAACGAGAATCTCCCGTCGATTCGGCAGGCGCAGGATTTGGTCCATCCACGCGCTTATCCAGGCGAGGTGATCTGTTGAGCGGACGGACCAGATGAGGTAGACGCGGCGTGTTGCGGCGCGGCCGGTTGAGGCGCGCTGGACGAGATCCCGCGTATACTGCAGGTGGTGGGTGATTCCTGCACCGGCTGAGAAGAGGACGACCGTGCCGTAGCTGGATACGTTTGTCGGGTGCGAGCCGTAGGGTCCTTCGATGTAGCCTGGGATTGTGAGGGTTTTCAGCGGGCTGGTGTTGGCGAGGTTGTAGAGGCGGCGGGTCATGCCTTGCTGGGCGCCGATGATGAGGGAGACTTGTGTTGGGGTGTGGGCTGGGTTGAGGTAGGTGTCTAGATCGAAGGATTGTTTTTCTAGGGACGAGGGAGTGAGTGGAGAGGAGGATTTTGAGTCGGATATGTGGGCGGCCATGGCTGTTGAGGGACTGGGTTTGCTGCTGTTTTCGGTCCAGGCGATTGAGAATGGGTGCGACATCCACCATGATATGCTGGGGATGTAGGCGAAGACGTGGCATCCTGGTTTGATGTCGACTTGTTTGGGGAGGTGAAAGGTCACTCGGCATGCTTCCCCTGGTAGGGCTTGGACGGTCATGTTTGTGGAGCCGTGTCGGGGGAGAAGTTGAGATAGACGAGGCGGAAGAGTCGTATACTGCGCTCGAGGAGCCAGATCACGGCGATTGTATGGGCCCAGCTTCTTTGGGGAAGACTGTCGATGCTTAGGTGGGCGTATACACCGAGGAAGGCGAGTAGGGCGGCGAGCTGATGTAGATGCAGGAAGGTCTCGTAGAAGGCATGGCGGATTGGAGATGGGGAGTGCAGAGCCAGAAAAAGCATCGAAACCGTTCCCAACAGACCCCAAGTGAAGAATGGCTCATTCCTTAAGCGTGCAAGCATGTCCGTCATATCTTGCTCCGCACAAGCATTGACGGCCCAAGCAATAGTGTGAACAAGGGACTCAATCACAACGATACGGCCAAGCCATCGATGAAGGAGATTGTATGTATCAAAGCTGATATGCAGAATCGAAATGAGCGGGTTATTGCGGGCTGCCAGAAGAAACAATGGCACCATGTTGAGAACGGCCAGCGTTCCAGAGCGACCCCGAATCTCCGCGACAAGAGCCGCTTTCTCATTAACACTATAATCCAGGAACAGGCAGTATGCAACTTGACTGGAAAAGTACAGAGTGACCAGGATGGTTTGGAACCGGGAGGGTAGTGTACCGATGCCAATAGCAGAAGAAAGCTGGACCTCTCGATTGTGCCTCTTTCGCCCGAGGGGAGCATAAAGAAGGTGCTTTTTCATGTTGGCCCACCAGGCCGAATGTTCCTGGCTCCAGAAGGTTTGCTGCCTCCTATCGGCTGTCACCGAAGTAATTTGGCGGAGGAAGGCATGGCTAATCTGTGCTATCCTGCCACAGAAGATGCTGAATGCCAGAATGACGACTGACGAATAGATAATTCGGGTGATAATCACATCGCGGGGAACATCGACACCACCGAGCCCCCTCGAGTACTCATAGATATATGTAGAATTTGTTCCATAGCCGCGTGCCGCAATATGCGGTTGGGATGTAGCCATTGATATACCCCAGAACCGGCTGAGGGATGGGCGTTGGAAGACGACACTGTTAGCGAATGCAAGGATTCAGTGCAGACGGTGGTTGTCGATTCCAGTAATGAGAGTTGTTCCAGAAAGATGTGGAGTTTGACTGTGTATCTTGTGAATACTGGTGTGACGTCGACTATGTTTTGGTTGCGGGGAGTCGAGGGGAATGCGATGATCAGAACATGGAATAGGGCGATGTTTAGGCGGTTCGAATGAGATCACTGCAGGCCAGATTCCAACAGGGGCAGTATTGATTGACGATCAATAGTGAATGAACAAACAAAAAGGCAACAGCCGCTAATAAAGGTGCATTGTGTTTGAGTCAATGTCGGAGATGGTTTGAGAAGGAGTGAATGAAGCCTGATGCACAACAATGCCAGTTGTCTCAAAAGTTTGGAGAGGCGAAAACCAGAAACCGGAAATCTCTGAACAGTTTCTTGTGGAATCTGGAAAAAGCAGATCTCTAGGACACAGATCTTTTGTTGGACTTTGCTTCGGCAGGCATCGTCCAGGCGATGAGGAATGCTGGTAGCAAGGGAGGCCGTAGATCCGGACCGGACACGTTTTTCTCTCTCTCTTTTTCTTGGCCTCCCACAGAGAGAGGTTGACGGGGAAGAAAGTAAAAACAGACAAGAAAGAGGAAGATGAGGTGAAAGTCTCAGGTAAAAAAAAAGAAAGACACAAAGATCTAGAACTGAATCAGAGACAAAAGAATCAAAACCTGGCGATCAACGCAGGCACGGGCTTTTCTAAAAAAGATCTAAGGAACCAAGCCAGTGGACACGAAACGAACGGAAGAACGGAAGTAACTTGCGACGAACACCCAAGAGAAAATCATTTCTTGCAGGGGCAGGAATACAGAAGTAATAAAGAGAAATTAAGTGGTCGAGTCAGTCCACAGTCCACTTCAAACCCACATCGGAGGTAGGCTTGACAAACCGCCACTGCTAGCCACTACCGGGTCAGGAGCTCAATTCTCCATGGTATGAGAAAGCAGGTCTAAGCTGGTCCAGGTAGTTCCAAGCCTATCGGAAAGTCTCCTTCTACCACCAAGAAGCGCCGGTGTTTCCAGGGGGGTCGGACAGCAGAAAGATCGAAACGATGATTGGCCGCTTGGGACTGTCAGGGCAGCTGAGGATCCTTGCAGATCTGCGACCGGGCGTGACGCCCAGGGACAGGCAAGTCTGGCAGGAGAGAAAGACGCTAGGCAGCGGTGAGTTTGGATTGAAGTGGGCCTATCATATGTCGCTTGGATGGGTTTGCGGTTTCAGAGTTCTCTATCAGAAACCAACCGACTCGCGCCGCAGAGGTTAGCGATGTCTAGGGTCACCCCTGGTCACCCTTAATGGCGTAGGTTGAAATTGAAAAGAATCTGTCCGGCCCCATCACACGGTTTCTTCCGGGATTATTTTTTGCATATCTTGAATAATTGATATCAAGAAAAGAAGGTCTTTGTGTGCACATTGGCCGTGCTTTTGTGACAAAAGCAGAATCTTATTGATATATTTCTGCCTGGGGTATCAGGCAATAGTATGCCCATAACTAGGGTCACACTATGGAGTAACTTTAACTTATTTCTATCTCACACATCTCATTCATGTAGTATTTCCAAGGTTTGCCAACTTCCAAGGTAACTCTGCAAGTGGCATGATTCATCCCAGTCGTTTATGCATCATATCATCTGTCCAATTTACCGACCCATCCAGCCACCATCAACGGTGACTATCTCACCAGAGACATAGCTACTGGCGTCGCTAGCCAAGAAGACCACCGGTCCCTTGAAATCCTCCGGCTTGCCCCACCGACCGGCTGGAATACGCGCCATAATACCGGCATTGCGGTCCGCATCATTGATAAGTGCGACGTTCATGTCGGTGTTGATGTACCCAGGGGCAATCGCGTTGACATTAATTCCCTTGGAGATCCACTCGTTGGAGAGCGCCTTGGTTAACTGTCCAATACCACCCTTGGAAGCGGCGTAGGCGGGGACGGTGATACCTCCTTGGAAGGTAAGAAGCGAAGCGACATTGATAATTGACCCACGGCGACCGGAGGGAAATTCGGATGCGTCACGAGAAAGCAGGTAGGCGCCGAATTCCCGACACAGGACGAAAACCGCGGAGAGGTTCACTTCGAGAACCTAGATCGGGATACCTCCGAGTTAGCGTTGAACATGGCAAGATGTGAATTGCAAAAGGGGGGGAGGGGAAAGGACAGGGACAGGGAGAGGGAGAGGGGGTGACTGAGACTGACCTCGTCCCAATCCTCATCAGGGAATTGGTGGCTTGGGTGTCTCCTCTGGATGCCAGCGCAGGTAACGAGGATATCGGGCTTCAGTCCTTGGTTGGTTACTGTGGGAATAATTTCCTTGACCGATATACGATCGGACAGCTCCGCAACATGGATGTAGGCCTTGCGACCGAGGCGGTTGATGATTTCATCTCTAGTGCTGGTATTCGACTCATCGCGTTGGACAAGAATGACATCGGCACCGGCCTCGGCCAGAGCAAAGGCCATGGCCTGACCGATGCCACGAGTGCCGCCGGTGATGAGGGCAGTGCGCCCGCTCAGGGAGAATAGGGAGGTGACTGATGCCATGATGGTATTAATTTAATTGGAAGGGAGAAGAAGAAAAACAAGAAGCAGAAGTAGACGGAGAGGGAATACTAGCCCCTCCAAATAATCATAAAGATTTCCGACATGACGACAAGCTCCCCCCACGCGATGCGCGCGGAGACGGACTTGGGCCGGATATCTCATGTTTGGTTGCCGGTTCAAATACCGTCGGCTATTGAGAGGAGGAGAGGAAGTGGAGAGGGAGGAGTAGAGAAGGTATGGTAATAAGATAAAGAAAGGATGAGGCAGGGTAAACACAGTAGTTAATTATTTCTACATATGATTGTTGTACAAATACCCATTCAAGTAGTTATAGTTACAAGTAGATGTACTATGTAGTCATACTCAGGAGTCCCATAGATTACTTGTAGCCTTGAGATAATCTGAGGAACCTCAACTCTCTTTCCCCACAATCCACCCCGACCCCAACGATGAGTAAGGCTCCTCTCCTCCTTTCCTCCTCCGCACTGCTTTTTCCCCGGTGGGTCATCACTCGGCCTTTGTTTTTTTTATCTTCCTGTCCGGCAATAATGTCGCTGTAAACCCATCCGTGTCGCAAGGGCCGAATCGATATTATGTCTCCATCACAGGCCGAGACTGAGACTGACCCTCGGCGGTCCGACCACGTCGTCAAACGTGTCTCCCGAGCCTGTCTGCACTGCAGGCAGCGCAAATCACGCTGTGATCTGTATGTCGGTCTCGACTCCTGCTGCTGCTTCCCCCGGAGATCTGCAATTTTGAGCTCCCCGCTAATATCCTGCCGCATAGCGACGCCAACGGCAACGGTATTCCGGGCAAGCCACCCTGTCAGCGCTGCGTGCGCGAACATCGTGAATGCATCCTTGGTGGTTCCAACCGTGGAGGCCGGCGCATTCGTAAGAACAAAATCAAGAACTTCACCCCGGTCACAAATCCCTCGCCGAGCAAGGACTCCGAAGACATCACGAGCCCGAATAGCTCGGAGGCGCGCCGACCTCCATCAGCTTCTTACCCTGGTCCAGTGGTTTTTCTACCACCAAACCCTCCAGCCACCTCCGCACCTGTCGAAGAAGAAGAAGAAGCTTCTATCGATACAGTTCCGCGTAACCCATCCGATGCCTGGCAATGTCTGACCGGGATTGCCACCCAGGATAATGGTATCGTCCCAGAAGGCCAGGATGAACGGGTTCGATCGGACTCGGGTACTTTCTCAACATATAATAATAGTCTACGGAATGGCGTTGTCGCAGACTTCAATACCCCAAATGCCGGAATCAGGGCCTATAGGCTAGTCCAGTTACGGTCTCTGGATCCCGGAACTGTCTGGCAGCTCGTCACACGCTATGCAGACAACTTCCACCCATATCTTCCACTGGTCCCGCGCAAATACTTTGAACGCTCGGCGCTGGATGATTTCGCAACCAACGAGAAATATCTGCTAACCGCGGTCCTCACCATTGCGTCGAAGGATTTGGTTGACAGGCCCGAGATCCACGAGTACTGTTCAAAATACATGCACGAGCTGATCTCGGGTATTGCTGCAGGAGCAGACTGTGACGTCGAGGCCGTGGAAGCTCTGCTTCTATTAGCTGAGTGGGAGCCGCAAGGTCTGCGGCCCCGCGTAGAACGTGTTGGACGCGGAGAGGAAGACCGAGCTGCATGGATGCATGTTGGGCTCGCCCTGCGCTCGGGCTATTTTATTGGACTGGATCGGACATCCTTCCGTGGAGATCCATATGGCGACCAGGCAACTGAGGCTCGGCGGCGGTTAGCTTGGGCTAGCTGCTATGTCTCTGATCGTCTCATATCTGTGCGTATTGGGAGAGCGTTCTGGTCTCGGGGACCGGGCCCAATGACCGGTCTTGTGAGTCAAGATTTCCCATCGTTGCAGCCGGCCAAGGAAGGTGATGAGGACTACTCGAAGATCTTTCAAGCAATGCTGGATCTCACACAGCTCTATGGAAATGTCCACGAGGTGTTGTATTCTGGAATGCGAACCAGCAACCAGATGATGCTCATGGGCGACTACGTCAAATACGTCGATGACTTTCGACTAGCAATCCTTCGGTGGAAATCCTTGTGGGGACCTTTAGACTGTACATCTCCCCAAATTTATCTTGAGATTTGTCTAAGCTAACCATGCGTGAATTAGGCTCTCCGCCAATGCGGGCTACTTTAGATCTGTCATACGAGTACCTCCGCCTATATACGACGGCATTTGCCTTCCAGGCTGCGATTTCCCAGTCATTAGTGAAGCCGAAGACCGATGGAAGCTCCCATCGAGATCAGCTGAGAAGTACCTTCAAAAATGTCGCCTCGATGCAGGATTCCCGATTCATTTATGAGTCTGTCGATGCGGCGAAAGCCTATCTGACGATTCTCGTTGACGCCGTGGATCCAGAGCGGCATTTGCATTTTATGCCGCTGCGATTCTACTTGTAAGATCACATTTCACCAGCCCGCGTGGTTCATTTACTTACCCGACTCCAGATATGGCATCTACTCTGCCGTGTTCCTCTACAAGGCTCGCTCTTTTGGCATGATGGTTCCTTCAGAAGAAGCCAAGGTTCAAGGCCTAGTCGCACGTACCACCGAGGTGTTGAGACAATCTAGCGCTGGTAAAGATGACATTGGAGCGCGTTATTCCCGTTTGCTGGAATTACTGTGGAAAACCAAACCATCCTCCGGGAATCCACCAGCAGAGACACCTCGCAGTAATGACTTTGCGATGCAAACTGCACTTTCAAACCCGGTCACCGACCACACATATATGGACTTTAGTCCGGCCAATGATTTTTCATGGCTTGACTTGGAAGCTGTGGGCGACTATGTCTCGGGGGATGCAATCTCGGGTGGTCTGCTAGGGTTGGATGCGTTCCAAAATCCCTCCGATCCTTATCAGCCAGGTCAAGACCGGTCGCAAAGTTGGCAACCATCAACCTGGCTCGGTGATATGAGCAGCAATCTTCTTTTCTAGTCATTTATCTGTTCGTCCCATTTGGGAGATTTTCAAAGGCCGACGACCCCTTCTCAAGGGCGGGAAACTGGTGCGGGGCTGCGGAGCTCCTCCCGGAGATCGCCCCGACCATCGAGGGGTAACCGAGGCCAGCTGTACGACTTTCACCAGCTCCAAAATCCTACTCAATCTTGGATCGCAGAGTGAATTCCCTTTTCACACTCTCGACTACTCCTCTTCAAAATCACATACACAATGTCACTTAACGAGATCCAAGGCAAACTTGCCCTTATCACCGGCGCATCGGGCGGGTAAGCATTACTCCATATCCTAGCTACGACAAGCGTTGTACCATGCAATCAAAGCATGGCTTAAAACTACAATGACAAAAGATTGCTAACGCGACTCTCTTGCAACTAGTATTGGAAGCGCATGCGCTCACCAACTCGCGCAAAGGGGAGTCCATCTGGCCCTGACCTACTCCAAGAGCCTGGAGCCGCTCAATGCGCTGGTTGTTGATCTTCGCACCAAATATGCCGAGAACAAGCTTCGTATCTCGATTCACCAGGTCGATGTAGGAGATGCGGATCAGATCGAGGCCATGTTCCAGCAAATTGACACTCAACACGGTCACCGACCGGATATTCTCATCTCGAATGCCGGATACGGGAAACGGATGACCAATGTGTGGGAGATTCCGCTCGAGGAGTTCGATTACATGTTGACTGTGAACCTTCGCGCTTCATTTATCCTGGTGAAGGGCGTGGTTGAGCACATGAAGGAGCAGCGGTGGGGACGTATTATTTTCATGTCTTCCATTGCTGGCCAAGGAGGAGGTATCAACGGATGTCGTGAGTACACTCTCCCTTGTTCTAGCCTGTTCTGTGTCTAACACTTTCTCTTTGCTTAGATTATGCCGCTTCTAAGGGTGGTCTCACCGGAATGATGAAGAACCTGTCTAGCCGCCTGGCCGAGTTTAACATTAGTGTTAACGATGTCGCCCCCGCTATGATCGGTGAAACGGGTATGATCCCGAATGCTGCGGCCATTCCAGAGGTTGCAGCTGGTATTCCTTTGCAGCGCCTTGGAACACCAGAGGAGACGGCTAATGTCGTGACTATGCTGGCCACCACGGGGTACATGACAGGCCAGAGCCTCTTGCTGGCAGGGGGGGTTGAAATAAATTGTTGTATAAAGCTAGTACATAGTAAGAAGATACATAATCAAAGTCCAGTTGTATACTGCCAAAGAACTTGAACTTGGAATTTTCTTACACCTGGGCATTCAACGAGTCCATCTGACTAGTACACTTAGTAACCTCCCCAAACCTATGAAACAACTTGAAAGCAGACTCGGAGGAAAAGAGTAATTTCAATTCAATTCATGATTCATTCTGACATTTAATATATGCACTCTGTATATGTCAAGCTCACAACCAACAACTCATTCCCATGGGTATTTTCAAAGATCATCAACGTCATCACATCACACAACTCCTTTTAATACACAGCACTCTACAAAGAAGCCTGCAGCTTACTCTCAATAATAACCTTCACAACAGGCCGACCACTCTCATCAACACCTTTACCAGCCAGCGTAAAAGCGCGCGCACCATCTTCCAAACTCACCCGGTGAGTAACAACCTTCTCCTCAGTAGCAGCCAGCTTCCCACTAGCCAACAGCGCAATAGCAGCAGGGTACGCATGTCCATCATACCGGAACGTACCAATGACATCGACCTCGCGCAGCGCAGCCGCCCCAACAGGAACAGTCTGGATGGGATTACCCATACCAACCTGAACAAGCAGACCGCCAGGCGAGGAGGCGTAAATACCCGCCTGCACACAGGCAGGCACACCAGTGCAGTCATACACGCGGCTGAATCCAGTGATTTCCGCGTCGTCAGCTGCATTGGCGACCTCGGTCAATTTCGCCGCGACGCTTTGCGCATTGGTCAGGGCCCAGGCAGTCTGGTCTGCGTGGGGAGCGTCCTTGGCAGGAGGTGGGTTGGTGGGATCGCGGGGGATAAGAGCAGTCTTTAGACCGAGCGAGGCGGCGATTTCCAATCTCGCGGCGTCAATATCCGCGACTAGGATTGAGGAGAAGTTCTCTGCGGCAGCGAGTGATGAAGCGAGTAAGAGGCCGATGGCGCCAGCGCCGAAGACCAATGCGGATGTACCCTCGCCGGTGGTCTTTGCGGCGGCAACTTCTTCCTTGGATGGGGGGCGCGAGCGGCGGATGGCGTGGAGGCAGACGGCCAGTGGCTCGACGAGGGCACCGCCGGCGTCGGAGACGTTGGAGGGTAGAGCGTGGCACATGTCGGCGGGGTGGTTGGTGCGTTCCATGAGGGTGCCGTCGAGGTGGGGGAACATCTTTGCGCTGGAGCGGAACTGCATCGCCTTGCAGATGTTGTAGCGGCCTGATTTGCAGAGGGCGCATTTACGGCAGGGGAGACCGACTTCTAGAGCGACGCGGTCGCCGACTTTGAGGGTTGTCACGTTTGGTCCGATGGCTGTGACGGTTCCGGCGGATTCGTGGCCTAGGACACATTGGTTCGCGCACGACGAAGTCGCCGTTTCGGCCGTGGGAGTAGTAGTGGAGGTCGGAGCCGCAGAGGCCGGTTGCTTGGACGGCGACTTGGACGTCGGCGTCGGAGGGGGCGCTGACTGCTCGCTTCTCCTGGGGGTTTGTTAGTTCATTGCCCTCGAGGGTGGTTTATATGGTATACTACATACCACACGGAGATCCTTAGCGCCATGGAGGACGAGGGCGGTTGCTGATGACTCTGCCATGATGAATGTGAAGTATGGAAGGAATTGAGGTCGAGGAAGAGCAAGAAGATGCAGATGCAAAGATTGTAAATGTAAACGTAAATGTCAGGGCAAGATAAATGAGGGCGGCAGTTGGATGTTCCCCTCAGCGGAGTTGGTCCGGAAACTGTCCATTTGGGGAAATTCCAATTGCCGACATGGTTGACGTGGGGGAAATCCTTAGGAGGTGGGGGTGAATCCGCGGGGGCTACTGGATTCTTTTCCGTTGGTTATCCTTCGCATTCTTTTGTAAGCATCGCATTGCTATAGAGGCTCAGAGGGCATATATCCCGAAGAACTGGCGATGTAACCACCTGGGCATACTCTAGGCAAAATATAGATTCCTGGTGACACACTCCATCTACTCTAGTACTAATATGTACCTATGGATACCCGGAATCTGTCTTCCATTGCCGATACCCCCCCCCAAGTCCACCTGGGGCATTTGTGTCTCCCGCGGGGGCGTCATGGGGGCCCAGTGGAGCTCCGCCGGCTTATCGGACTCTGTCACTGTCACCATTCATTCAGTCGTTGGAGTAATAGCTCTCTGACCCCTCCATCTTTCCTTCCTCAATAATCTCCCCCCCTTTACTTCTTTACTTCTTTCCTCCTTCACTCTACCTAGTTACTCTGTTATACCATATTCTGCCCTCCTAGAAGTCTTTATTCCAGTTGTATCCAGGTATGCGCTTCCCCACTGACATCATACGCACCCTGGGGCATTCCCCCAAACTTACACCTCCCTACAGAATCGATTCTCCAACATGTCTTCTCAAGCCGCTCTCCTTATTGGAGAAATTACTCACGCGCGCAAGGAGTGGGAGAGCCTCTCCTCGCTCTTGACCCTCAAGGTACACATTAATTGGTTCTTGAACAGCGCAGAGTTCCTAACTAACTGCGCATAGGAATTCCCCACCGGAACTCGCGAGGAATTCATCCAGAACTGCAAGGCCGGCCAGTACGACGACGTAGTTGCTATCTACCGCTCTAATACCTCCAATAAAGTGTGCCCATCTTAATTGTTCCCTCTATGAAACACCTAACTAATTGCGCTGTTCCTAGTACACCGGACCTTTTGATGCCGAGCTGCTGGCAGTCCTGCCCCAGTCTCTCCGGTATATCTGCCACAACGGAGCTGGATATGATAATATTGATGTCTCCGCTTGCACACAAAAGAACATTTCCGTTTCTAGCACCCCCGTTGCGGTGAACAATGCCACCGCTGATGTTGGCATTTTCTTGATGATTGGTGCTCTCCGCCAGGCCTATGTCCCCCAGGCTGCTCTTCGGGCAGGTGAGTAGCACGTATTCGATGGCCGTGATTCAATGCGCAGCATACTAATGGTTTATTGTAACAGGCCAATGGCACGGAAAGACCACCCTTGGCCGTGACCCTCAGAACAAGGTCCTAGGTATCCTTGGTATGGGCGGTATTGGACGAGTAAGTGCACAACTCATCCCGAATCGCCATCTACTATATTTGCTAATCAAAACCCGACAGGAAATGGCGACTCGCGCGAAGGCTTTCGGCATGAAGATCCAATACCACAACCGCTCACGCCTGTCCCCAGAATTGGAGAACGGCGCAACCTACGTCTCGTTTGATGAGTTGCTGGCCAACTCGGACGTCTTTAGCTTGAATCTCGCTCTGAATGCGTCAACCCGGCATATCATCGGTGCACCCGAGTTCAGCAAGATGAAGGATGGTGTTGTGATCGTAAACACGGCGCGTGGAGCTCTGATTGATGAGAAGGCGCTGGTCGCAGCAATTGACTCCGGCAAGGTATGTTCTTTCCTACAGTTAAAGTGTGAATTGGAAATAGGCTAATTGGTAATGATATTAATAGGTCGGCTCCGCTGGTCTGGATGTATATGAGAAGGAGCCACAAATTGAGCCGGGTCTGGTGAACAACCCCCGGATCATGCTGCTGCCACACATCGGCACGATGACTTACGAGACGCAGAAGGAGATGGAAATTTTGGTGTTGGACAATCTGAGATTGGCTGTGGAGAAGGGGGAGCTGATCACTCAGGTTCCGGAGCAGAAGCGATGAGGGTAGGACAAGATGTTATAGAATAGAATGCAATGAATTTCAAATTTCAAGTTTTAAGCAAGTTCCAGGAAGTACACCTGGGCACTCTCTGGTCAAAAATATATTGTCCAGTTCAAGTTCAGATCGCAATTCATGTATGGTAACATGAATTGCGTTGAATTGGAGTATTTGACTGAAAGAGGATTTGCATGTTAGTAATTTGGCTTTTTTCAAATCGTAACATTTCTAGCGCCGCCACCATCCACGCTAATACCGACGGATCGCGCTGGCCAGAGAGTGTATAGACTGTAGCTTTTAGTTAGGTGGTTCAAACCTTTTCATCTCCAAGTTCAGTGGCTGCCTGAGGCGAAAAGGTGGACCCCCGTAGCTGACTAACCTGCAGAAATGACTCAGCAAGTGTGCATGACTAATCCCAATATCGTATTAGCTAAGCACCTGCCATATGTGGCTAGCGTTAGGGCTCTAAGCGAAAAAAAACCGCACCACTCTGGTGATCCAGCGTTAGCGGACGGCCTTCGAAAAGCGACAACATCAACCCGACACCGAGGACCATCATTTCCCCTCGCCAACTCCTTCAAGATGGTGAGTTCTGCTCCCTGTTATTGCTCTACGTTGCTCCGGTCTTCGAAATATGCACTCAAGCGTCTCTATCCTTGTCCAATCTATCTCGAATCTCGATGATGGACAAATGATCAATCGCCTCCGCACGAATCCGGCCACCACCACCATCACCACCACCACCACCCCCAAACGGCTATAATGAATGCTGACGACGGTTTCTTTACGATTTGCAGGTCCGTTACGCCGCCCAGGAGATTGAGAACGCCAAGAGCGCTCGCGCTCGCGGCTCTTACCTTCGTGTCAGCTTCAAGAACACCCGCGAGACCGCTCAGGCCATCAACGGTATGAAGCTGAACAAGGCCCTTACCTACCTTGACAACGTCACCAAGAAGTCCATGGCCATCCCCATGCGCCGCTACGCTGGCTCCACTGGTCGCACCGCCCAGGGTGAGTTGCCCTCGAATTTTTCTCAACATGTTGGAATTGGATAGATATGTGGAATTTCGGATTGACACCGTTACGACTCGAATTGTTCAACATGAGACATAAACTATCGAACAATTGACTAACAGGATTCGTTTTTAGGCAAGCAGTTCGGTGTCTCCAAGGCCCGCTGGCCCGTCAAGTCCGCCGAGTTCCTCATTGACCTCCTGAAGAACGCTGAGGCCAACGCCGACACCAAGGGTCTGGACACCTCCAACCTGGTCGTCCAGCGCATCCAGGTTAACCAAGCGCCCAAGCAGCGTAGACGCACATGTTCGTGGCCCTATATCGAATTTTGACTTTTGTGACCAATTGCTAACGATTTTTCTAGACCGCGCTCACGGTCGTGTAAGTTGATTTTTACAACAAAAAAATCGGATCTCAATAACTTTCATGGGTAATTTCTAATATCGTTTCCAGATCAACCCCTACATGTCCAACCCCTGCCACATCGAGCTTATCCTCACCGAGGCCAACGAGGAGGTCGCCAAGGCCGCCCCCAAGGAGGTTGCCCACCTGTCTTCCCGCCAGCGTGGTACTCAGATCCGCCGTGCTCTGATTGAGGCATAAACGGATCGCTGAAAGGAATAGGGGATGATGGTGCGTCAGGAAAGAAAAAGGATTGCGGTGGAATGGGTTGACCGGAGTTCTTGCGCATCTGTATGTTGGAACGGAAATGATACCGGATCATACAAGATTTATTAAGTCATGGCACCAACAACTTTCCGAGGAGAACCAAATAAAAAGTTTAAACAGCGCGGCTCCGGAATGATGGACATAGGTTTTCTGTACTGCCCGGTCCGATCATGATACAAACGTGGTTTCTTCTCTGTTGTGATCTTCTCTCTTTTTTCCACTCTTGTATAAGAATGGTCTGGGGATCTTGTGTCTCTGGTTCGATTTCCCTCAACCGGGCCTGGACGTCTGTACGAGCGCTTGAACAACGGCCTTCGTGTTCGCTAAAGTAATTGCATACTACGTTTTATGATTTCAGGTGTCTCCGAGTTGTAGCATCGCTGTAAATCCTGAAACTCTTGAGTCTTAGAAGTGTTCACATATCGACTACTAGGTAACTAGACTTGCAATTCCGGGGCACTCATGTCTTGTATGGAAAGCACATGCTTTAATTGATACTAGGAGTATCTCTGTGTCTAGGACAAAGTACCATGAGCGGGGAGACCAGAACGTGCGGGGCACAACCTGCAGATCAAACTTGAATCCGACCGCAACTACAACTATCCAAGTCCAATCACACAATACTAGTTCCTGATATCCAAAGAGACATCACAATGACCCAGCTCTCCGACTATCGACTCCTCTGCTTCGATGTCTATGGGACCCTAATCGACTGGGAGGGTGGCATCCTTGCCGCTTTACAACCACTCCTCATCGATGCACAAGTCCCCCGCGAGAAGCTTCTGACCGAGTTCCACGAGCTAGAAGCCGGGCAGCAACAGCTAACGCCCGATATGCCATACTCGCAGCTCCTCGCCACCGTCCACCCTCTGCTCGCTGCGCGCCTGGGTCTCCCCATGCCCAGCCAGGAAGCCAGCGCAGCATTCGGAGAATCCGTCGGGAACTGGCCCGCCTTCCCAGATACAGTGGCAGCCCTGAAGAAGCTATCACAGCATTACAAGCTCGTCGTGCTCTCGAACGTGGACCGGGCTTCGTTTGCCAAGTCCAATGCTGGCAGCTTGGAAGGGTTTCCCTTCGACAAGATCATCACTGCGCAGGATATCGGCTCATATAAACCTGATGCGCGGAACTTCGAGTATATGAAGACGGCCGTGCAGGCTGAGTTTGGGGTGAGCTCGGACCAGATCTTGCAGACGGCACAGAGTCAGTTTCATGACCATCAGCCGGCGCGGAGGGCGGGGATTAAGTCTGTTTGGATTGAGCGGCCTGGGGCTACGATGGGGAATCGGAATGATCCCATTTTTGATTGGCGCTTTGCAACGCTGGGTGAGATGGCGGATGTGTTATAGGTGCCTAGGTTGCTGTTGTAAAGGGAGGGGAGCCCCTAGAAGAAGTTTAGTTGACCTAGATACATAGTTTACTAGATAACTAATACAGGGTTTAGAGATATCTAGATCCCTAGTAGTACTAGTATTAGCCTCACCCACACAAATTACTAAGATCTAATATTCTCTATTATAAAAATTAACTTATATAACTATAGGTATAATCCAGAAAAATTATTAGAAGTTATCTATAAAAATTATTATAATCTAATATTTCTAGGATTTTTATAAAAACTTACTGTGTGACTTGAATACTTAAATAAGTTAGATACGCTGGACAACTTGGTTGGAGATATCCCAAATCTTAGTGTCAGTCTTGGGAGGTGAATAAAGAACTCAGTGGACTTGACGGGTCAGCCGGCCTTAAAGAGGCTTCCTAAAGGTTACCTAGAAACTTCTGAGGTCCCGATGAGGGTCAGGCTACCAAAGTGCTGAGTTATGCCATGCAATGTATAGATAGCTTCAGGTCATTCCTTTATTCATCCCTCCTGAAACCAATCCTATTAATCAATTTTTTGTTATTGTATATCCTACCTAGGTACTAATTGAATAATGATCCCGACTTAAAGAAAATAACGTATTCTTAAGTCGGGTGCAGTCAAAAATATGTTGTGTATTTCCCAACTGAAAGCTACTACTACTGCTACTAGTAGTAAGGACTCAGATGCTTTAAAATATAGCAGTAGTATTGAACGAAGGTATTAAGCCGAGAGAGAGAAGAGAAGAAGAAGAGAAGCTCCCATCGCAACTATCTGCATGAGCGGCTGCCCGGGTCACGTGTTTAGTCACGTGTCAGACACCGAAGGCTTCAATCGTTACACAAGTATGCTAATGGACATAAAAGGCACGGGATCCAAGGCTGTCCACAAAATATGGCTAGTCACCTCTAGGTTGATCTAAGGACATCAAAGTTATTCACAACCGCATCGTTCTTCACAATATCCCACAGGTCCGAGATCTGCGCTGCCACCTCGTTAGGCAGAGGTCCAGCTTTAAGGGCAGCAACAGTCTGCTTCGCCTGATTCAGACTGCTAGCTCCAACAACCAGTACGTCTCCAAGTCGCGCATCAAGAGCCGAATGGAATGCTACCCATCGATATGCAAGCGCAGCCTTAGGGATATCAGCCGCTTCGGAAATGACATTCCATTTGTCCAATGCTTCAAAGAAAGTGGGCTTTCCGTATAGAGCGTGATAGAATGACCCCAGTGGTGACTTCGGGTCCCAACGGCCCTCGCCCTTGGTACCAGAAGTCAACTGGGCAGTGGTTTTGGTGAGGAACCCACCTGCAATGGGGCTGTAGGCGTAGAAAGCAATTCCATTATCGCGCAGAGTGGGCAGGATATCATTATCCAGCTGGCGGGCAATCGCGCTGTAATTTCCCTGGTAGACTTTGGGGAGAATGTAATTATGCTCAGTCGCCACGCGTAGAACATCTTTGATTTCGTCGGCGTTGAAGTTGGACAGCCCAAAGTTGTTGAATTTTCCGGCTTCGTAGAGATCGTTGACCCCGGCAAGAGTTTCCTCGAGAGGTACCTTTGGATCAGGGGCATGGAGATAGAAGTTGTTCACCTGTGTTCGTCAGTATGTGAAAAGGTCTCGTATCTCAGGGTGAATCTCACTTTTTCAACCCCCCAGTCTTTCCAAACTGGCAAGCGCTCGCTCAAAAATCTCCTTTCGAGATGAGCTCCCTGGCACGAATCCTCCGACATGCTTGGTATCAACAAGGAAGTCTGACAATCCCTCGCCCTGGCCAATGAGCTGCTCGCTGGTACCACCACCATAGGACTGCGCAGTGTCAAGTTGAGTGATTCCTTCGGCTTTGAGGGTTTTAAATAAACTCGAGACCTCTGCGGCGTTTGAGAAACTTCCATCCTCGGCTGTGATGGTCGCTCCGCCGAATACGAGGGTAGGGATAAGAGCCATAGTATGGGGAATTAGTTGATATCAAGGAAAATTGAAAGTGTTTGTTGTTGAATTGTATAAATCATAAAATCTGCATTTCTACCCTGGTATATAGCTCCTATATAGTCTCAACATTTGCCGTGCTTGGAAATCAGTCCGTGGCTTGCATACACTCCTATCCTCCTATACGGCTGTGCCCCGGTGGGATAGAAAGCCAAGAATTAATAAGCAGTAAATCAGTAATGCCACTCATTCAGCACCTGGGCTGCTAATGTAGATGTTCCAATTCAAGTTTAGTCTGTGTAGAATAAAGTACTCTCAAACCTTTGTTACCCATGCTCTTTCTCAAAATGGCAAGTGTACTTTGTCAGCAATAAATCGAATATAGTCCTTTGGATTCCATCGCCTTCAAAGTTTTATGGAGCCTCAAATTGCAAAAATATCCATGTGTTCTTTTTATCGGCGTGGCATCGAACACTGACCGGGCAGTTTTTAGCATGCTGTGCGTGTCAAGTCTTGTTCTCGGTTTGCAGTTCTTGATTTCCTCCCAGACCATTGAAAAGCCGACCGGGAGACTCGGCATGTGTCCTTCTTCTATCGACTAATCAGTTGCTATTAAATCCACTGGAAGTTGTATTAGATCTCATCAACAAACATAGGTGTTTAGCTAATCGGAAATGGGCTCTAAAAAGACGTTGTCTCCTTCATGCCTTGACTGACCATCTCGGCCGTTTTCTTGGGCTAGAAAGCAGAGCATATAGCGCCCTTGATATGGACGTGCATAGGGAATCCATGCGCGGAACTTAAATGACACAAATAATTAGTATGATAGAATTTCAAACCTCTTTTTATACCTACACTCCTGCTTCTAACAACTTGTATACAGAGCGGGATGCTAGGGTACCTAACGAGAGCCAATCAATGCCCCGAATTGACTACTGTCATAGAAGAGCCTCCCAGCTCCCGGTTCGACGATTTACTCGGTGATGAGTATATTGGAACCACACTCTCAAAAACCGCCGGATTAGTATACACTGGTTGTACTCTTTCTGACTTACCTATTTCTGAGGCCTGAGGACTTAGGCTACATTTGGCTGAGTCATCTTGCATGTGCTGTAGGTAATTCTCCCCCATCGCTATATTATCTGAGCATCTACAAACAGATGCTATTAGTCGATTGTTTGATGACAGGGTAGTATTCAGTCTATATCTTCTTGAAGGTGCATATTAAAAATCTTTGGTCGCGTGGACCAGAAAAATGGCTGCCTGTATCAGGGATGCAGAGACCATAGCATAATCTGACTTGGCATTGCCTCAGCCACAATGCGTTGACGTGCATTGACTTGGCAAAACGAAGTTCCTTGTAGAGATACTTTACATCGTGAGTCTTCGAATCGTTAGGATTGAACATCTCTTTATTGATCGGGCTTGTTGTTTAGTCTAAATCACGAGATAAATGGTGAATATCGTTGTGGCCACGAAAGACCCCTGGCTAAAAGTACTAAAAATATCGCAAGAGCCTCAAAGGATTGCGGCAAGAAATCCGCTGACTCAGGATTCTGGACGATCTTGACGTACTTAGTATTAGGGTTCCCTTTACCCCAAGCTTACTTAGATTAGGTTGTGGATATGCTGTGCCTCTTATTGTCCACGTAGTCCATCAAAGGCAACAGTCCTAAATGACTTTCTACTCTCGCTATGGACTTTCCTCCCCCGCTTTGCCACTGGTGTCGGCTGCAAAGGCTAGAGGCGCTTAGGCGAAGTGACTGGCTAGTACTAAAATCGATACTAAACCACTAAACACCCCGGGGGCGGTTTTTTGGACCCCATCGCTTGTTTTGTTGCACTTCTTTCCCCCTCTCTCCTTCTCCCCCTTTTTGATAGAAAAAAAAAACATTCTAAAATCTATACCATGAAGCGCATCTTGCCAAAAGGCCTAATTCGGCGCTCGAGTAAGTCACCTTTGCTCTCCCCCTTTTGCCCCCGCAATTTTCGCTGACCGCCGCAGCGACGACGGCTTCCGGCTCGAGCAGCCCCGACCAAACCGATCAGTCGCCAGAGGCCATTTTGCTCCGAGAATTGGTGTGTTGCATGGCCATCGACGATGTTTCTCTTCACTAATCACCTAACCTATCATCCAGACCACCTTCTGCGAAGTGAGCAATAGCCCACAGAATACGGTATGTGTCATGCCTAGCGATGTCTTCCCACCTGGTGCCTTTTGCGGTCTGGTCCCTAACCGGAATCCTCCCCTCTTTAGCAAGGAAATGAGTTCGTTCACCTCCCTCTCATCGTTGAGAGCGCCGAGTCGAGCCCCGCGGCCGCCAAAGAGGCTGCCGTGCGCATTCGCAAATACCTCTCCACCCCGATCCAGACGCCGAACCATGTCCAGTACAATGCGATCATGTTGATGCGCATCCTCACCGACAACCCAGGTCACAGTTTCACCAAGAACTTTGACAGCAAATTCGTCTCAACAATCAAGGATCTCTTGCGGAACGGGCGTGATTGGCACGTGCAGCATTACCTGCGCCAGTTTCTGCATGGCCTCGAAACTACCAAGGCAATGGACGAATATTTGCAACCGCTACTGGCGATGTGGGCAAAGGAGAAGGCTAAGAGCCAACGCCAATATGTAAGGAATTCGGCAGGTTGACTCCATCTCGGGAACATCAGACTAACTTCATGTGTGCAGACCACCCCATACCCTCCCAACTCAATGGCACCAATGGCGCCGCCACGGCCCCAGGTTCAGGCTCACCGACCACAAAACCAGCTTCCAGACCCTGGCGAGTTGGCTGCACGCATCGAGGAAGCGAGGAACTCAGCCAAACTTCTCACCCAATTCGTCCAGACTACCCCGCCAGTAGAGATGGAAGGAAATGAATTGATCAAGGAGTTTGTGGACCGTTGCCAGACCTCGTCACGTCTCATTCAGGGCTACATTCGTTGCATCAACCCGGCACCAGATGAGGCCACTCTCCTCACTCTAATTGAGGCCAACGATGAGATTTCCGTCGCTATTTCCGGACAGCAACGCGGCCTGTTGAAAGCGCGCAAGGCCCGCGGCTCGGCGGCCGCCTCGCCTGCTTCCCCTGCTTCCCCTGCCTCCTCCAACGACACAACTTCGGCTACGCTCAACCGTCCCTTTTCGTCGGAGTTCCCTCAAGAGCAACAGGGCCCACAGCCCGCATCCACCCGACTAAGTGAGCTCCCGGCTCCAGCTGCCGCCATGTCGGGTGCTCGCTCGGAAACGAACACAAACCAAAACACTACTATACAGAGATCCAATACCGAACGGTCCGAATACAATTCGGCCGATTTCGAAGTGCAGAATCCCTTCGCCGACGACTTTGCCACGCACGACTCTGACAACGAGCGAAATCCCGCTCAGCAGGGTGCGAAGGCGCAGGGCAGTCGTGTGCACTTCCCAGCTACAGAGCAAGAGCGTTGATTGTACAGGCGGTTTTACATAGCCTCGTACCATGGTTGAAGTGATACCCCCTTACCAGCGTGAAATTCGATTCCCGACAGCATCTCTTTCTGTTTATGTCTCGCTTTTTTTTTGGACTTTCATTGGCTTCAGCACGTATATTTTTGATACCTAAAGCATTCACTATATAGTCTTGCAGGATTGGCTAAGAACTACTTTTGGCTGCATTATTTCCATTAAATTCTCATTCGCGGGCCAATGATTGCCTTTACACACACAGTTTACTCCGTAAATATTCCTCAAAGCAAGGTGTTGTTGACTGAACTAAACGGCTATCTCACTTTCCAGGTACTCGGCACTAAATGGATAATCCGAATAACCAACCGCCGACCCAGAGACATAGAAAGTCTCTCTATTATACGCGCTCATCTCCAGGCCCTTCCTTGCCCTAAATACCAGATCTGGGTTCGAGATGAAATAACGACCAAAGATGACCATGATGTCTTTGTGGCTCCTTCTATCAACCAGTTCGTGTGCCTCTTGCAGCGTATAGCCACCAGCGACCAGAAAAAGTCCATTCCAGAGATCATAGGCGAAATCCAGACTCTCATGACCAACAACCTCATTGGCCCCGGAGATCCGCGACTCTACAAGGTGCAGATAGGCCAGGTTGAACTGGTTAGCGCTGTTGATGAGATTGCTGAACTGCGGGATCGGATCAGCCATTCTCATACCCTGGAATGTACTCCAAGGACTCAGACGAACTCCAACGCGCTTGGGACCGATGACATCGACGACAGACTCAATCACTTCCCGTACCAACCGGTTTCGATTCTCCACACTACCGCCATATTCATCAGTCCGATCATTACTGACATCTTGAATGAATTGATCGAGCAGGTAGCCATTAGCACCATGGATCTCGACACCATCAAAGCCCGCTCGAATAGCATTCTTCGAAGCATCGACGAAATCCCGAACTACCTGTTTGATTTCGTCGAAAGCCATGGCTCTAGGAACTGTTGCGCCCTCCTCCATCGGAATCGCGCTAGGCGCGACAATATCAACCCCTTCTCTTCGGGCTGTCTCGACATCTGCAGCTCGGCCCATGGCGAATAACTGGCAGAATATGAAACATCCTTTGCGATGGACTTCGTTGGTGATGGCTCGCCAGGCAGTGACTTGATCTTCGCGCCAGAGTCCGGGTGCATGCGGGAATCCACCACATGTTGCTGATATGAACGTTCCCTCGGTGATGATCAAAGTGCCAGGTACTGCGGCGCGTTGGCTGTAGTATTCTTTCATCAGGGGCGTTGGGATTCGGTCTTGACTTGCGCGTAAACGAGTGAGGGGTGCCATTCCGATGCGATGGGTGAATTTCATGTCGCCTATATCCAAGGGCTTAAAAAGGCGTGGTTCGGACATAGTTCAGGAGGTGGACGTTGCGACCGTGGACCGTGAGTGAAACTTGAAGAATTGGCGATTACATCCCAGGATTCTCCGGTTACTTATACTCATTTCTCTGGTAGAGATTTCTTTTTCGAAGTCAGAAGAATTCTTTGGACTCATCCTATACAATAAGGGTAGAGAGTTATATCCCAAAAAGGCAACAAGATACTTCTCATTAGGGAAAGGTCGAAGTTTGTACGTGCCCGGCCAATAGCAGTTTCAGATGATGCTAGTGGGTCACGTTGCTAGTATAATCCAGGCGATCAGTACCTCGAAAGTCGATTACAAATATAAAAATGCAGTTTTTGATGGCAGAAGAATAATTACTAATGTGGAGGAATAAATCTCTCCAGCTCATGTATGCGTATACTAGTAGTTCCCGGAGAGCTATCTAAGTTTAGTCTTAAACGCATCTATTGAGGCCTAGTTACAGAACTTTCCTCCCAAAATGATTCAATCTGAGATGCAAATGCTTTCTCGGACCAAATGAATCTCTTGAAAATTTCGAGCAGCCCCGACCAAGATGTATACAATTTTCTCAGCCTTTTGTGGTTTAAATGCACGAGCGCCATGTACCCTGTACGTATAGATCCCACGGGAGCAAAGGCGCCCCCAATATGTAAAAGCCAAGCTAGCAAATCGGGCGAAGTATCCCAGAGAGTATCACTGTTAGTATCCTGTAGCTTGTAAAGCAGTTGCAATGAAAGATGAGACTGATCATATTCGTCAGTATAGTGCCATCCGATCTGGAGAGAACAGAGTCAAGGGGTCGCATTACCGGAAGAGTTGAAGTTCGCCAAATTTTGCAGCGCAGCATAGTTGAGCATAGATATGCTGCTAGGTGGCAACACTCTGAGATAGATGAGTGATTCGGCAAGCTCACCAGTCTTGACTGAATCGATGCTTGATGATTATCGATACGTGCCATCGATATTGCATTCTCATGGCCGAATAATGCAGAGTCTCGGATGCATTGCAATGCGAAAATGTCCCTGATTATCTCTAAAAAGCTTTCACCAAGTATTTTTGAGTGTTCTTGGAAGCCGGGAGGGAGGATGAAGAATTTTAGAGCAAAGGGATCTCTACTCCACTGGAGCTCGGCGAAGGTTGTGTGATCAACAATTCGATGACTTCCTGTCATAACCGAGGCATTCAAATCAGACCTTATTTCTTCCGTTAGAAGACGAATTTTGGTAAACGGATTGGAAATTCACCAAAAGATTGCACGCTTGATACCGTCGCTCAGATAGACACCTAGTCTTTGACATACGCCGAGAATCTCCTTGATTGCGCCCATGTGAAGTTGAACATGATGAGGTATCCCCATTAGAGCCTGCAGTACGAAAATGAAAAGCAAATGTCAGCGCCTTAGCATATCCTTGTGGTAAATTCCATTCGGAGAGATACATACCTCTATTCGGGCAAGTAGTAGAATGGCTCCTAACGTGGGCTCAGTGGTGGCCTTATCTGGACAGCTCATTCTGTCGCGTATATAGCTCATTGATTGACTCTGATATTTAAGGCTTTGCTGATCTAAACTCCTTGCAGTAGATGGAAATGAAAATGTGAGCATGACCGCACTCAGCAATGCATGGTCTTCCAACCCATTTTGAAGAACAGAGTGGAAGTTTCGGAGTACCAGCTCATCCGAGACACTGAAAATTGGCTGGATAGCTTGCTGATCAGACTCTATAACGAAAAATTTAGGGCCAGAATATCCCAGGGACGGTTTATTTTGGAGAAGTCTGCGGATCTTACGTTGATTTAATGGCTCTTGTTTTGGCCACTCTGCAGCAAGCATTCGGAGCAAATCGACCGCACAGGTAAGAGAATCTCCATGTTTTGAACAAATATTGACCCGCTCTTTTTTATTTGAACTCCTTGTCTGTCTCTGGCCATTTTCGGGAGAGAATGCATGGAAATTGACGCCTGCCTTTTGCTCAAGCTTTCGTTTATTATGGAGCCCGCGTGCTACGGCATGAGAGCGGGCCAGCTGTTTTGCCGTGCGATCAATAGGAGCTTGTATAGAAATGAAATGAAGTTGGTCATCTGCGCGAAAGGGTCAATCAAATGATAGGGTACCCTCGAGGCACGCTTCGGGGGCGCCCGTACTCGATCTGAGATAATTTTGTGTGGCCATTGAGACGGGGCTGTCTCTCTGAATACTCTTGATCACCAGTGTTTCTTTAGTCGGTATCCAGGCATATAAGTCATCTATGATTGCGGTATGAGAAAGGTGGAAGGGTATCGGAGTTCAGCTTGGTTTCGATGCCAGTGAACATGATGGCGGATTACAAATCAGATTTGGAAGGTATTGGACATCCGTCCCTGATATCCTCAGCTCCCTTTTCCCGTCGACATTGGTCCATGCTTTGACTCAATTCTCGAAGAAAGCCTCTCTGGCCGGCTTTTCACCTCTGTATTGCAGGAGACAGACGCGAAACTGAGAATTCAAAAGAACGGCCTCAGGCTTCGAGTACTCCGGATAAAGCTGCAAATGACGTATCAACTCACTGCAGTCCAAAGTTTCAGGGATACGCTGACCCACAAGTCTCCGAATCAATCTTCATCAAAGGTGAATTGAGAGGATCGCCCGAGGCTGAAAATGGCGAGGAGTCCGACCATCCAACGTCCGGGACCCACGCGTCCTTAAGCTAGTCTAGCCATACCACCAACACGTCCTTGCACAAGCTTCGATCCTGAACATAGATGGCCCATCCCTTCCTCTATATTATCCAGCAATCATGTTGGGCCTGATTCATCTTCGACTGGTGGTGCCATCAACCTGAAACTGTCAAGACTCCCGCTCGGCGCGTGGAGCGAGCCTTGGCAGGCCCTAAAAACGCCTAAGGGAGAACTTCGGCCTTGTCCCGGCTGCGATTCGTTCACACAACGAGCAGAGCGACCGAGGGAGAATGCCCCGAAAATCTGAGACCTTGAAGACATTCCCGGTCTCACCACGCGCTTTTCGGTGGAGGAGTCCCGTTCACTCGGGACATCGGTGAGGGGTTCAATCGTTTCAGAGTACCAACTAGCTGCATTTTGCCCTAATGACAGCTCCAAATAAGGAAAATTGCCCTTTCTTGGTACTTTGGACTGTCTGGACTTGATTGAGGATGGAATTTGACGGGCTTGAGATCGAATCTAGGTTCAATCGGGGGGAGAAAGGGGTCGACGTCTATATAACAGACCAAACCCCAGCGTCGCTAGCTCTGAAGACATCAAGCCGACCTTTTTCTTGACCCTTTTTGTTCCTTCTTTTCTTTCATTACCTCCGGTCTGGAACCGTGAAGCCTTTCACTTTCGTTCGCTATATACAATTCAACGGTACCGGTTTACCGATCATTCCATTCTTTCGTCACGGACACTCGACAGTCAATCCGAACATTCAAAATGAAGCAATTCACTTCCATTGCCGCCCTCACGGGTCTCATTTCGCTGGCCAATGCCCACGGTTTTGTTACCAGCCCGACCGCCCGTATGCCTGGTGATGCCATGGCCTCCGCCTGTGGTCAACAAGTCGAAGTCAACCAGCAGTCCGACAACTACGGCAACATCCAGGGTGAACTGCAGGTCGCCAGTGGCCAAAGCGATTACAGTGCCAGCGAGTGTGATATTTGGCTTTGCAAGGGCTACAAGTTTGCCGACAACAAGGACAACGTCTACTCCTACACCGCCGGCCAGACCGTGGACTTCACTGTTGACATCCGTGCTCCCCACACCGGTGTTGCCAACGTGTCTGTTGTCGAGACTTCCTCCAACTCCGTCATTGGCAGCCCTCTGATCAGCTGGTCTGTCTATGCCTCGACTGCTACCGGCGTCACCGCAAATGAGACCGACTTCAGCGTGACCATGCCCGATGATCTTGGTAGCAAGTGCTCTACCGCTGGTGACTGTGTGCTGCAGTGGTACTGGTACGCCGAGTCCATTGACCAGACCTACGAGTCTTGCGTCGATTTCACTCTTGGTGGTTCCGGCTCTAGCTCTGGCTCTGGCTCTGGTTCTAGCTCCTCCAGCTCCTCCAGCTCCTCCAGCTCGACTGCTAAGGCCGAGACTACCCCTGCTGCTGTTGAGACCACCTCTGCTGCCGTTGAAACCACCGCTGCTGCGGCTGAGACCACCACTGCTGCTCCTGTCGAGACTACCCCTGCTGCCCCTGTGCAGTACGCTACCACCACCTTCGCTACCCAGGCCCGTCAATCCGCTGAGCCCTCGGTCGAGGTGCAGACTGCCAGCGCCGTGGAGACCACCGGTAGCTCTGTTGTCTCCACCAAGCCCATCCCCACTGACGGTACTGCCCAGGAGAAACTGAACTTTGTCGAGTCTATCCTGAAGTACCTGGCCAACTAGAAACCGTGCAGCCAAGAAAGTGACCCCACAATTCAGGGGGGGCATATTTTATAGATAGATCAGTGTAAATGTCAATATTATATTATTTGGTCGGTGAATATCTTCAAATTCATTCGTATGACTGTTTTTTTAGGCCTTGACCCTGTCCTTTTTTAAGGTAGAACCAAGCGTTACCAAGAAAGCATACCAAGAGATGCATTTGCATAAAATCGCCGTATCTGATCGGCTAGCCCCACATGCACAATCCCTGTCGTCCTGTCTGACAGCCCCTGGGACCTTTGTTGTAGAGTATCACTGTGAGACTCTATCCAGTCTGCTGATTTGAGCCCCCCTATGGATCGTGTAAGCTAGAAGAGGTGATAGAATAATCTCTGTGTACTTTGTAGAGTATACCCTACTATATCTCCTAATTCTTCACCTTTTCTTCACCCTTTCTTTGCTTCCTAAGGTTCCCATGCTGATCATGTGGGGCCTACCATTAGAGATCGATAGGCGATAAGCACAGCCCCCCTCACAAAAAAGTACAGTTTCTTTCACCGGACCCCTTGATTGCTTATTCCGTGAACATCCCCCTTGCTCTGTCCCCCATTCCCCCAAGCTTGAAGGTAGCATACCTCCATCCACCCATCATGGAAGAACATCTACGTCACAGTCTCTCCAACCACCCAAATGCTTTTCAGCATTTCCACAGCAGCTCGCCCCACTCGTCACACAGGTCTCACGACAGAATGACTCTGCGCCCTCAGCAGGAAGGCACCTCGACGGCCATCGAACTCGAAACAGACATAAGCCAGCACCGCCATGCCAGTTCGGATGAGGAGGGGATGCCTCCACCTCGTTATACCAAGGACACCGACCCGTTCCACCTCGCATCCAAGCTGAAGACTGAGGAGGAGATCCGCCAAATTAAAGCCAACACTAGCCGCAAGCGCGACTCCGCCTCCCAAACCCCCAAAGTGATTGACCTGGTCCGCAGTACTGGCGATCGTGGCAAGGCAGCCCTCACCACCCGAAAGCTGCAGGGCTTCTACGAAAACCAGAACGAGAACATTGAGCGCATGCTCAAGCCCGTTGAGGAACATGTGCGGGAGGCGCGCGACCTAAACGAAGAGAACAGTTTGAAGTATAAAATTGCCGTGTATGCTAGTTTCGCCGCCAACATTATTCTGTGTGCTGTTCAGGTGTACGGTGCCGCTTCGTCCGGATCTCTGTCCCTGTTCACAACCATGGCCGACGCTATCTTCGACCCTATGTCCAACATGACCCTCCTTCTTTGCAACAAGGCCGTCAACCGCGTTGACCCTCGCAAGTTCCCCGCCGGCAAGGCTCGTATCGAGACGGCCGGAAACATCTGCTTCTGCGCCCTCATGACTGCCGTCTCGATGATCATTATTGCTTTCTCTATCCGCGAGATTGTCGAAGGCTCTGATACCTTGGTCGCGGACTTTCATCTCCCCTCTATCATCGCTGTCTCTGTTGCTTTCTTCACCAAGCTTGCACTTTTCCTTTACTGCTTCGCTCTGCGCAATCAGGTCTCTCAGATCCGGATTCTGTGGGAAGACCACCGCAATGATTTGCTCATCAACGGCATCGGTGTGATGACTTCTATCCTTGGTAGTAAAGTCCGCTGGTGGATCGATCCGATGGGTGCCATCATTCTGTCATTGATTGTCAGTGGTTTGTGGCTGCACTCTGCTTATGGCGAGTTCCAGCTATTGATTGGCGTCACTGCGGATACCAAGATGCAACAGCTCATCACTTATATCTGTAAGATCACTCCTGCTTCTTGTCCCATATCATCTCATCATCTCGTCTTGAGCATACAATATTAATATTCTCGCAGCCATGACCCACTCCCCTCTCATTACGGCCATCGACACAGTCCGAGCCTACACGTCCGGCCCCCGTCTTCTCGTCGAAGTCGACATCGTCATGGAAGCCAACGAGTCTCTCCGTGCGACTCACGACGTGGCCGAGGAGCTGCAAATCAAGCTCGAGTCCCTTCCAGACGTGGAGCGTGCCTACGTCCACGTTGACTACGAGACCACTCACAAGCCAGAGCACTTTTTGAAGAAGGAACTCTAAATTGTAGCCACACATGAATTGTGATTGCAAAATATTCTTAATAATGGAGTTAGAAGACATAGCTAAAATAGGTCAAGCTTGTCGTGGAGCATACATAGCGTCGACTTGGAAAAAATGTCCAGGTCTTTATTTTCATATTATAAGCCCGCCCTACTTCACAAGAGTCACAAGTTACTACTAGTAAAGGCAAATGTTGGAAGTCTTCAAAGAGATTTCCCGAAGCCCAAGTTCACCTTCTCTTTCCCCTTTGCCTTTCCACCCGTGAAATTCCACTTTTCATCCCCTCGAATCTTAAATACGAGATGACCTCGGAAATCGTTGAAGAAAATCTCGCAGGCGGGCGAAATCTCGGACTCCCGTGAACCCGAGCTCAAGCCTCAAGCCGCCCGCTCGGGCAGCGCCAAACCCCGAGCAAAAGTCAGTGGAGACTACCCAGCGACTATAAAGCTTAACCAGTCCGACAGGGAAATTTAGAATAATATGTATGGGACAGTATGGGCCACTTGAATATCCCTCCACACCCTTCACAGCTTACATCCAACATGACCAAGTCCAAGTCCAAACTATACGACGTCGTAATCGCCGGCGCCGGACCCGTCGGCCTCTTCCTCGCGCACGAACTCAGTCTCCGCCAAATATCCGTCCTAATCCTAGAACGAACAAGCCAACAAGACTCACCCTGGAAATCCGGCCCTCTAGGCCTCCGAGGCTTAAACATCCAATCCATCGAAGCATTCTACCGCCGCGGTTTTCTGGGCCAATTATTCAATCTGGACGAAAGGCCGAAATGGCAACCGGGCAAGAAACCGGGTTTCCAATTTGGCGGCCATTTCGCCGGCATCGCGATCAACGCTAATCAGTTCGATTTGCAACGCTGGAAGTACCGTCTTCCAGGTCCGGCGCTTGGTCCCGGTCCGACAACGATGGACCAGGTCGAGAAGGTTCTGACAGCGCGGGTGGAGAGTCTCAGGCGTGAAGATTCTCCGCGGTCGGTCTGTGAGGTCGATTGCGCAGGATGAGACCGGCGTTACGGTCGTGACAGGTGGTGACCATTCCGAGTCATTTCGAGGTAAATGGCTCGTTGGCTGTGACGGTGGGCGCAGCGTTGTTCGAAAAGAAGCTGGATTCGAATTCGTCGGGACAGATGCCCAATTCACCGGGTACGCAACGCATATCGAGATAGAAGGTCGTGAGAAGTTGAAGCCTGGATTCAACGTTTCTGAGACAGGGATGTATATCAACGTGGTGCAGAATGGGGCTTTTCATCTCCTTGAATTCGATGGGGCGAACTTTGATCGTGCGGGTGATATCACGCTTGAGCATCTTCAAAGGGTTCTTGATCGGGCGATTGGTCGGACGGATGTGAAGATTACCAAGGTTCATCTTGCTTCTTCTTATACCGATCGTTCAATGCAGGCGACAAGGTATCGGAAGAACCGTGTTCTTCTTGCCGGTGATGCGGCGCATATTCACTCTCCGCTCGGCGCGCAGGGACTCAACGTCGGACTAGGCGATGCGATGAATCTGGGGTGGAAGCTTGCTTCTATAGTCCAGCGTGATGAGGACCAAGGAGGTGATGCTGGGGATATGCAGGACCTGGCTCTTCTCGATACCTATGAGAACGAGAGACACCCGGTTGCTGCATGGGTCCTAGATTGGACTCGTTCGCAGGTCACGGCGCTGAAGCCGGATGCCTTTGGACGGGCTACACGCGCCCTGATGGAAGATCTTATCAAGACGGATGATGGGGCTAATCTCTTCATTGACCGGGTCTGGGGACTTTCGCAGCGGTATACGCTTGGTGAAGAGTCGAGACATGCACACCCGCTTGTTGGGTCTAGTGCACCTGATTTTGAGTTTGGAGATGGGTCCAGGCTTGGATCGAAGCTTGAGGAAGGTCGGGGAATACTTCTTGATTTTGGAAAGAGTAGTGAACTAGAATCGGTGGTTGATGCAAAGTATGATGGGGAGGTAGATTATCTTTGTATGGAGGCGAAGGAGAGATGTGGGCTAAGCGCCTTGCTGATCCGACCTGATGGAATCGTCGCATGGGTGGTGGAAGATGATGTGAAGCACGATATTGATGGTCTGAAAGCTGCATTAGTAGAGTGGTTTAAATAATTGAGATTTAATGTACATCTGTTTACAATAAGTTCCCAAGGGTTCCCTGAAGCTCCTCTATACAACGGATCCAGCAATACCTTACTTTTTAGGTAGCCCCACTTCCAGCAGAAAAGTGGAGACAGCAAACAGATACAGAAAGTGGAAGGCACGATTCACTTAAAAGTACAGAAGGCAACAGCAACCAACTAACAAAACAAAAGAAAAGAAAAGAAAAGAAAGATGCGGGGTCCTGGAATCGATCTTCTGACCTGGTACAAAAACAAATATGGCAAAAAGGTGGTTCAAGGCAGCTATTAGCGTTGCATTAATCAACCTAACCATTCGGAGCTACGTGACAGGATGGACTCTTTTTCCAATTTTGACCGATGGATTTACCTGTATTCCCCTACAACTTGGACATTGTCGCTACATATCTAGTCCCCTTCTCTCCCAATCTTACACTCTGGAGCCACATACGAGAAATATCTCCCAAGCAAGTCAAGCCAAGTCTCTTCACGGCACGGTTGAGGGATAGGGGGACCATTGGGTCGTGTGATTAGCTTCAACAAGGGGAGGACAGTATGGCGATGCCTACTGGGTCCATTACCAATGTGAAGCGCTGTGTTCCTCTTTCATCCAGGTATCTGTATGATACCATTAAGTCTTCAAGGCGATAACCAATACAAGAACAGCCGGACGGGGTACCTTAGCTTACAATAAACAGTAATAGTAATTTTTGATGGCATTTACTCATTGCATTGATCACACATCTATTATTGATCACATCGTTCCGGTGGTATCAAACGAAATCCTCCAAGTCGCTCATCCAGAGCATTCCGCCAATGAACCCGGAGCAATCTAAGAGAACAAGAAAAAGAAAAAGAAGGAGTCAAATGACAACCCAGGTTCCAGAAATACAGGACCATGGAAGCGGTATGATGAACAGGGGGAGGACAGGTGAGAAACGAAAAGGAGATTATTGGGGGAGAAGAAGGGTATCTCGGGTGCTAGCTGTCAGGACTTTAGATAGTCTGCTCGAAGAGAGCAATTGTCGAGCAGTAGTTGCTCGTGTTCTCGTTCTCGGGCACCATGCTCTTGCCCTTGGAAGAGGTGACCATGTTGACAGAGGCCTTGGTGCTGAGACCGTAGATGTGAACATCCGAGCAGTCAACCTCGACCATGTTCTCCTGGCAGTCCTCGGAGTTGAGGCAGGACTGGGCGTAGTTCTCGAAGAAGCTGTACAGACCGGCACCGTAGATAAAAAGGTCCGACGAGTCGAGGACACGGAGACCCCAGGACTTACGGCAGGAGGCGGTCTTGCAGGTAGAGAAGTCAGGGTCGCTCCAGGAGGTCTGAGGAGTGAAGGGAACCAGAGCGCTGGGGTTGGACTGGTAGTAGGGAGTTTCAGTCTGAATGAGACCCATGAAGACATTCTTAGCACTGGAGACTTGGTAGTTGTAGAGCTGGTGGTGCTCAGAGGATGTACCCCACAGCCAGACGGGGCTCTTCGACTCAATGAGCACACCACGGCCAGTATAGACGTTGATCTGAGAGTGGTCGTCGAGGTCAAGCTCGTGATCGGCGGTCCAGAACCAGTTGTTCTCGAGGTAGGCGCTAGCCTTCTCGGTGACGTGCAAGAGCATGAAAGCGGCGATACACTCTTCCTTGGGGGTAGTCTTGACGGAAGGAGTCTTCTTACAGGTATCACTCTGGAGACCAGTACCGGCGGCACCACCAATGCGGAAGTGAACATCCCACATACCAGCGGATCCCTGCGAGGAAGCACCGAGGTTCCACTCCATCAAGATAGCACCGGGGGTGGAGCCCTTGGTGGTGATGATGAGGTCGCTCATCTCGACTGAACCGGACTCGCCCTTCTGGCCAACCTGGAAGAGAGGGACAGGGTTCTTCTGGTCTTGGAACTTGGCACCATGAGCCATGAGCATGGGCCAGATTTCACCGGTGATGCGGATATCCTTGGGGATCTTGATGGTCGAGGTGATAACATAGGCACCGTGATCGAAGTAAACAACCTGGTTGGCGGTAGCGCTATCAAGGACCTTCTGGATGGCCTTGGTGTCATCAGTTTTACCATCACCCTTGGCTCCAGCAGACTTGACGCTAATGAAAGAAGAAGCAGGAACGTCCTCGTACAGAGGCTTGGACTTTTCGAAGACAGCACCAGCATCTAGAAGACTATCTGGCATAGCGGAGGACTTGAGGGTACCCTGGGTGCGGCCTTTAGAGACGGTCTGCTCAGAGCTACAGGTGCCGGAGCCACTGCTAGATCCGGATCCAGATGAGCTCGAGCTGGTGCTGTGGGAAAGAAGGGAGCTAGTGGTACCCGAGCCAGATCCAGATCCAGAACCCGAGCCGGAGCCGGAGGCGACAACTGCAGGGGTTGACTGGACGACGGGAATTTGGGAACCCTGGCTAGAGGCAACTACAACAGGTGTGGCATCAGTGGCAGCTTCGGGAGTTGACGCGGGGAGCTCGTATGTGCCGGTGGATCCAACAAAGATGGACAAGACACTGTTGATGGGGTCTGGAAGACCACCACCGGTACCCGTAGCGACAGTGCGCTCGCCACTGTCAGTACTAGTGGGCAGAACGGGAGTAGCCTGACCGCTGCTAACAGCGCCGGAGGTCTCAACAGAGGACGGCTCCTGGTTGGTGGCGAGAGTGCTGGCGAGGCCGTTAGTCGCAGCGCAGGCGTTGACAGTGTGCATGACGGTTTTGGTGATAGTGATGACCTCCTCGTCGTCAGATTCGGGCTGGGTAGCGCGCTTGCTGGCTGAAGATGGGGAGTAGGTGTTGCCCTGAACCCAGTTCTTGACGACGGAGCCACCAGTGAGAATAGAGTCGCCATCGACGCCGGTGACAGCGACCTTGGAGCCAGAGAAGTCGACATTCTCCAGGACGAGAGTGCCACCGCCAATGGGAACACTCTCCTTGTTCCAAGCAGTGACGATACCAGTGGGAGTGTTGGTGAGCTTGCTGTCGAGCATCATGACCGAGCCAACAGTCTGGTTGCTGGGAGAGGTGGACATGTTGAGACCAACCTCACAGTTGTTGATGTCGAGAGACTTGAAGGTCCAGGCCCAGTTCCAGTTCATGAAGATGGCAGTCTGGCAGCCGTTGAACTTCAGGTTACGAGTAGTGAACTGCTGGTTGCCCAGGAACATTCCGTAGTTACCGCCGTTGAAGGTAAGATCGGACATGAAACCACCGGAGCCGTTGTCCATGAAGATACCCTGTTGCTTGTTGGCGGCACCGCCACCCTTGACCATCTCGAAACGAATGTTCTGCAAGCTGGTGGCTTGACCAACCTGCCAGTGGATACCAGCACCGGAGCCCTTGGGGACCGCAGTAAGATCAATGACCAGGTTGCGAATGGCACGGAAGAAGTTGTTTTGGTTGGTGAACCAGTTATCACCATTGTCCTCGTACGGGTCGGCGTCAATGACGGCCATGCCGGCAAAGGCAGCGGAGGCCTTGATCACAGGGAGCTCGGCGGCATCACCAACGATCTGGGTGTAGTAATACTGAACAATAGGCTTGGAAACAACATAGGTACCGGGAGGGAAGTACACGAGGGCCGGAGTGGTGGTCGACGAATCACACCCTTTGCCGCAACGTCCACCGGACGAAATAGCCTTGTTGATGGCAGCAGTATCATCGGTAGAACCATCACCTAGAAAGACATGGTTAGTATGGTGAAGGTGTGTGGAGGACATGGACATCTTGTGACAAGCTTACCCTTAGCACCGAACTCCTTAACGTTACGGAAGACCTGGTAATCGGCATTGCTGTTGAAAGGAGCGACACCTTGACGTTTGATACTGCCAACCCAGTAGCTTGAGGCGGCTCGCTCTGTGACTGCGAGTTCGTTGGTCTTCGCGGTCATCGGAGTGGCGCCAACCAGGGCAGTCGGAAGACCGAGGAGGAGGAAGATATGGGCCATGAAGACCATGATGGAAGTTTGTAAAATCATCTTCAAGATGAGAGACGCTGGTCCTGCAGCGAATAAAGATTGCGGATGAAACTGAAGAGTACACCTGTGGGACGAAACGAGTTCAGTAACCAGTACTGAAAGGTTTCAAAGTAGAGCTTTTGTGGCGACGCTTAAACCAGAAGCGATCTCGAGCAAAGAGGTGAGAAGAATAAGAGAAAGAGATAGATGCGAATGCGTAGGCGGGTGAGGGTGTTCCTCCGACTTGAATGAGTGAATGTAAAGAAGGCAGCTCCGGCTATACTTCCCCAGACGGTCGCAAGGGAAGAAAAAATGAATGATGGCCAGGCAGGAACAACAAAAGGGAGTGACGAATTCCAGATGAATTCAAATAGAAGATGGACAGAAAGCAGATGAAACGATGAAGAAAGAAACAATGGGGAGGAGAAGCAAAGGGAGATCTACTCGTACGGGGGGGGATAAATAGAGTGGACTCACCCAGAATAGCTTGTAACTGAATGTTACCAACGAGCGGTAATCACACTGTAAACCACGAACGAATGTCCCTGAATCGTCAAGCGCTGCACCAATCACACACCGCAGTGTCTAACAACCCACCAGCACCCGCCAATCGCAGACCCCGCTGGGCGTATCGCCTACGCCGCTTGAAACGGAATGGCCGAGAGGTGAAACGCTCAGGGAGTTGATCGCTGGGTCTAGTGTTGCAGATTCACTGGTGGAAACGCTTGCGGGTCGCTGTTGACCTCTAGTAAATGAGCAGGAGTGGCCACGGGCGGCACTAGACACGGCTTTTGATCCTTTCTTCAAGAATGAGAAGCGGGATGGATATTCAAGGTTGTAAGATTGCAAGAGATGACCAAAAGTACCCCCAATGGTAGGGCCTAGAGTCAAGCAAAGATGCAAAATTGGACCTCACTCGGGCGTGGATCGGGGTTCTACATGCTATATACCCTTTTACTGCCCCTCCCAAGACAAGAAAAACAGGGTATGCCAGATCGTCCATTCCTTTCATCTTGGATTTTTCTTGTCGCATGGAAGGTGTCGCGTCGGCTGCCTCTAGGGATGACTGGTTGTTGTTTCCAGGTCGAGCCGCCAGGGGAATTATGTACGGGATGTGGGACAAATGACATGCTTCGGTATGGGATGAGCAGAGCGCGTTGCCCCCTCCTCACCCTCTTCCTCCTCTCGAGCTGCCCTTGGTGGAGCCTTTTCGTCCTGTCTGATTATTGTGATGGACAAGTCTAAACCGTGCGGCGAGGTGGAATTGACCTGTGCGTCCGTGTCTAGGCCTTGATAGAAACATCCTCATCCCCGGCGCAACTGTAACTGGGGAGTTCATCCATGCCGCTTCGAGGGATCATGCTCTATCAAGAGGGGCATGTGCCGGTTGCCGTTGGCCTTGGAGCCCCGCGAAGCCGCCTGATAGCCAAGCATACCGTTGTTAGGGAGGCACATTCCAGCGTGACAAGCCATCGGGAGAGGCATTCCTGATGACGGCGGCGATTAATGCGTGTTGGCGCTAATTCGTCTGGAATCTGCCGGGATAAAAAATCCCGCCCTGACAGCACAGGCGAGGATTTAGAAAGCCACACGCGGCCAAGCTTTGCCCCTGAAGGAGGTGACCCGCATTGGTGGATGTTAGTGCTGGCTGGTGTCGGTTAGCACGCAGACTTCACGCGAGGATCTACCGAGTTATTCCGAGCCAATGAAAGGGCCATGATCGGAGGACTGTCCGGGCCCATCAGTTGTAAGGACTTGGGTAGTCTTAATCTCACCTCTGGCGGGGGTTGTAGAGGCACGGAGTAGTATAGAACGCAAGATTGTTGGTTTCCGAATATTTCCACAACCGTGACTAATCCGAGACCTCAGTTCTTTCAATGTTTCACAAATAAATGTGTAAACATTGATAAGTGAGTTACATTCAAGGAACTCATAAATATACTAACGAGTAACTACCTAGGTAGATTTACTTACTTAGAAACCTGGGATTATAGTATCATGCAACTTGAGTGCTTCAATTCATTTGAACTCTGTCGGTCATCTAGATCAATCGGCAGTGCCACCGTGGCTGAACAATGTTGCACTTCTATGCTGTATCTTTTTCTTCCGGTCAGCCCGGTCCTATATAATTACTGAGATGCATGGAAATTATAGTTGCCTTTCGTTGTGCGTACTGCCGCGCGTCCAGTGGTCCGGCACGGTCCGTACAACTGAATGGGGCAAGTGTGGTCAATTGAGTGCCCGCTGAAGGACGCGTGAAAGCCTACGCACTCCTTCGGTCAGGTGACGCGGTTCTGCCCATGCAAAACAGAGTCGAATCTGACGATCAAATCGGTCGCTTGAACCATTGGGATCACCTTGTACTTGGAAAAGAGTGCCGGGAGCTAAACGCAGCTTCTCTTCAGTCTGCGCCTGCGCCACAATGTCTACAGCGAGCAGGGGAAAGGGCAAGGTGATCCACATAAAATACCCGCCAGCCACGTTCGTTGAGGCCTGGGCCACTGTTACACCTAGTGGTACCAAGTGCTCTTGCACGGCCGAGAGCAACAAGTGGTACCGCTCCGCATAGGCTGGCTGCAAGACTTGACGGATATGCTTATCCAGAAACCCCGAAGGCAGCAGCTGATCGATAATGGTGGAACACAGGTGGCTGGGGGCACCACCGGAGCGAGAGCAGCCTCTAAGAGCGATATCGCACGTCAGCATATGTACGTTGCCCGTGGGATCGGCATGGTCTAGGAAGAGATGGAAGGAAAGGACCGCGTAAAAATGGTGAGTACTTACACCTGCGAAGCTCCATACGCAACCTTCTCGGATGCTTCGACCCAGCCAGTGCGGGCCCCTGGTCCAAGTAGCTTACTGAAGCTACCATTGCTGATGGTATGGCCCCATTCATCGATAGGGCCACCATCGAGGTAGCGGTCTACGTCCACCAAGCGGGGGGCGCATGCCTGGTTGGGAGACAATTCCTTACCCGGCGTCGCTGACCACTGTAAGAAATCATAAACATCATCTGTGATCAGTAAGGCATCATACTTGCGGGCGAGGCGAACGAGCTGCTCGCGGTGGCCCAGAGACATTATCTTCGTGGTCGGATTGGAAAAGGTGGGGATCGCATAGATGACATATTTGTAGATCTTTCGCCAGGGTCGTGGGGGCTTGATTTTCTATGTCCATCACGAGTCAGTTCAAGGGCTCGGAGTTTTTTTAAGGGTCTGGCGGCATGCAATTGGTTCAAGTTGCAGCTGTCATGCTTAGTAGTACCGGGTCCAAGTTTCCTTCAGCTTCAGCCTTGGCTTCAGCCGTACGCAAAGCATTTTCGAGATAATCCAAATCAATTCCTTCATCATCCTCGGGAACTCGGCGCGTACGATCCGCAAGGCCTGCATCATCAAACATTCGACCGGCTAGGTGGTAAGTTGGGTCGACCATGAAGGCATTCCGCGTGTACAATGGGTCGGTGAAGACGTGGAGGATGCAGGCGAGGCTCTGACTCGCCCCGCCAGTGATGCATATGCGGCGAGGCGTAATCGGGGAGTGGGGGCGATAAAAGGCCTCCAGCCACTCTGCGATGTGGACACGAAGAGGCTCGGAACCTTCATCAGGACCATACAGTAGGGCCGGGTTGGCGATGGAGGGGTTGGTCAGGAGAGCAGTGGCGGAGCGGAGTAGATCGGGGGCGGGGAGGAGCGCGGGGTTAGGCCAGCCAGTAAACAGGTCGACGGGTTCGGTGGGCACAGCCATGATGGATTCAAGTTGGAGGGGCGGAACTTTGAAAGGAAAGAATGGAGCAGGTGAAATAGATGGAACAGATGGAGTAAATGGACGAAATGGATAACGTCAATTAGAGACATCAAGCCCACTAGGTGGAGGCCGGAACCGAAGATTCGGCGAGGGGTGGAAGCGAAAGCGGAACCAGAGACGGAGCAAGAGGGGGGTCCGATCAATCATGATCGGATCTCTCCTGGAAGTTGCTGGGAGGAAGCTTAGAACCGTGGTAATTGAATCTCGATATCCCAAGGTTACTAGCAGTGTGCCTAGTTTTGGGCAGAATGTACCATGTTACCACCTGGGCACGCAGTACTTCTAGCAGTAGGTACAGTTGAGTGCCAATAATATACCTAGGTATCTCAGGCTGCCATGCATAAAGTTATTGCTGGGGCTATGCTATCCACAGGGCTACTAGCAAAGCACTCTGTCTCTCTCTTTTCGACATGCAGATATATATTAGTAGAAGTAGTATTGGAATATATATATTTATTGGCTGTGAATTTCCATTTCTCATTTCATTCACGATATTTCATTCATAGCTAGGTAGCTCCAAAAGAAAGCGTGGCAGCAAGGCCGTTGTTCATTGGATTATACTTTTTGTGCAGTGCGGCCAGGCAGATTTTGGATGGGTCACTCCATTTGGGATTATTGCCTGCCTGCATGCCACAGAATAGGGGATAGACAGAGTAGGGTATACAGAGAACGGAGTAGAAAGTATACAGAGTACGGAGTCTATTTCATGTTAGATTAGATATTATAAAGTATATAACAAATAATAATAACAAATTAACAAACACCATAGTATCTGTACAGTAAAACTACTACTACTCCAGCTCACTACGGTCCCACCGATGCAAAGTGAGCTATAATTGGCATGGGAGAACCGGATCGAAGCCCCCCCCCGCTAGCCCCAGAAAGGTCGTTCATCCATCACTTCAAGGAAAAAAAAATTCAATAAAATCAATCGAATCCCATATCAGTTTTTTTTTTTTGCTTTTCTATTCTCCTGAAACGACAACTTCCCCTGATCCATCTTTCCATCTTTCCACTTTCCCCCTCCCTTCACTCTCACCTTCACTTTCACCTCTCCATTCCACCCGCCGTTTCTCCCGGCCATTCTTTTTAGCACATCCCTCCTGCCGATCCATTCCCGCAAACTCCCCTTGTGTTCCTCTCTCTCTGGTGGTCCCCCCCCCCCCCCATCATCTGCCAGTGCCAACTGCCACTCCATTCTCCATTCTTCTTCCCATGCGTCGCAGGGCCTAACCTCCTCTTCGCTCGTTCCCTGATACTCCGGGCCTCAGTTTCTCTCAAACTCTCTTCCCCTCCAATCCCTCTCCCCAGTCATCATTTCTCCTCCCTCTCTCAACATCTGTCACGATGTTATCGGCTCCCGTTAAATCGGCGAAGCGCATCTCTTCCCTCTTCTCCCTGGGTTCCCATAAGGAACAGAACTCCAACGGGTCCCAAGCTCCTCCGTCAGGGTTGAACTCTCCATCCGACTTTTCTCAGGACCGCCGCCGACGAAGCAGCTCCCGCCCGACTCGTCATGTCTCGACTCCCAATGCTCTCTATTCTTCGGAACCTAGGACAGTCCCTCCTCCGGAGCCATTCGATCTCCCACCACCACCTTCACTGCTCTCAGTCAACCATGATTTGGCCACCAGTGCCCCGAGTTCGCCCATTGATCGTCCAGGCAGCAGGGGCCGGGATATGAGCATGAGCCGCCCCTCCAGTTCCGCTGGGTTGGCCATCCCGGGTTCCGCACCAGACTCCCGCCCGAGCACGCCATCAAAACGTCGGAGTTGGATGCCGGGTATGGGAGCTCGGTCGCGGGCAGGTTCAATGGACAGGCGGGTGCCCCCGTCAATGCTCCCTGGAGCATGGATTGCAGGACTGGACCAGAAAGTGGTTTATGATATGGGCCCCTTGTCCAGAGGTGAACAGGTACGTCTCGAAACATAACAGGGAATAAACCCGGATGTGTCGCCGAGTCGACTGCTAACACACCAACCCAGATCTCCGAACTCTGGAATGAGCAGGGCGACACATATGTCTACTTGTTCCCTCAGAACACAGGCCGCCCGGCCTCATTCAAGGTCGATTCCACCGTCTTCGCCGAGTCTCCTTCTCTGAACCATCTCTGCCGCGGAGCTGACTCGAAAACCAATGGTCTCGAACAACCCACCCGTTCCCTATCGCTCGGCAACCCGATATCGCCCCCCTTGACACCGCAGGACCGGTTGGCGGACAACGATAATGATAGCTCAGGCAGCCAGCGAATGGCATTCATGGATGATGCCCCGGATGAAGATCAAGAGCTGCATCTTTATCTGCCCATCCCACTGAACAGCGATGTCTCGAACCTGAGTTGCCGTCTCACCCCGGAGGATACAGAGACTTTGCTTCTCTTCCGCAACTTGTTCGCCTTCCTTCTCGGACAGTCCCTCATTGCCAGTCCCAAGTCGGCCACCCTTTTCAGCATCTTCATGGACGTCGCCGTTCTCCTCGCACGCTTCGAATTCAGCAACCTGGATGGTTCGAACTTTGGTGAGACTGCCACTTCGAGCTTTAGCAACTACTGCGATGAACTGCGCCTAGCCGATGTTCGCAAGAGTCGAGAGAAGACTATTGAAGCCATTGTTCTTGGCGAGAGACTGCGCTACTATCCTCTGTACGTCGAGGGATTCGTACACGGTGTTGGCAAGCTGGATGAGATCAAGCAGCTTCGCAGCCCGAAATTCACATTTATCCACCCGATTACCCAAAAGCGCCTGGAGCGTGGTTTCATCGACCTGGACTCCCGTCTTCGGGGCCTTTACGGCAAGCTGGAAGACTTTGATTTCCCTTCGGTCTTCTCTGGCATCGCAAATTCGACCACCTCAGTCGAAAGCAAGGTCGTGCGCTTCAAAATCTGGAAAGCCGCCTTCCTTGAATTCCGTCGTTTCACCATGAGCTTCTACCGCACCAAGTATGGCTCTTGGCCTCCCAAGGCTCGCTCTAAGAAGAACGAATTTGAAGAGAGCGGCCTGAACCGTCAGCTTCTGCTGGACTTGTACCGGGACTTCTGTGATCTCTACGACATGCTGGTCGACCGCACCGACCTTACCACTCGTACTATCGATTTGTCTGGTGCGGGTGGCGACGCCCAGTCCACTGATCACAGGGATGTGACCGTCCGCGCTGTCCGCCAGGTGCTCAGTGAATACGATCGCAGTACTCCTCCCGTCCTCCCGCCCATTCCCTTCGATATCCCGCAGATGCCCAATCTGCAGTCTCTGCACCGAAAGCCTCTCGACGCTAAGAAAGAGGCAAAGCAGCGAGGGAAGAAACTGAAGAATTCTGATATCAACGCCGTCCTGATGGGCTCCTATACTCGCGAGAGCATTCGCAGCACTCAATTCATCGAAGAGTTCATGAAGTTCGAGCGGCGCTGCGCCCACGGCAAGAGTGTCGACGATCTCGTCGATATCCGCTGTGGCCAGTGGATCTTCCTCTATTCGGTTATTCAGTCTATGCCAATGTTGACCGTGGATGTCCCCGAGGTCCAGTTCAACCAGGGAGTCGAATACTTCCTCTGTATCGCTCCCCGGGGTGGTGCGCCTTGGATCCAAAACGACACCAAGACTGCTCGCAGCTGGTTTGGTGTTGCTGGCGGTGCAGGTGTGGTCAGTCTTCCCTCCGACGTGGTGATCAACGGTGTGGAAGGTGTCTACCGTCGTAGTCACTGCTGGCAAGTTGCCGAGCAATGGGCTGAAGCTGGCGCTCTCCTCCCGCCACCCAATGTCGAAGATGCATATGAAGAAAACGAATCATCCATTTCCTCGCCCTACCCGGCCCAGCAGTCTTCGGCAGGCTCTTCTTCAGACCCACAGCCCGGATCCGCGCTGGGCGTTCATGGCGGTCTTACCCCGCCACCCCCAGCGATCCCGCGCACCCGATCTCCCGGTGCGGCGAATCGGGCCGAGCATCGACACTCGATCTACCCCGGTCTTGAAGCACTGCCGTTGCCGGCAGGCATCGCTCCCATTGAGCCCCCTGCTCGTCCCATTAGTCGCTTCAACCCCAACATGAGCTTCGACGATATCTTGCGCGAAGTTCCCGACAAGAACAAGAAGAAGCGCTAGATCGAAATTGCCCCTGAGGCATGTATACCTTCACATATTGCCGACCTCATTTCTCGGCATTCCAGAATTCCACTATTCTTATTTTCTTTGGGCTTGTTGATAGGCGCATCTTTGTTTTGATGACCGCATTGGGATGGAACGGCGTGTTGCACAGGGAATTCAAGAGAACAAAAAGCAACCATTTAATTCACATGGGGGATCATGGAGGGAGAGTACCGTACCGGTTTATCATAATTGTCAGCATCTCAAGCATGAGCATCTCCAGAGATGGAGGAATTGCGTTGTCTTGTCTTTTTTTTCCATGTGGTCATTTTTCCTTTTTCTTTCTCTCTCTCCCTCTCCCCTGTTTCTCTGCTGGATTCCCCCCTGATTCTCGTAATTTTTTTTCCACTCCTCTACTTGGAGACCCCATAGAAAATAGAGATTTAATATCTGCATTTGAAGTCTTTTGACTTGAAAATTATGTGGTTTTTAGGTTATGCATCTCATATTAAGTAGTTGGATGAATTAAGCTGGAATGTTGAAGGTTGACATTGGAACCAGAACTTGAACCATGGAACCTCGATCTATACTCGGCTAGAAACTTGGAGTTGTCAACAACCCAAAGTTGTCACTAGGTTACTACAACTCTCTGTCTGTGCTGTATCGCTACGATCAATTGCAATTTGAATTTCTTTCAATCATGCAGGTATCGTCAGACGACGGCTAGCCTTGCCTGTCCCACTTGGCGCATCCAAAAGAGGCGGAGGCAATACGAGGCCGAGCCGCCATCGCGCCCATTTGCCAATGGGCAATTTTCCTTCTGGATCAGGGGAGAGACGTCGAGTATCTCCCCGCAGATCTTTCCCTTAAATAAAGACAGCACCCCCAAAATCTCGAGTCTCAGTCGCCTTCAGAACTTGCGAAGACTAAACTTAGCTGCACCGCCCACCTCCCGCTCCGCATTTTCGGGGAAAACCCCCCCCTGCTCAAAGGGCCAAGCATTCCCGCGCAACAAGCATCAAACCATGGATTGATCTGCCCTCGAACCCACCAAAGATACCCTCCGATCCTTCCCCACTACCATGCCTCGGTCATCCAGCATGACGAGCGACGGCCACGAGAGGCTGGAGCCGCGTCTGCTGCGGGCCGCAGAGCACGACGACGTCGACTCGCTACGAAAAGTCATCGGCCTCGCCAGGGAATATGGGCACTTCAATGACAATTTCCTGCGGATTGCAGTGATGCGCAGTGCCGAGCGAGGCTGCATCGCCGCGACGGAATTCCTCCTACAATGCGGTGCCAAAACCGACGTCGCGGGTAACCGTCTTTCGCCGCTCCTCCGCGCCGTCGAGCGTGACCATTACCAGATCGTGCGACTGCTTCTCGACCATGGCGCTTCGTCCGATAGCACGGACAAAGAGGGGCGCACGGCGCTGATGACGGCTGCTTGGAAGAACCATGCAGATGTGCTGCAGCTGTTGATTATGCGAGGCGCGAATGTGAATGCGCGCGACCACCGTAAGCGCAACGTCTTGCACAATCTGGCGGCGGATAAAGAGCAAAAATGGGGCTGGAACAATGAGATTATTTCGCTCTTGTTGCGCACTGATTGTCTGATTGATGGCGTGGACGGCCGGGATGAACTGGGTCGGACGCCGTTGCATTGGGCTTGCGCGACGGGTAATTGGGGTCTTGCGAAGTTACTCCTGACAAGACCCGATGGTCCCAAAGCCGAGATTGATGCGACCGAGCTACGAGGGAAGACTGCTCTGCATGTTGCGACTGCGCATGACCGTGCGGATATCGTGCAACTGCTCTTGCAACATGAGGCGGCCGTCAACGCCTGTAGTGATGGTGGATGGACACCGCTTCATAATGCTTGTGATAAGGGCTGCGTGGAAATAGTGCGAATTCTCTTGCGTGAGAAGGCACATATCAATAGCCAGCTTCTGAATGGAGTGACGCCGCTTCATCTTGCGGCGCAAGGCGGTCATCGCGAAGTTGTAGAATGTCTGCTAGAACGGCCGGACTTGAAAAGGCGGGCTCGCGATACCTTTGGCAGTACGCCATTTCTGCGTGCAGCGCAGTTCAAGAGGAAAGATATTGTTCTTCTCTTGGCGCCGTTTAATAATGTCGAGTCCCTCTCGGAGGATGTGCGAGATGCGAGCGCCGCATTTGATGCGACAGTTGTCGACTTTGGAAATTTCCACAATGAGAATCGTGTCAAGCGCATGTCGGTGTATAATTTACTCTATGGACGAGATCCCGAAAACCCGCGCAAGCAAGCAGTGACGACCATACCGGCTGATAGTCGAGCGACGGATTTCCGTTGGATTCATCTGCCAGCAAACAATATGGCTTGGGTTGAGGCTCTACTGACGAAAAGCTTCATCGAGGAGGGTGCGCACGATGTGGATGGTTTCAAGGGACTGGAGAAGTCTTTTAACTATCAACATCGCGGTCAGAAGATCCACTCGCACTTCATGCGGCCGTTGTGTCATAACACACCTCGTGCCATGTTCCGTCGGAAAGAAGAAGAAAAGCAAGATGAACACTCTGATGCTGGGCAGTCGAGCATTGCAGACAACAGCTCTATTCTCCGAAAGCAGAAAGCGTCAAATAGCAAATCCGATCGTTCTGATTCCTATCAAGATGAGGCTACCGCAGGCAAGAAAACCAAGAAGAACAAAAGCAGCAAGACGAACAGCAACCCCGGTACTCCCAAGACCGAATCAAAAAGCAAGTCGCCGTGGGGGCTGAGCGATAAACAAACGCGCTCATCTCTCGCCACATCATCACTATGCAGAGACCACGGTTCCATCCCTGGCTGTAATGTTAACGTTTTCATGCCATATTTGCACTTCGAGACCGCGGAACGGCGAGAACGAATGCTCGAAGCTATTCAGCGTGCGCAGCTGCTGAACCTTCAACCACGCGCGTTGAGAAAGACTCGGACCCGTGATGAAATGCTAATCGATGCGCATATCTCATCATCGACAACTTCTCTCCATGTCCGTCGAACACTGGACCAATTCTTCTATCCAAACATCGATACCCACAGTCGTGATCAAGACCAAGTGGTATACCGATATCAAACCAAAGGGCCTGGCCGAGAAGGCCCGGAGACGGATCCGAAAATCTTCATGGTTGATCAGCTGTGGATGTGGGTTTTGGGAACGAATTTGATTGTTACCAGCTTTCCCCAGAGATGGGACCAGCCAAAGAATGACCCGTTGAACGTACTGGATGGGATCATTGAAGACATTAATTCCAAGACCCGCGAACCGGTCAAATCGGTGTACGACCTTGCCATAACAATTACCAACCGATGCTCTGGAGTATTCGACCGCCATCGCCTAGGAGACGACGAGTATCAATTCTTGGACATGTTTGAATCTTCCATTGGTATAGCCACCGACAAAGAGACTCTTCTTTTCAACCGCTTCAATCATGCCTCAGCACAAGCATCCTACTGGCTGAAAAGCCATCGCAAGCTAAACCCTTTCGCCGAAAAATCGGCTGACAGGTTCCAGGAAGACGACGAAGATTGCATCGACGAGGACTACTACGATGACGGTCAGCCACTTTTTGTTGACAGACTGTTAGATATCGGCGAAGAGACCGACCTTCTAGCAGAGACCAAAGATATCCGCGATGAGCTGAACATGATCCGCACTGTTCTGGAGCACCAAAAGCATGTCTTATCAGACTTCCAGGAAGTCATCTGCGAGATATACCAGGGACAACACCGCTCTCAACAAGATGTGAAAAAACGATTCAAAGATCAGCAACGCCTGATTGACATGCACCTCAAAGACCTCGATCGCATGGATAAACAAGCCGAGCGTATTTACCATTCCATCACCGACCTCCTAGACCTGAAGCAGAAACATGCCAACGCATTCGAAGCCCGCTTCGCCCGCGATCAAGCCGCCGGCACGACCCGCCAGAGCAAAACGATCATGGTCTTCACAATCGTCACCATCATCTTCTTGCCACTGTCATTCATCGCGTCCATCTTCACAATCAACCTAAAGCAATTCGAAGATCTGAATCTCAACTACGTCGCGAAATACACATTTGGAATTGGCTTCGCCATTTCCATCCCGCTGATCTGGGTTGCACTCACTGTCGATGATATCGGAGACTACCTTCGCATGGGAACCAAGCACGGCTGGAATTGGCTCTCTCTTCGCAAAAAGAAGCCGAAACCTGCGGTTGATCGGGCCGATGGGCAACTGCAGGCGCTGGAAATTGAAAAGATTCTCAGTATTGCGCGGACCCGTCGGAGTGGGGAGCTTGATTATGCGCCTAGCTTGTTGCCTGTTTCGACGCGTGGGACTAGTGCCTCCAGACGACCGGATATCTATACCGGAATGGCGGATGGGGCTATTCGGAAAAGCTTTGATGTACGGAGGAGTGTGGATTACAGACCCTATATATGATTTTATGAGATACGATGAAAATTTGTCCGTGTTTTCAATCTATTTGATTTGATTTGTTTGAGTCACGGCGGTGTGGTTGGATGTCAAGGGAAGTGGGAAAAAGAAATGCATATCCCGTCTATACTATTTAGTAGTAATATAATGAAAACCCGCATGGATATATGAGCAATTGAAAAAAAAATAACAAAAACAAAAAAACTTGAAGACTCAGACACGACAATCATCCACTGTACATCTGAACCTCCTCAGAATAAGCCGAATGAAGTCTCCCGGCCTTACCATCGCCCAAAATCACAGCGGGATGGTAAACATTCATCACAACCATAGCAATGAACATCAAAACTGCATCAAAGATGTACATATACACCTCGTGCGTCATAAGATATCCATTAAACCCACCCTTATACTCAATCAAGCGGAAAATGCACCGAATGAGAATAAGCACACTAACAATATACAGAGCCAGCAACACAGTGACCCAATTCCGCTGCCTCAAGCCCTGCGAGCGAGTCATATCCCGATCAGACTGCGACTTGGCCGTCGGCTGACGATTAATACGCATATGGAAGACCGCCGCCGTGACGACGAAAAAGCCGAAGAATAAGAGCTGGACGACCAGGCCGCCGATAACGATGTTGGAGCCCGTTTCGCGCGTGTGCGTGTCTTTGATGGCCATCATGCCGCCACCGGCTGATTGCATTAGGAAGGAGAATACGTCGCCTGCGACGAAGATCTTGGTCATCCAGTTTACGCGGACGAGGCTGAGTGGCTCGGCTTGGAGGTAGGTGACTGTTCGGCCGAGGACCATGTAGATTGAGGCTGCGTAGAGAGGGGGTGCGAGGAGGATGAGGACGGATTGGAGGGCATAGAGGGTGACGGAGTCGAGACTATTGCGTGCGGCGAGTCGGCAGATGTATCCTATCACTTGGACTGTTGAATTGTGTCAGCTTGAGTGATTCTAGTTACGTTTTTCTCTTCATTTTGACAAGGACAAGGAGTTGGAAACAAGTCGTTGCTGGAACTTGGAGGGTGTCACTTACAGATACCTCCTATCACAAAGGGGATAAAATACCAACATCTCGCCTTGGTAAGCTGGAATATATGAAATCCAGTTGTTGCGATGAAGAGGAGGGTGAAGATGACACCTCCAGCGAGGGTGGGTGTATAGCCGTAAAGATTGCCGGCGTACATTTTGACGGTTGACCACTTATTTTTGATGATAATGACCAAAATGAGATCTGAGGGGTAGACCAGGGGTTTTATGTACCCCGAGAAACAAGTTCATAATCCATTTCTATAACCATAGCCATAGCCCCAGTCTCCAAGCGCGCCAAGTGCTGGGATCGAAGACCCGGATCCACCACGACCAGGCGGCGGCTTTAATATTGCGCCAATCCCACGGTCATTTAACTTGTTCTGGAAGAATGGACCTTCGGATTAAGGTTAGATTCCATTTATCCAGATAACGGGACCTTAAAATAGCATTTTATACAGGCAAAAAAACTCTTCAAATGGTGTTGACAGCGGGCATCGGCATTTTGCGATCGAACTAACGGTTCAATGTGGAGCCCCCCGCGTATCCGCGACGCGAGTTCGAATCCGTATCCGCATCCGTATTCGAACTCGAATTCATTTATCTTGCACCCGTTCCCCTTCGCTTCGAGCCCGGGGCTGGTATAAGCGATTTCCCGCTACTAATCAGATTTGAGAATGGGCCCGCGGAGGTCGCATCGGAAGTCACGTAATGGCTGCCCCGAGTGCAAGACACGGCGATTGAAGGTTTTTCTCTCTGCATTTATTTCACTTGGCCTCCGCGCCACTGGCTCACCTTCTATGTAGTGCGATGAACAATATCCTTGTACCAACTGTACCAGACATGGTATTCCGTGTAGCTATGTCGTACCGATGGATGGACACGCGAGCACCCCAGCCTCAAATGCTTCCCCGGCAACTCAATCTCAGCCCCAGTTTCAGCCGCATGTTTATCCCCAGTCGCAGGCAATGTCGAATACGCCTAGCTACAGGAGTGACAAGGGTGAATTTCCCTGGGGAATAACATCAACAGATATCGCACTTGATTCAGAAAATCGTTGGGATATCATAGGTGTTTTCCCCAGTACACCCGGACCTTCCGCACAACATGCGGAAGACTGGGGACTTGATCTTGAATTGATGCATCACTATTGTTCGGTGACCTGTAATACCATGACTGAACGTGAGGATGCTCGTCACGTCTGGCGCGTAGTTTTCCCTATGGAGGGCTACTCTAACAGATATGTGATGCACGGTGTTTTGGCAATTGCAGGACTGCACAAAGCCTATCTCTATCCTACCCAGAAAGTGAAGTACGTCAAAGCAGCCGCCCACCATTTAGCGGTAGGTCTGAAAGAGTTTCGAGAACTTGTTGCTTCCCCGGTTGACCCAGAAAACTGGCAACCGGTGTTTTGCTTTGCCTCCATGATCTCGGTGCACCTCTCAGTCGTGCCGATCAGGCTGGGTGTAGACCACTGGCCCGATCCAATTTATAATATGGTTGAAATTTTTGCAAGCATCAGAGGGTTTCAAGAGATTATGCAGTCATTCTTGAAATCTCTGCGGAAGACCCAGCTGGCGCCACTTGTGAATTCGATATTTCGAGAGGATGAGATGCTCATTCCGAGGTGAGATATTAATTTACCACGCGGAGCGTTGATATCCTATGAATATTTGTTCTACCGAAATAGCTAACATCTATCAATAGCCCCGCTGTTGTCTCACAGTCATTACTTCCCTCGGATATATGGGACCAGATCTCCAGCCTCCAGCATTTTCTCGACGAATATCAATTCCCAGAGACCCATACCATCAACTCGCCAGCTCCACCTACCCAGGACCATTCAGGACCACCAAAAGATTATCAAATCGCGTTGGACTTTTTGAAAATATCCACCCGTCAGATTGAACTCGCTGGTCCACATCTGGAAACTGGCATGGTTTACATGTGGGCATACCCGCTTACGAAGCGGTATCATGACGATTTGAAATCATACCAACCCGTAGCGCTGGTCCTTCTTGCTCACTACTGTGTGTTGCTCAAACTAATTGACAAATTTTGGTACGTTAATGATATGGGCCGTCAGTTGCTGGGGGACATAGAGAAGAATATGCACCCGGGATTTCGGGAGTGGTTGGTTTGGCCAAGGCGATGGGTATTTGGAAAATGATAAAAGCAGACATGATTAAGAACTATAAGCCCACATGGAAGTGAGCAATGGTATGATACTACTATGTGGACTGATGAAACCTGTTACTTACAATTATCTACTGCAGTACGAACGAGAAAGGGAAAGCAATATGATGTACACTCCTACTGTAGTAAGGAGTGGGGATTCATTCTTGTTTTAAAATCAAGCAACTAAATCAACCGCAAAAGATCAACGTCCTGACGCCGGAATTCCCATTATTATCCTCCAGGTTGGCAAATCAAATTACCCTTGCTTACTCCACGGGGATCTTCACATACTCTTTCGCCTCGCCCTCCTCTTCATCACTCTCGTCCTCGGACTCAGTGGGGGTCATGGTCACGCTCGCTCGCTCAGAGGTATAGGCGGGGCTTTTTTCATTCAGGACGTTGCCATCCTCAACAACAACCTTCTTCTTCGGCTCAGGCTGACGAACAATCTTCGGCAAAGTAACAACCAAGACACCCTCCTCGAGCTTAGCCGAAATTTCGTCGACAGAGATATCAGCCGGGGCCTCACGACTTCCCAAACGGACTTCGCGTTCAAAGACACCGACTTCGCGGGCTCGCTCCTCCATAACAAGAGCCTCGTGCAAGTCCTCAGTCACACCGGGACGATAGATAACTCCAGCAAGGCGGAGAGCAGACTCATCAACATCATAGTCGATGCTTAGGTCGTTCTTCTTTGCACCGGGAAGAGAGACGTGCACAATGTATTGGGCGGTAGTGTCGAAGACATCAACGGGAGGCGTAAAGTCAGCACCCTCGCCAGCTTGCTCGTTGACCGGGAAGCCAAACTGCTCTGCGAGTCCACGCAAGAAGTCGAAGCCTGGTCCCTGGGGTCCAGCGTTAGATCGAGGGTTTCCACCGTGGTGTCTTCCTCGGCCGCCGCGACCTCTGCATCCTCCGTGGGGACGAGGGCCGCGACCATGACCAGCTGCCCAGAAGGGATGACCGGAGGGGCCGTGATGGCCTGGGTGTCCATATGGACCGGGAGGAGGGGACCGTGGAAGCCTCTGTGATGATGGCCATGGCCATGTTTTCCTCTTCCACCGCGTCCCTTGTTCTTACCGCCGCAGCGACCATAGTGGCCAAAAGTTTCGGTGTCGGACCCGGAGGTTGTGGCTTCTTTCTCCGTATTGCGCTTCTCTGACTCGACAGAGGGACCTGGGGTTGGATCGGACTCTTGTGCTGGAGTCTGGTCTGCTTCGGGCTCGCGGGTGGATTCGTTCTGAGGCTGGGCACCCCATCCCCAGAAGGGACCGCGGCGGTGGTGGTCGCGATGGTGATGAGGGTGATGGCCACGAGGAGCAAAGAAGGGATGATCCTCGAGTGAAGTGCCCATAAAATCCCAAAGGGGATTAGGTGGATTGTTCAGATAGTAGATGTTGGCCATCTTGGATGAAGGTGTGCAGAAAAGTTGAAGTTGGAAGTTCTTATCTGGAGAAGTGGATGTATTGAAAGAGGGAAAAGGAGGAGGAGCTTTGTGGTAGATTGTAGGATAATCTGATGATTCAAAAATCCATTCGAAAAACAAGTTCTTTATATACTTTCTTGCATCTTCAGGCAGCTGCAGTCCTCGTCACCCCCGGACAGCCACCGCGAGTATAGGTCTACGTACAACCATGCTGCCTTGGCATAGGAGTGATCTGATTCGTTCTCGGAGATGTTGAGTCCGAGATGTGAGTAATTCACCGTGAGCTTCGCGAAGCTACTAGAAACATGTAAATGATTAGACGCCAAACGCAGCTCGGGGAGGCAAAAGCTCGGGCGAATTGCTTGAATCGGGTGGACCTTAACTCCGAGCGGGTGACTCATCCCCCACAATCATCCGTGCGCCACGAAACGCCACAAGTGTGGCGACCATATTGTTCAAACCTTGGAAAGTTTGGAGTTCTTATGTATTCCCTGAATGCCCAGGTGAAATTCTGCCTGTCATCAATAAGATAGCATGGTGTTTTGATAAACGTTTTCTATTTCTATTATAATACTCTGCAGTCCCCAGGGAAAATCACAAGACAAAGTGGAGTCAAAAAGCGCGTAAGGAGTACAGCCTGCTCTAACTAATGATCAACTCACGTTGATATCGATCAAACTTGACGTTTCTGAATGCCACACTTGGTCAGGCATTCCTCAACCCTGATCAGGCTAGCACCCGGGATAGCATGCTTCACACGATCAATATCCTCACCAGAAATGCTTTGACCAAATGTACGGGCAATCACATCATCAGTGAAGGAGAACGTTTGATCAGCGACCAAGGAAATTCCAAAGTCTTCAGCAGTGAGTGCTGCCGTAAAGTTGGCGGGCTCACAATCCGGGTTCACCTGCGTGTGAAACGAACCGGCCGGGAAGATGGTCATCATTCCGGGGTGGAGCTCAGTGCGGATGACTCGTTGCTTCTTATCAGAATCAAGAATATTTCCCTCAGGCACCATTTCCGTGAGAACACGGCCAGAGGTAAGGGCAAAAAGCTCGGTAGCACGAGGGTGGAGGTGAACGAAGCTCATGCTGCATGCTAATCACATAGTCAGTATGATTAAGGATGAAAAGTGAAATAGTTGTTACCTGGAATAGAAGAGAGGCTAAATGATGTTCCGTAGCCGGTCAGAGCTGGGAAGCTTTTACGATTGGCGAAGAATGATTCGCCTTTATTAAAGTCGTAGACAAAGTCTTCATCCTTTGGAAGAAGTTGATAACGTTCCACAGTCCTGGTCCAGCAATTTAGCTTCAGTTCACCGAGCCAGATCTTCAAATTACTCACGTGTCTGCAAGTTGTAGCTGAGCTGCCAAGCTTAATTCGGGAGTTGAGCGTTGGGAAATAGGTTTCGGCGCCGCATTCGCTGGAATTGCAGTAACCAGCGCAACGATGAATGCAGAACGAAGAGCAGAATTGGGGAGAATCATGTTGATTAGAGATGAATTTCGGAACGAAAATCAGGTTGAGATAGTGATGAAAATAGTGTTGTTTTGCTTGACTGGCAATCTTCAAGTTGTTGGTTGAATGACCTGATGATGGTGACCGGGGCCCTTTTATACCTGAAGCGATCAGCATAGATACCAGTTCAAAACGAATCAACTTGAAAGTTGTATATTCCAAATATCGTCCAGCTTGATGAAAGTCTAAGCCTCATTTTAGGAGTACTTGGCATGGTCATTCCGTGTTTACGAAGCCCAGTCAGCATTTCAGTCTTGCCAAGAGACCCGATCCATGCGATGAATGTTGTTTTAAAGTACGGCTGAAGGTCGTAAAAACGTTATATGATAGGCCGGGAAAATGTAATTCTTACTAATAAATCATGTCAGGCATTACTCTGTAGCTCATAACGTCGCTGCCAAGACATCATCCTAGGATTTAGACTCAATAGGAAGCGACTTTAATGACAAATAAGTGTTGATAGAGATTTAACCAATGCTTCAAGCCAGACAGACAGTCAGGTTAGTTCATAGCGTGTAAGAAGTGGATACTCGGGCGGGCTATGTACCGGCGGAAATGCCCGAGCGGATGTCGTATTGACGGTCGTATTGTGGGGGGCCTTGGTTGGAGCGTATTTATAATACGACTTTTAGGACATTATTGCGCTACTTACAATGAGCGATTCCGTGTCGGCGTATCTGCGCCCGGTCCCCACCTCTACTCACTATGAGCATATTCTCAAACGGATCTAAGCCACCAGATCTATGTTCAGTTCACATCAGCCTGTGTCTTTGGAGTATAGGGTCAATAAACACGACACGCTTGGCTCTAAACACCGCCTTGACTAAGAGCGACTACCGCTCGGAAGAGCATCATCTGTCGTACTCGATTTAGCCACGACACAAGATGAGCGAGTATAAATCCACCGGTACTGCAATACAGCAGTCGCAAGAGACAGATACAACTCCTCACAAACAAAAACTGAAGACACTGGTCACTCGCCACCTAATTGACAATGCAGATATACGGTCAAAGACTCGCCATCTCGGCATTTGCACTGAAGCTAGCCATCGCTCAAAGCACAACTTTGCCTCCAGCAATACATTCAACAGGATGGAATTCCAGCTTTGAGCTCAGCGCTGAGCAGCTCAAGTTGGGCAACCTGACAGCCGATTATGGTGCTACAATCAACACCATCATAAATTTTGATAGATCCCAGCTTGCCAATGGCGGGACACATCAGGATGAATTCTACGATGTCCGAAATTTGCCCAAGGATCAATGGCCCACAGAGCCTGGAAGAACCATCAAGCTTCAGAAGTTTACCGATCCTTCGTCCTTTTCCATACCTCCAAAGACCGCTATGTCTCGGATCATCTACAGTACCACCAATCTAAATGGTACCTTGATCCCTGCTTCGGCCTACATTCTTTGGCCACACCACCCGAAGAATTTTAGAGACGGACGCAACGCTTCGGCTTCATCTGCACCAGTTGTTCTATGGACACATGGAACCTCTGGCTTTTACGCCGATGGAGCTCCCTCAACGCATCGTGGGCTGTTCTACGAAGACTTTGTACCTTTTACTCTGGCCGAAGCTGGCTACGCCGTTGTGGCTCCAGATTATGCCGGGCTTGGGGTTAGCACTTCTTGGGATGAGACCTTCATTCCACACCAATATTTTGCCTCCGAAGCCGGTGCCGGTGACGCACTGAACGCTTTGAGAGCAGCTCAGGAGTCATTTCCCAAAAATCTTTCGAATGACTATGTGGTTCTGGGTCACAGTCAAGGCGGCTCCGTTGCCTGGACCTTGTCAGAAATTCTGGCTAGAACGAATCACACGTTCGACGATGTTGCAAAATATCATCTTGGTACTGTAGCGATGGCTCCACCAACTGATATATTTTCATTGAGTGCTGGAATCGGACCTTTCTTGGCATGGATTGGCAAAGACCTTAATCAGATCTTCCCGGCTTTCAACCTCAGCGACTGGCTGACACCGCTTGGCATTAAGAGAACCAAAATCTCAAATCAAGTTGAAGGATCACAGATAGTGTCAAGTTATTTGTTGACTCCCGAAGAGGAAATCGTCCAGCCCGGTTGGAAGGAGACCTGGTCTATTCAGGCCTTTGGGAAGCTTGCCAACCCCGGAAATAGGAATTTCAAGGGACCGATGCTTGTTTTGCAAGGAATGGATGATCCCGTCGTGACATACAACATGACAAAGAATACAATTGATAAAACCTGCAAAAATCACCCGAATGACCTTGAGTTTCTGAACATCCCGAAAGCGAATCACTTTGGTGTCATCAATGCTGGGAAACAAAACTGGTTGCGATGGATCGAGGATCGATTTACTGGACAGCCTTTGGTCAGGTCTGGTTGTGTCAAGTCCAATGTGGAAAGTTTGATGCCCCAGGAATATTATCAGCTCACTGCCAATTCCTTCGTCTTATGGGCTGGAAAGCCGCAGTGGTCCTATGAGCTCCCTACTGCCGCATAATTTGGACTGCTGCCGATGGGGACAGGATACAGCGGGGTTAAATTGTGATACTACATCTTGTAGAAGAGCATCAGTTAAATTGGAGCCCTGGAGTCAAGTAGACAGAATGACTTTAATGTTTCAATTTTCTTTTTATTATAATCAATTATTTGTAACCTGGACTTGTTTCATTTGGAATTAGATTAAACGACCTCGCTTTTCCAAGGTTTGATTCTATATGGCGAATTTACATCAAATTAAAAAAAGAAAATTCTATAGATCTATGTCTCCGGCATCAACTCCATATTAACCAAGTACATACTCTCCGGCCACCAAGTTTCCTTTGTATCCGCAGGCTGATTGGGCAGTTCCTGAGTTTTCATCAATGACACAATCTGGCCAAGTTCCCATCGACCAATACCACCAATCCACCACACACCATCCAATAACATGACTAGAACTAGCCAGTGTGCAAATATGTCCATGGCTAGGAGATGTGTTGTATCGAGAGGCTGCATTTCACCCTTGGGCGAACCACGTGCCACCCAATCTCCAGTGTAGGCCACAACAGACGACGAATCTAGCACCGACTGAACAAGGTTGAGATACTCAGCTGGTGCCTCATTCAAGAAAGACATAATTGTTCGCCGAAGTGCCTTTGGGGCTGTCATTGAGGTGACACTGAGCATATAATTTGCAACCCAAGATGAGACTCGAGAATATTCACCAGACACTATGGGTGTGTCGTTGGATAAATTTGGTTCCTCGTCGGAACACTCTCCAGATAAAGCAGAAAATGCACACTTTTCAAGTGTTGGGAGGGTATTCAAGCAAGCGTCGAGATCTAGATTGTGAAGTCCGGGACCCTCTTGGCTCTTAGAAGAATCTGCTACAGACTCCACTTTCCTGCGCAGCGATTCAAGAGCTCGTCCGTATGTAGATGTAACTAAAGGAATGAATAGTCTTTTTGTATCTTCGGAAGGGCCATTCTGTGGGGTCAAGATGGCAGATGTCGGATTTGGTGATTTATAAACGGTTGGGCTGGTGGTTGCATTTCGATTCATATCTGCGTTTAAAAGCCCACTTAGAACTGCACTGGAAGCTGTATGAGCGGCACGTGTAAATGTGATCCATTGTGAGTGTTGTGGAAGTACATTATTTGGCAATTCCTTCCCACTTCGTCTCGCAATGGCGGCGAGTCGAACTCGAATCGAGTGGCTCGCAGAGGCGTAAAGTACCATTAGTGCTGCGTTTGCAAGGACGTTATCGTACCAAATTGAGTTTGAAACTGCTTCTTGTATGTACTGGAGTGATGCCCTGTGGTGGTTTTCTGCAAGCTCAAGAAGCCGCTGGACCTCCATGATGGTTTGGCCCGCCAAAGGGCTCTGCGCTGTGTTGACGACATCGTGAGATTTGCAGGCTGCTGCCAAAGCTATCAAAGACGACATGACAGGCTTGCTATTGAAAGCAAGATTTGGTATTCCCACAGAAAGGGCGTAGAGATCGAGATCGTCGAAAGGGATGGTTCGGCTAGTGTGCGCCAGATAGCGGCTCAGAAGACTGAGCTCTATCGCATCAAGAGTACCGGGTGACTCAGAGCCCATTGGAATTGTCTTTCCATTTGTGGTAAAGTTCGGAGAAAAAGAGGATATTGAGGTCTGAGAAGAACCACGGGGCGAAGATCCCTCAGGAGCCCAAAGATGATCACTCGGAAGCGCAAAGGGCCCTTCCGGTACTATACGGGGAGTTGGAGAACAAGAATATAGCCTGGAAGCTGACGCATAACCTATGTCCTGTTCTTCAGGTTCCGATGTTCTTGCACTCTTGCTCGTGTATTGATATTGGCAAGTATATTCTTTTTTAGCGCATCTTGAACAATTTGGTCTTGCCTCGTCGCACTGTGGGACATGGTTAGAACGTTGTAATAGACACATTATCTGTGAGACGTAGCTAACCTTCTTTCTTTGCTGCTTACATCTGAGGCAGCCACCCCTGGATTTTACGTGTGCTCTTCGAAGTCTGAGGTCTGTCATGTCGTCGCCACCCGCACAGGAGGATTTTCGTAAGTTGCTAAATAGTCTCCTTCCAGAGGGGCTTGCCGATGATTGAAAAGAATTGGGGATTATCAAACCGAGGCTACTCTGAGTTTTATAACGCAACTCAATTTGAAATATCATTCCCATGGACTCGTTCCAATTGTCTGTTTCCCGGGGCTGAGATGGGAGGCTGATGCTGCCAAGCCCCCCCGCCTAAGAGGATGATTTGGAATCACTACGGAGTACCGTCAGCAAAGCCCCAAACCCGGAAATATCAGCCCTAAGCCATTCGGGGTTTACCTTCATGATTAGTTTTTAGGCAGACTGTCATGACTCATTAAAGAGCAGTACAAAATTATTCGGTCGACTTGGGCAAGATATGAATTTATGAAATTATCGAGATCAGGTGACTGAGAGCGCCGCCGTTGTGGCCTCACGCCTCAGGCATATATTTGCTGAGTCATCATACACCACATAATTTGTAGAGACTCAGGTCGTTTCCTCCATAGCGATATCACACACACACACACACCATTCATCCATCTCCTGCAGCCCCTCCGGTTAGCAAAATCTAGCAAATTAATACCAAGGGCCTAGGGGAAGATGTTGGAAAATTTTGATTTCTGTCTCTATAATAATGTTCTGCGTCCGACATGGAACCTATTTGTCTTAATAGAACAGAAATAGAGAATCGGGGCGGAAGTCGATGGCAACCAGAAGTCTCTTATCCCTCGTTGTAGGGTGGTGGTGGAAATAGAGTTTGAAGTCGACTTCAAACATACGTCAATAGTAAGAGAACAGCAGTCCCGAACGAATTTTGAATGCGGCCAAAAATTCATTTCTTCACATTTGCACCTATTTCTTTTCGAGTCCTAGTTGCCATGTTGAGCATATTATCAAAATTTGAGAAGCTCGGAAAGGGACCCTTCGAGAAAGCCAGAGTGTCGAACGAAGAATCAGAAGCTCAGAACTCATGTAGAGCGTCACACTCCATTTAGACATAGCTAAACTTTGGGTGGAACGAGATATAGACTGGCACATGCCCAGGTGTGTACCCAAAAGTTTAAAATATGGTGGTCAATCATACTAGCATGCAATATACATGACATCTATCGGTTTCCATCTTATATTCGGATATTCTACTACAGTGTCCGTGTAATCCTTTCATGTCAACAACAGCTCCGCCTGCTCCTTAACTGCCTTCATTGCACACTTCCACAACTCTGGCCCAAGACTAACCCTCGCAACTCCCAACTGCCGAATTTCCTGCATCCCTAGGAACCCCTCTCTCAAATTCATCTTCACATTCACCATCCCCTTCAACTCCTTCACCACAACCTCCACCTCGTCCTTTGACACACCCCGCCCCTTAGGCCCACCCCAAATATAGACCGTACAAGCCCCGGCCTCCAAAAACGCCCTCCCCCGCACAATAGCATCATCTATCGTCGTCCCGTCCTGGCCCAACACATCTGTTCGTGCATTCAGCACAAAATCAGGGACCCCGGCCTCCTTCGCTGCTTCGACCACAGTCTTCACCCGCGCAGCAGCTTCTTCCAGCGGCCGCAACGTACCGGCCGCATTATTCATATCCTCCATATTGCAGCCAACCGCGCCAAGGGCGATAGCTTCCTTGACAGTTTCCGCCAAGCTAGGGAGGTCCTTGCCGTATCCATCTTGCAAATCGACTGTGACAGGTAGGGCAGGGTTAATACGGCGGACGGCGGATATGATGGTCTGCAGGGCGGCTAGGTTCTGGGATTTGGTGAGATCATTGTCGTCGACACCAAGACAGGCTGCGATGGCAAAGGAGGCTGTGGCAACCGCGCGGGTTGTGGGAAGTGAGGCGATGACTGAGGCGGTGCTGGCGTCATAGGCATTCGTGAGGAGGATGGGATCCTGGGGTTTGTGAAGGGCGCGGAAGTTTTTGGCAATGTCGTTTTGGGAAGACATTTTTGTTTGATGTTGGGATTGTGTATTAGAGTCGATGAGGGAGACAGCAAATACGTGGATCTTAGTAGTGATGATATTATCTCGAAAACTTTCTCAATTGCAATCCTTGGGCAATTTCAGAGTGATTTATACTCTCGATGATTCAACGGGTAGATTCAATTAGTTCCATCTGGTCAAATACGATCTACTAGTATGGTCTGTGCATTTTCCTAATACTCTCGCAGCCCCCAGGTATCTAACCCGAGAAAATTTCAGTCCAGGAGGACACAACGTCGCTCCATGGATGGGAATAACTCCGAGTCACATTCTTCTTGGTGTATTCGTTAGATTGGTCATACTTGATGCAGCTGATAAGTCATAATATATTCGAATTCCTTTTTAATGATCTACAGGTCATTTTCTGTAATCGGACTAGTGCTAGTTGTGATAGATTGTATACCCACAGTGGGACCCTTCGTGTACTTTTATCCGTACTCTGTACTCCGTAGCAAATAACCAAACCTTGGAACTTAAATTTAGTTCCAAGATCTCTCTGATCTACACCGCTGCACTGCTCTGCCGTGGCTTGCTGATCCTCGAATAATCCCATTTCCCTTCAGCTAGCCATTCAGGCTCTCTTCGGCCCGAAAGTTTGAAAGGCCACACGTAGAACTCAGCCCATCTTATTTGGTTTACCTACATCATTAATTATACTAGAGACTTATAATCCAGCGGAGAAAGGTCTATGGACAGAGTCGTAGATCTCATATTATATTCCGCCAACGGAGTACATACATCTTAAAGATGATCTCGTCTCAAGCAAAGGAGCCCCATGGATGTCGTTATTGCAGACCAAAATGTTAATGTTTGATCTGACGCATATTGCACATATGCACATATGCCCGCACATGTGCAGGCATCATTGGCGTAATCATAATTTACTCAACTCGGAAAGAGCACTAGAAGGTTATCCGATACTAGTAAGATTGTACAAAGTATTAGCGCCGAAGAATACGAGATTATACTATTTCTACGAAGTATTCCGTACTGGACTTCGGACGGTACCAAGACGATCCAAATAGCCTGAAATAATAGTATTATAGTTCAATAGTCAAGTCTGTAGATTGAGGATCTACTTCAGGACCTCGGTCGGCATCAGCCACAATGGAAGCGACGTACTCGTGTTAGTTTGAACAAAGGAAGGGGATCATATTTTTCGCCATTCTGAGGCCAGGGACTGCTGGAAGCTAGTGGCTCCACGATCAGCCACTCGGGGATACTATTTCCTGCAGGGGTTATCACCATAAGAGCTACAGCCCGGAAAATAGCGTAACACTCCACATGATTGGATCCTCCAAAAAAGTTTCTTTGTGCTTCCACCTGGGCATCTGGCCCTCGCAAGGGGCTTCACCGGCCATTGGGACTAGAGAGGTTCTTGGATAGCCCTCCGAGTGCTCTGGTAGTACGCATTTACCTTGGAATGAGCGGTGTCCGTGGTAAAAAAGCCCACGGGCGATCAAGCTCCACCTGCCTGGGCACACCTGGGCATATAACATTAACTTCTAAGGTTGAAGCAGTCATAGCAATATAGTATCTCCCGAGGTCCTCTTCCCCTTCTCTCATATAAACCTTCAAAGCCCCACAGCATTCCATATCTGGATCAAAATATCATTCAAGTTCTTCTGCGCTCCGTGCTGAGCTTTCAGAGATCAATATGTCCAATCAACCCGGCTCCGGCCTCCCATTGAAAATCACCATCATCGGCGCTGGCATAGCCGGCCTCTCAACCGCAATCGCCCTCTCCGACATCAATCCTAACCACCAGATCACCATCCTCGAAGCCAACCCCGCGCTCAGCGAGTATGGCGCTGGACTTCAACTGTTCGCCAATAGTACCCGCCTCCTACACAAATGGGGGCTCACCCAGTCCATGGAGAAGGTCGCCTGCTCCGCCACCCATATGTCCATCCGTCGTTGGAAAGATAATATTGAACTGGTGCGCAATATGAATAATCCGACCAGTCAATGGCTATACGGTTGGCCTCAATGGCAAATATATCGCCCCGATCTACAGCGAGTGCTCTTTGAGCGGGCTCAACAGATGCCCAATGTGTCTGTGCTCTTTGGCAAATTGGTTAAATCGATAGACCACGAGACCGGAGCTGTGCATACTGACACAGTCAATGGAGATGTATTTAAGGGGGATCTCACAATCGCGGCAGATGGGATCTGGTCTAAGTCGAGACGTTGCCTACCTATGACAAAGGATGTGACCCCTACCCCGTCTAAGGAACATGCCTACCGTGCGATGATCCCACGGGAGCGTATGCTGTCTCACCCGCTGACTGCGCCACTGATTTCTTCGTCGGAGGCTATATCGTGGGTAGGCCCTGGTGTATTTGTCCTAGGATATACTGTTGCTTCGGGCGAGTTCTATAATCTTGCGATTATTGTTCCCCGCCAAGCAAAGAAATGCCCATTGGATCCTGGAATAACCCAGCTGATGTGGAGAGGATGCGAAAACTTACCTCCGACTGGTGCGAGGAAGCGCAGGCATTGATGCATCACGTCCGAAAGGAGGAGTGTGTTGCGTGGACGCTTGGGGAAGTTGCTTCTATCCCTCAATACATGAGCCCATCTGGACGAGTCGTGTTAGTGGGAGATGCGGCACATGCTATGCTTCCTCATGCTGCACAAGGGGCTGGAATGGCGATGGAAGATTCTGCAAGTCTGGCGGAGTTTGTGGACTCTTTACGATCGAGAGAGGATCTATCGAAGGATCTGCCGAATATACTAAGTGCGTGGAGTCAGTTTCGACAGGCCCGTGTGGAGCATCTACGCAGTATGAGCCATGGTAATGCCAGTGATATGACTCTGCCAGATGGCGAAGAGCAGATTATGCGGGATGAGAAATGGAATGCGATTCTTGATGTACAGCGGGCGCAGGCGGAGGCAGCTGAGCTTGGACTGGAGAAGATCAAGGAGAAAGTCATCAGGGAGAGTCCGATGCCGGACCCGAATTCTAAAAGCACGGTTGACCCAGCTGGTAGAATGTGGATTAGTGGATATGATGTTTGTCAGGAGAGTCGGAAGTTCTGTCGCGATCATCTGGAACTTTTTGAAACAGAAACAGCTAGACTATGAGGACTTAGATAGCAACTTCTTATTATTTTTTCGGGCATCGTATTTCATCCAATAAAGCGGGATTGTAGAAAATTAGCCAACATATCTAATGTTTCCTATCGCTCTAGTTACACTGACTTTCTTTTTTCCGGCTTACCTGCAGCCTTAAAAGTTATCATTCGGCCAACTTTAAACAACCTAGCGTTGAACCTAGAACAGCTCGGCGTTCGTCTCCATCGTCTCCATTTTCATCTTCTTCGAAAATACTCCGTACTGATGGAGGAGATACCCCAGCCCCTTACATTGAAGTGAAATAAAGAGAGCTACTAACTGTATTCTGGGTTTGCTAATCGCTAAGACATTGTGTGTAAGGTGTCCGGGAGAGAATGCAATGGGCTTAGAGTGGAAGCAAGCTGGTCGGTACAATTTCCGCGTAGGAACGACTGAGCGGCTACTTCCTATTTTTTTTCAGCCATTTACGTAGACCATATCCGAGGCAAGGACACGGACTGTTACACAAAGATTTGAACTAACCAATAGTCGATTTAGGCGGCGTACCTTTGGGGTCCACAACCTCAGGTGACTAACTAATAGTTCATGCACTCGTATGCAAGATCCAGCGATCCCAAATTTAAGGGATGCGATTTTCAGCTCCCTCAGCCCGCCACTCAACTACGATATTCCTGATCCAAACCTTGGAATGATCTAACCCCTCTGTCCCCCACCCCCAGATTCGCAAAATCTGCTACTGAACAGAGACGAAACTGCCAAAATGGCTTGGAATGGAGGAGTGAACTCAGTGGGATACTCATGGCGGTCCTCACGATGGTTCATTATCACTTGCATCGCCATCGCGCTATTCTCAAGTACATAAAGCCTCTCGAAGATTAAAAGCCCCTACTAATGACGAATAGCAAACTTCCTCTACAGCTATATTGTTCCCATTCTCCCGGTCATGATCAGGGACCGTCTTCACATCGGTGAATCCCACGCCCAGTCTACCACATCCCTGATTCTCTCGGTCCATGCCTTTGTGGGACTCATCACTAGTCTTCCGATTGGTTATATTGCGGACAGAATTCCAAGCCGACAAGCCTCTTTCCTAGCTGCTCTTTCCGCAGAAGCCATAGGAACAATTTTGGTCATGATCTCAACCAACGGTATTTCATCTCTCCTAGCGTTCTAGCGCAGCAAACTGATTTGCTGAACCTTAGTGCCTGTACTTCTCATCGGACGATCAATACAAGCTATCGGCGGCAATGGAGCATGGATTGTTGGACTCGCAACCGTCGCTGATACGGTCGGACAGGAAAACACAGGGAAAGTACTCGGAGGCGTTTCCTCGTTTTTCAACTCCGGCCTCCTTGTTGGCCCCATGCTCTCCGGTACTCTCTTGCAGCTCTTCGGATACTGGCCTACTTGGATTGCCGCTCTTGCGGTACTGGTCATTGATATTCTCATGCGGGTTGTCATGATCGAAGACCGATCTAAAGACAATACAGGGGAGGTGTCTACCGAAGCTTCGGAAGATGATGTCGAGTCTAGGACAATACCCGAGCAGGACGTCAATGAACGAACTTCGCTAATTTCCCCATCCCAGGATGCCGTGGGCTCGAAGGTTGAAGATGTCCTCGTCGAGAATTTCTATAAGGCTGTTTTAACCAACCCACGCGCAATTACTGGCTTGCTTTGCCACTTCACTGCTGCTTTTATCCTAGTCACTTTCGACACTACACTACCGCTTCACGTCACTACGGAGTTCGGATGGGGACCTGCAGAGGTCAGTCTTTCGTTTCTGATTCTCCAGTTGCCTTCTCTGGTATTTAGTACCTTTACTGGTATTCTTAAAGATAGAGTAGGCACTAGAGTTCCCACGGCTCTCGGATTCATCTCAAGTGCTGTTTTTCTCGCTCTGGTTGGCTTGCCCGATCATAGTAGCGGGTACACAGGGCGTGTCATCTACATGGTGGCCATTGCCGGCATTGGGATTGGATGGACATTAACTGCTGGATGTGGTATTATTGAAATAACACGTATGTTCAAAGCTCCATCCGGAAACGACCTTCTCGCTAATTAACATTTAGATGTAATGAAGAAGTTTGAGGAGGAGCGCCCTGGTCGATTTGGTCCCAACAGTAAATTGTCTTCTGGATATTCCATCTGCAAGATATGCTTCACTCTTGGCACGCTGTTAGGGCCCGTTGTAACCGGCTTCATGACGAATACTCTGGGATATTCCTATATGAGTTACATTGTGGGTAGGTTTTTAAACTTCATTCATCGTCCAATTCTCTGAAATATAACCGTCACCACACATACTAATTATGCTTTCAGGAATATTTTCCTTGGTCGTCGGTATTATTGCAGCGATCTTCCTAGGAAGATAACAAGTTGTAACGACGCGGAGCCCAATGGGTCACGGTGTTACTACCTAGGTATGTAATGTGGTCGGTAACTAGTAAGCAAGTGAGCCACCCAACCAGAATTTCTACACTTTTATAGATATAAACCTTGAAATCCACCACACCTTCTTTTCATTTTTTCTTTGTTGGGCTAGAATTTCTTCTTCACTACAATTACCGCATCTTTTAGGCAGTGCCTGTGCCTTCGGTGCTCAATTAAGCCCCCATATGGACGCCCTAGGGGATAAAGCAGTTTATACCACTAAAGAATGTAATGGATTTGAAGAATGCGAAGGTATAACTTGAAATATTGAAACAATATGATTCTCCAGTACAAAGTCGATCGAAGTGGGGGGGTCAAATGCATTTACTCAAGTTACAGTGTGTATGCCACGGCACCTGGCATGCTTCAACCTGATAGGCTTAAGAGAGTGACATGATGGTGGAGCAAGCGATTTAAGTTGTAGACTGGCATGCATTGACATCACATGATTCCATGCTATGCTGTATTTGAACAATACCTCTCCCTCCTTCAGATTCCTCCTCTCTTTCAATTTTCGTATATTTATTTTTGATCTGCTGATAATTCCTGCTGGCCATGTGAAGAACCAATGCTCTGTCCAAAGCTCCTGATTCTCCCGATCGACTCTAGTGGCACGTGCAGCCCGCACTTCACCGATGGCCCCGAAGGGTTCCGTAATTCCCCTTGAGGTATCAAGGAAAACTACACCTCGATAAGATGGCCACGGGAGCACGAGAATCCGAGATGGAGTGGGTTGTGGTGGAGCTCCACGGAAAGGTTCGTTCGCAATCCCGATCCGACTCCTTCCTTCATGAAGTCATCCATGTGTAAGCGGAAGTCTATCACCAGTACATTGGTCCCAGGGCTTTAATACTCTGGAAACTCCCTAGAATTGTGACTCACCATGTAGCTGGAACTTCAATTGAGAGTCAACATTTTCAGTAAACCATGCCCCTTCGATTGGGCGCTGTGCGCGCATTGCGCAGGCCTGGCGTTGTTTCTCACCAACATACTCTTTCATGGAGACCTCAAAACCCTCATAACCTTGGGTCTACCAAACAAAAAATCCTTGAAAGATGTTTCGCGACACAAGTTGAACACTCCGATGCTGGCAGCCAGTCCGATCACCAGAAAGAACGCGTCGTCATTCTCGGATCCGGATGGGGCGGATATACCATGTCACGCCGACTCTCACCTAAAACCTTCTCGCCAATCATCGTCTCACCTCGTTCATACTTCGTTTTCACTCCTCTCCTTACAGATACGGCCAGCGGATCATTGGATTTCTCTAACATCGTCGAACCGGTGCGAGACCCAGGCGCCAAAGTCGATTTTATTCAAGCCGCAGCCCGATCCGTCGATCTCAAGAAGAAAACTATACTATGCGAAGCTACAGTGGTGAAAAGTGGCGTCACAGAATCGCCGCGCACACACGAGGACGAAAGGGAAACCGAAGACGGCCCGGAGGCCAGCAATAAACAGCCGACACAACCGCGCCGGCTTTGGGAGAAAGGCGAAACATTCGAAGTTCCATATGATAAGTTGGTCATCGCTGTGGGCGCAGTGAGTCGCACATTTGGTACACCGGGAGTCCGACAGAATGCCATGTTCTTCAAGGATATTGGTGATGCCAAACGGGTGAAGCGCCGTGTACGCGAATGCTTCGAGCTAGCCGTCTTGCCAACCACAACCACGGATATGAAAAAGTGGCTGCTTCATTTTGCCATCGTTGGTGCTGGCCCAACTGGCACTGAGCTCACAGCTTCGCTGCGTGACTTCATCTACAAGGATATGATAGCGCTCTACCCGGGCCTCGAAGGGCTTCCGAAGCTCAGCCTCTACGATGTCGCACCGAAGGTTCTGTCCACGTTCGATGAATCACTTTCTCGGTATGCGATGAAGACGATGAGGAGTGAAGGGATTGACATAAAGACCTCTCATCATGTGAAGGGCTTACGCTGGGGTCCACCTGGTGCGCCTCCACCTTATGAAATGGACCCAAAGCGCTGCTTAACCTTGACCACCGAGGAGGAAGGAGAAGTCGGAGTCGGCATGTGCGTATGGGCAACAGGAAATGCCATGACCAAATTGGTTAGCCAGTCACTAAATGAAGTCAAAGAGTTTCCCGAGAACTCTGTGTTCAAGATGGATCGAAGCTCCAGTGGTGCGACCTCTGCAGAGCAATCTTGGGAATTCAAGAAAGTTCCAAAGACGGGAGCGCTGCTCGTCGATGGCCATTTGCGGGTTCAGCTACAAAACGACAAGGGAGATACGGCAGTGTTAAATGATGTCTTTGCTCTGGGGGATAATTGCATGATCGAGACCGGTGCACCTCCCGCAACCGCCCAAGCAACATTCCAAGAAGCGAAATGGCTCGCGTCCCACATGAACAAAGCGGATTTGGCCCATACGTCCCCCTTCTCATTCCGCAACATGGGAACACTAGCCTACATTGGAAGTGAGAAAGCATTGATGCAGATCCCTCATGACATGCACGATGTCAACAAGCGCAAAAGTTATTTACCCGAAGGCATCACCGGACGAATGGCTCGGTTGGTTTGGAACGCTGCGTACATCACCATGAGCATCAGTTGGCGCAACAAGATCCGAGTGGCATTCAGGTGGACCTTGAATAGATTGTTTGGAAGGGATGTATCTAGATTTTAAAGTATTGTAAATGACGAAAAAATGAAACATCTCCTACTGCATCTTGTTTCCTTCATCTTTTTTCCGAATGAAGGAAAAGGAGAACCGAAAAATCGAAAAATGAAAGATTTCTTTTAATTCGATACATGAGAAGACTGCGACAATTATGTTTCAAGGGTCCGGCAAATATGGGGGTCTTCAACTAAATCGGCAGTTCGCCTGGGCCGAGGCTTGTCTTCTCCGCACTCCCCGCATCCACCAGTGTTATTTCAATGTTGCATTCCGCAACCTTCAAACTTCAAACTTCACTATCACCCATCATGGCATCTCAACAGCCCCCTTACGTGGCAATTGCTCAACGCAAACAAATTGAATTGGCGGCTGCTATCCCCTCTGAATGGCAACTCCCTACCAACCTCATTCCCGAGGGCATGCTCTCGCCCGCGGAGTCTATTACCGAAGGCCCAAAGCTATATGGCCGAGTGAACGTGATGGAGATACCTCGCACTTGCGGTATACTCACGTCGAAAGAACTGGGTATTACAGAGAACTACGATGTCCGAGGACTAGTTTCTGCGATGACAGAAGGTAAATTGAAGTCGGAGGAAGTTACTCGGGCGTTCTGCAAGGTGAGCATTCGGGAGAAATCCACATATCCTATAAAGCCTGATGGCTGACCGATTCAAATAACAGAGGGCAGCCATAGCCCATCAAGTTACACGCTGTCTCACCGAACCGCTCTTCGACCGCGCCTTACGTCGCGCACAAGAACTGGATTATATACTGCGACAAACGGGCAAACCCGTCGGACCCCTGCATGGCCTGCCGGTTTCCGTGAAGGATACATTCAACGTGAAGGGAGTTGACTCAAGCATTGGGTTATCTGCCTTGGCATTCAAGCCTGCCTCGGAGAATGCAGCGCTTGTGGAACTGCTCCAATCTCTCGGTGCCATCGTCATTGCCAAGACAAACATCCCCCAGACACTGGGGACTCTCGAACAGTTGCAACCATCTCTTCGGACGAACGCTCAATCCTATCAATCGACAGTGGACTGCTGGAGGCAGTACTGGAGGCGAGGGCGCATTGCTCGCTATGCGAGGATCCATGGTCGGCTTCGGCACAGATATCGGTGGTAGCATTCGCGTACCAGCAATGTGTCAAGGAATTTACGGCTTCAAGCCGAGTAACGGGCGTGTTCCATATGGTGGCCAGGAAAGCGGTCAACTAGAGGGCAAAGGTCGGATTGCTCTGCAGCCTGTGGCTGGCCCGTTGGCCCGCTCGGTCGCGGATCTTGGAGCTGTGATGGCGGAGATTGTCCCCCGAGCTGAATTGTTTGGCGAGGATTGCATCCCCGGCTCCTGGCAACCTTTTTATGTACCTCAATCCCTGGCTCCTCCACGCAACTTCACTATTGGTATCCTGAAAACGGATGGCCTTGTCACACCACTGCCGCCGATTGCTCGCATCCTAGATGAGGTAGCAAGTCAACTGCGCCGGACGCCGGGTGTTAAAGTTGTCGATGTTCCTTTACCAGCTGCCTTGCCGAAATGCCAGGGTCTGGCTGGCCGCCTTATGGGCGTCGATGACGGGTCGAGCATGTTAGATAAGATTGAGAGCATGGGCGAGTCTCTTATACCTTGGTTACAGGGCCGCATGAAGCGCGGAAAGGCTCTTACCATCGACCAGCTAGCTCGGTTACAGGCCCAGCGTGCTGAAGTTGAGTTGGAAATGTTGAAGATGTGGACTCTTTCTTCATCCAATAAGAGCCGGCGCATCGATGCTATTATCTGTCCTATTGCACCGCATCCAGTTCCACAAATGGATCGCTATAATGCTGTGGGATACACCTCCACGTTTGTTTTGCTGGACTACCCTGCTGGTACTGTTCCTGTGCGATCATTCGTTGAGTCGGATTTGGAACTTGGACGGGAGATGGACACACCCGTCCTTGGGAGCTGGGATAAGGCCAACCGACAACTATGTAAGTGATGACAACACCAATGTGTCCTCATGGAAGCACGATACTAATAATTTACTGCAGGGAACGAGAAGACTGTCGATCGCCGCGTGTACCTAGATTCGCCGCTCAGTGTTCAGGTTGTCACTCCCAAGCAGCATGACTATCAACTCTTCCAAGCAATGGAGATCGTCGATCGGGCGGTCCAGGGAAAGACCGGCTTGCCCAGCGCAAAATTGTAAATAAATGTGATCTATATTTGTAAATACTACCATAAGAGTTCAGGTCACTTCGACAGAACTATGGTGAACAAGTTCGGTATCTATACCAATGATATTGATTTTTCCAAAAACTTTGTCATATTATGCCAAGCGTGGTTTTATTTCAATGCTCGGCCTAGGAACCATCGACATATCAATCAAAATGGTAACTAAAGTCTACCCTTGAGGACAGCACCGCCGTCAGTTGCAATGACAGCCCCGTTCAAATGGCTTGATGCACGCGAAGACAAAAACACGACCAGTCCTGCAATATCCTCGGGACGGCCTAAACGGCCATTGGGTGAGTACTCCTGTAGCTCCTTCATTCCACCCTTGAGCTCAATCAAGCCACTGGCCATCTTGGAGGGGTAGAAGCCCGGCGCAATGGCGTTGGTCAGGATATGCCGAGGGCCCAGCTCAACAGCAAGATTTTTTGCTAGGTGAATGGCAGCAGCCTTGGACGCGGAATAACTTGGTGTGGCGTTCTCTCCAACGGTTCCAATGCCAATGCCCGCCACGGAAGCGGTGACAATGACGCGAGCAGGATCCTCGAGCGTTGCCTTTGCCTCGAGGAGTGGAGCAAGTCTATGAGTTGATGTCAGATTAAAGGGGCATTTATCAGGAACGTGAAAAATGCAGAGACGTACTTCTGAATTGTGTAAAAGATGCTCTTGACATTCAGATCCATCACCTTCGAGAACATCTTTTCGGGGTGAGTATCGAACTTCTCACCCCAGGTCGCACCCGCATTGGCGAATAGGATATCGACATGATCAGTTGTTTTGCTAATCTCTGCAACCAGCCTATCGAGATCTTCCATGCGGGAGCTATCAGCAGGCACAGAGATGGCCTGAGCTCCCGGTCGCTTGGAAGGCAACGCGTTCAGCGCCGCGACAGCTTCGTCGCAGGCATCCTTCTTTCGGGAGGTGATATACACCTTGGAGCAACCAGCTTGTAGGAGGCTAATCTTGACGTTAGATTTTCAAGACACAAATAGCAAATTCGGGGGTATTGTCCTTGAAACCGTAAGTCCAGGGCAAAACTTACCCCGAGGCAGCATGAAGTCCCAACCCGCGTGAACCGCCAGTCACGACAGCTACCTTCCCCTCGAGGGAGAATATATTCGAGAAGTTGGTCAATTGAACTTGATCTGTGGCTGACATGATTTCCTTGGTATATGGGAATGTATGGAGGAGGGAAGGTGTTTGGGTGAAGTTCAAGTTCAAGTTCGCATCAGGGCCAGGGTGTTATAGTGCAACCGCGCCGATTGACCGAGGCTCGTCTGTGTTACAATGCCGAACCCCGCAAACTACAAGTATGTCCCATGGATTAGTAATCTCTGTCCCTAAGCATTTTTTTAGGAATCGTAGTAGGTCAAATCACGTTAATTTATGTTATACCAGATTTTATTTACGGTAATCATAAAGTTGCCACGCGAATAATGGGAAACTGGGTATGCTGGCCCATTTCGAGGTACTTTGGCTACAACTTCGTACGACGAAGCATGAAAGAGCAAATAATATTTGAAAGTAGACAAAGTAACTATTAAGACATTGCGGAAGTTCCGAGACATAAAGCACCCATAGGTATTTTAATAGTAGAAAAGTGGAAAATGGCTATTGATCAGTCAGTCCTCTACGACTTTGGAACATCTGGCTGATCCTGGAAAGGGGAGGTATTGATGGCACCTGGGCATATGTCATATGTCGTCTTCGCCACCGGGTATTCTACCTCCTAGTGCCTAGTAGGCTTATTTAGAGGAAGTAACTACAACAATTTCGATGACATGATCAAGGCTAAAGGGGCCTTTGGCCTCCCACGAGATGACTTTCATCAGCACAATTTTCGATTCAATCTCATCTCTTAAATCCATCGCCCAACGTCTCCAGAGAATATCACAATATTGCTCCTTGATGAATTGTCTGAGACACATCGCTTTATCGATGCAATCTCTAAGACTGTGATCCGTTCTTTGTTTGAGCTCCAGAATGCGCTGCACGACATTTTCAGGCACTGCCTTGTATGGAATGCACGGAAATTAGGACAACGCCGTTCACTGCCACTCTTGCTCCTCTTCTTGCCAAGGCCGGGGATGAAAGTCAGAGCGTTTGTCTTGTTGTACAGACTTAGACAGTTCACACTCCTGTATCTAGGTTCTTTGAGCTCAGATAGTTTCTCACTCATACGCATATTTACTCTGGGATCACTTTTCTTGCCAGAGTCATCTCTCTGTATCTATATTATCTTTTTATTTGTAGGTTAAGATTCAATTTAGACGAGTCGAAAGATCCATTAGGTCCAAGACTATCTTCATATAGCACGGGTAATCCTAGTAGTCACCTGACAATTGTGGCACTGTCAGCCTCTATAATAATTCAAGCCCTGGTCCTAGTACTTCAAGTTTCTAGTTAAATCTTCAATTGCCTGTCAAGTGATATGACCGCTAATTATCTCCAGTCGGAAAATTTATTCCAATATAAAAATGTAGGGCTTGTTGAGATTATATCCGCGGGCTACGTTTACCACTGGTGCAAACAATCGTGGCTGGTAGTATCACGGCTGGTGGGCCCGAAATGTGCTCAATCTTTCGCAACTCATGGCACCAACTCACATTAGGTACTCCACGCAAATCAACTTCCAATCGAATGACCTCTCAAAGGATCTCGTCATTGAAATGAATGCACTAGTACCTTGTGGGCTGCGGGGTGCTCCCTAGAGGGACTCCCAATCGGGGAGGACCTTGGGAGTTGCCTTCCTTTCTCTAATACCCACGCATCTCCCGGTGACTTCGACTTTCCACCTCTCACCCTCTAATCTCTCATTTTCATACCACACTGTCAAAATGTCTCACACGCTTCCTCCTCTCCCTTATGCCTACGATGTAAGAACCGCCCCCAGTACACTTTGAATGTCCATTTTCTCATCTCGACTAGGCCCTTGAGCCCGTGATCTCCAAACAGATCATGGAGCTGCACCACCAGAAGCACCACCAAACCTACGTCAATAACCTGAATGCCGCTCTCTCATCCCAAGCTGGAGCGACTCAGTCAAATGATGTTCCGACCCTGATCTCCCTGCAGCAGAAGATTCGCTTCAACGGGGGCGGTCACATCAACCACTCCCTCTTCTGGAAGAACCTCACTCCACCTGGAACCCCAGGTAATGACCTGGCCAGCGCTGCTCCTTCTCTAAAGGAGGCAATTGTCTCCCATTGGGGATCTGAAGACGCTTTCAAGAAGGCATTCGGAGCCGCTCTTCTCGGTATCCAGGGCAGCGGCTGGGGCTGGCTCGTCAGCACTGGCGGACCCAATAGCCGTCTCGACATTACCACCACAAAGGATCAGGATCCAGTTTCGGCTGAGGATGTACCTGTCTTTGGTGTTGACATGTGGGAGCATGCCTACTATCTCCAAGTAAGTTCTGCTTCCGAAGCCGACCGAAGCTTCATACTGACGCCTTGACTTCCAGTATCTGAACAACAAGGCTGGCTACATCGAGGGAATCTGGAATATCATCAACTGGTCGGAAGCAGAGAAGCGCTACACGGCCGGTGTTGAGAACCTTGTCAAGTTGTAAAGGCGGACTGCTCGATATGAGGCTCTTACGTTTTCCCGCTGCCGTTCATGGCAAGATTCATGACCTAGTTGATGATAACAATGTAACCGACCAAATCAAATCAAATGGATATCAAATTTTGCATGCCGAGTATATAGTAGAAAGAAAAGGAGAAAGGACTATTCCAGTCATTCACTTTAATTGAAGCCCACGATCCCCACGCCAAGCACTGCTCCCTCGGCTTCGCGGAGGGTGACTTGTCGACCCACGACACCTTTCTCGGAGACACCGAGATCTAACCGCTCGGGTAACTCAAACTCCATCTCCGTTTGGTGAAATCCTGGTTTCAGACATTTGTTCTGGGACAAATCTAATCGGAACTGATGGAGAGGGACTGTGGGGGCAAATGAAGTCGAGAGATCTCCATATTTCCTGTCGAGCAGGGATCAATAACGGTATTTGAATACGGAGATTGAATGCTTACTCTATGCGCATATCCACATTTCCAAGACTCTTTAATGCTTGGTAGGTCTCTGGATCGTCGATTTGAAAGATAGCCTTGGTTTTGTGATCGTTTGTGTCGCGGAAAAAGAGTGAATAGGAGGATAAGGAGGATGTTGATGAAGATGTAGATTGCGAGGTGACTGAGTCTGGAGAGGAAGAAAGCGATCGTTCCGAAGAAAGATTGTTGTCGCATGGGAAGAGCACAGCGATGGTGCCTCCAAAGGCAGGACGGTTGGTTTCACCGCACATTTTGAAATCAGGTTGAGGTTGATGTTGAAAGGGATGGAAGATGCAAGAATGCTGCGATGGATATATGAGATGCAATATGTACAACGATTGAACGGGTCGAGGTGCGAGAGAAAATAAAGGAGAGTCCCATGATACCCATGCTATATAGGCGCAGCTTACACCCGCAAGGTCGGCCACCAAGGTGAGCGGGATCGAGCAGATATACTCCCCAATGAGGCTAGTCCTGCCGATCTGCTCAAATCTGCGCATTTTGTGGGGATTAAATGCCTGAGGCATTAAGACTCTCAGCTTTGGTTAGCTAAAATAGAGGCAGATCATTCCGTTTAAGTCAGACGCTCTTCGAAATGTTTTATGGAGTAGCCCCAGTACCCGAAACTCCGCAAATGAAATTAGAGTTAAGACGTCCGCGTGAGTAATTGTGGGCAGGGGGTGGAGGTAGTGGAGGACACAGAACATTTGTGATGCCGGCCAGGCGCGACGGAACCGGGACTGTCGTGTGAGCCCCACCTTGCCCGCGGAGAGACCTTGACAACCCACCTGACCAACAACGACAACGGGTAAAATGGAGAAAGTCTGGCATGAGACCTCAGTCCCAAAGAAGCTCTCTCCATCCGAGACATACTATGACCTTGGGCCCTACAATCGACGCGTCAGCACCGCCAACCCCGATGCCCAGGCCTGGTTCGATCGTGGTCTCATTTGGGCATACGCCTTCAACCACCAGGAGTCTGCACGATGTTTCGAACAATGCGTGATCTTCGATCCGACTTGCGCTATGGGATATTGGGGCATTGCCTTTGCACTGGGTCCTAATTACAACAAGCCATGGAAATTATTCGATGGAGAAGATCTATCGACGACCACCACACGGGCTCACGCAGCCGCCTGGGAAGCAAGGAACCAGGCAGGGGCCGCATCACCTGTCGAGAGGGCCCTTGTCGAGGCGTTACAGCACCGGTATCCCCAAGAGGAACCCCTGGGGGACTGTACCGACTGGAATAAGCAGTATGCCACGGCCATGGAATCGGTATACAACGCCTTTCCCGAGGACCTAGATGTCATTACGCTATACGTCGATGCTTTGATGAACCTCGCCCCATGGACCTTGTGGGACTTGAAAACTGGGCAACCAACTCCGGGTGCTCCGACCCTCAAGGTGAAGAAAGTACTGGACCGCGCCTTGGCCGGCGATAATGCCCTGGGACATCCCGGTCTCTTGCACTTGTACATTCACTTGATGGAGATGTCTCCCACACCAGAGATTGCGCTTCCAATCGCGGATAATTTGCGAGGATTGGTACCTGACGCCGGCCATCTTGAGCATATGGCAACTCACCTGGATATACTTTGCGGCGACTACCGTCGAGCAGTGGCATCAAATACGTCCGCGATCCGCGCCGACGAGAAGTTCCTTGCCAACCAGTCACTGGGACATTTTTATAATCTCTACCGGGCTCATGACTATCATTTCCGCATGTATGCAGCTATGCTAGGAGGCCAGTCCAAAATAGCCATCGAAACAGCCACTGTGCTCGCAGAATCGCTCACAGAAGACCTTCTCCGAGTTCAATCTCCACCCTTGGCAGATTGGCTCGAGGGATTCGTGTCTACACGAGTGCATGCTTTAATTCGATTCGGTCGTTGGGAGGAAATTCTCAGCCTGGGCCTACCAACTAACCAAGTCATCTACTGCAGCACGACTACCATGACCCACTACGCCAGGGGCGTTGCTTTGGCTGCAATGGGCCGTACTGACGAAGCAAAGGAAGAGAGGGATCTTTTCAATTCCACAAAGAAGCTGGTTCCCGCATCTCGAACTATATTCAATAATACCTGCCTCGATATCATCTCTGTTGCTGCTGCAATGCTCGACGGGGAAATCGCTTACCGCTGCGGTGAATACGAGGAGGCATTTGCCTGTCTCCGCCTTGCAGTTGACCGAGATGATGATCTGCCTTACGATGAACCATGGGGCTGGATGCAACCCGCCCGACATGCGCTGGGAGCGTTGTTGCTAGAACAAAACAGAGTGGAGGAGGCCAGCAAGGTTTATTCTGCAGATCTTGGTATTGATGAGTCTCTCCCTCGCGCCTTGAGACACCCGAATAATGTCTGGGCCCTGCATGGTTATCACGAATGTCTAGTCAAACTTGGTAGAGCAGCCGAAGCGAGGACTATGAAACCTCAGTTAAGGCTCGCTTTGGCTATGGCTGATATACCGATTCAGGCATCATGTTTCTGTCGACGCGGCTAGAGAGATTTATCTTGAGCATTACATGATTCTTTTTATTTTGAATGCCTGATCGATTATTGATAGAGGCAACCAAATCTTCCTGAATATACCTGTGAATATCTAGACCCGCGACAGAATGATTTACTATCTAATATACTAGCCTACGACCACATGAAATGTGAAATAATTTCATATTACACACCCCGAGTCCCAATCTTTCAACAGCTACTAAATGAATCAAATCTCATGACGTATTATTGAGATTTTTTGGACTTTCCCATCATTCCGCCCCCCAGTGCCAAGCCCGATAAGCGCCAAGACAAACAACCATGGCGAAGTCAAGGAGAATGGGCGCCTAAGAACACCAAACAAGTTTAGTTCGAGACTCTAATTCTAAGATCTGCTGCCTTCGGAACTCTACACAAGATCAGCTCCAATCATGTAGAAAGGAGTTTTCGATATATTGGCGGGGAATCTTGCAAGACTCTTGGCCTCGCCACCCGCCCGGAGGCTGTGCTATCTATGGAAGAGGCAATGATGCACATTGTTGGGCTCTTTGTGGTTCAGCCCCCAAGATACCTAGATAACTGCTGAGCATACTGTTTATATAAGGTATTATCTTACCTTCCACTTCATATCTACCTCGTCTGATTAAATCGATTCGACATGTCAAGCTACTACGAAGAATTCTACACTGGTTGGCACCCAGACGCAGTACCTCGCCAGCGGAAGAAATGGCTCAATTTCCTTTCACTTCGTTTTGGCGCCATTTTCATCACGATTGCACCCATCGTATGCTTTGCTTGGGCATACACACAACATGAGGCCGGTGTTGTGGCCACTGATGGACTCGGTAGTGCATGGGCCGGGATAAACCTGGGAACCGTAAGCCTACGTGGAATGGTGTCATTGTATCTTCAAACAAACTACTAACATCTAGCCAACAATAGGCCGCATACGGTTTTGTCTGGTCCGCTTCGGTATTCCTCGTGGTGATCGTCTTCAATTGTGCTGTCCCTCCTGGAGTCACCATCTTCTTCGACTGCATTGCCTGGCTCGGGCAGCTCATCACCATTTGTTTCTATATGCAAGAACTAGCAGGCTGGCATGCGGGTGGCTACGGATATTCCAAGAATAATATACACGAAAATCTATACGGAGCGGAGGTCTTCGGGTGCTCAATGATGCTTCTTGGGATGTAAGTTGGGAACAATTTTGCCTCTCCTTTTGGTGGAATTTGGCTAATTTACAACCCGTTCTACAGTGTATTCAATATGATTTTGATGATCGTTGCCTCGAGAGCTTGTCATGTTCAACGAAAGGCTAAGAAGCAACTCACAAAGCCCGAACTTGATGTCTAGGCTTTGGCGATATCATAGTTCTGGAAAACCTCCAACCTCGGCTACGATCGGTATGGCTGGATAATTTAACACCACTTATTATCCCGTGCCAGTGAAGACGGATGACGAGATGAACTATACACTTTGCGCTAGGAGAAAGAAGCAACTTCTAATGTATAATAATCTAATCTTAATCTTTAATATCAAATCATTGACACTCGTTGACAACGGACAATACTCTCAATTTAATATTGGATCGCAATATACTAGGTCAGCGGAATGGCCACGCACTACCCTTCTTCAACGGGATGTGAAAACACAAAAAAAGATCCTGCGGTTTTGAAGGCAAGACAGAATTTGAGCAACAATAAGAGTCGGCAACAGTAGGTAAAGAAAAATCAGATGCATGCTCGTTGCTTGCTTCAGGTAATTTTTGACAGTATGTCGAGAGACGACATTTAGAAACGGCGTAAGTGCGATCGACTGGAAGTAGAAAGCCATTCCAATGTCATTTATCCGAACGGTACCAAGGAATCTTGATTCAGCGAGCTTTTTCATCGTCAATTCAGTAGACTTTCAATGCTAGGGCGAAGTGGACAAGCTCGTATTCCATCCACCAACTAAGAAACGGCAAGGCCGAGCCAAGGATCGAGGGGCCAAACTGAAACCCAAGGATCAACAATTAATACGAGCCATCGTGCTCTGTCTGGGCATTCTGGTTTGGACTTGGAGAGTAGTATGGGGCGATATCGGAAAATATGCGACAGATGAAGGGAAACTCTACCCTGCTATACAATCCATTCTGCAACCCTTTCAAAAGTATCCATGGATGAATGCAGCGTATGAGAGTTAATGATAGCCCTGGAGATCGCCGATCTAAACTCAATCAACCTCCACCCCGTGATGATCTCTATCTCCCAATGCTTTCAGGGCCGATGTTTCCTTGCAATTGTTGGTGCCTCTGCATAATATGTTGCTTTGGAGCCCCAATTCTTCTCGTATTTCCCCTCCGATCATGCTAATGTTACGAAGTATGAACCCCAAAGATCTACCCAAAGAGATAAAAGAGTCTTGGCCAAAAATTTATCAATATTTAAAGGCTAGAGATGGACCCAGGAATCAAATGGAACCGGAACACTCAGCTTTTCTCTCATTCGGCTCCTAACTCCCAATTCTCTCTCGTCATTCATGATGTCCTTCAAGCTTCTTGTCGCCGCCCTGCCTGCTCTGGCAATTGCCTGCACCGGGCCCCCAATCAATGACAATGGCTTGAATTTAATTAAAAGCTTCGAATCTTTCCAACCAAGCGTCTACGACGACGGTTTCGGCAACCCTACTATCGGCTACGGCCACCTCTGCGGAGACGCTTCATGCTCCGAAGTCGCAAACCAGCCTTTAACTGAAGAGTCTGCAAGCCAGCTCCTGGCCAGTGATCTGGTGGTGAGTCACTAATTCTCTTTCGTCTCAAACACCGACCCGGCGACTAATAAAGACACAGAGCTACCAAGATGGACTCACTAATGCCTTGGCGGATCCCGTCACCCTGAACGATAACCAGTATGCCGCATTGGTCTCCTGGACCTACAATATTGGAAACGGAAATATGGGCAACTCGGATCTTGTCTCGCGTATGAATGCCGGCGAGGATGTCGTTACTGTGGCTCACGATGAGCTGCCCCAGTGGAACAAGGCTAATGGTGAGGTCGTTGATGGACTGACTCGTCGTCGCAGCGAGGAACTGAATCTCTTCGATGCCCCTGCGAGTTTCGGTGCTTTGCCAGTTGCTTGCTAGCCTAATATTAGATTTGATCTTCCTTTGGCGATTTTTTGGTTCTATTTAGTGATGAAAGTGGCTAGGCAGAACAGATTTGTGTATATTTACTTCAGGTGACGGTGAGAATTAGCACTTCTTTATGCATGATTGAATTGACTGATATTCCCTTGAAAATTTTCTAGAGACACTACTAGTAGGTATGATATAGTAGTATGATAGCAGATTCTTCAATTTAGTACATAGTAAACTTCAAGTTGATATGCGGGTATGCCATTCCCTTTTTGTATCATCAGATCCATACTAGTAGCTTGAGGAACTGCCACTTGTCATCTTATAATTGAATAGGATTATTTTCGGGACAATTCGATCAAATAAACTCTGAGATTTTATCTCAGCTCGTGGTGCAGAGATTAAACAGCTGACATCAGGGCCGACTACAGCGAGAGTCAAATCTAGATACGCAATAAGAAAAAATTTCTATACAACCGTTCGCCAGTTTCCCAGAAGTCGCATGGTTGAGATTTCCTGCAAAGAGATTGTCCCTAGCTTCGGCAAAATTTCAGATTGAAGGTCTCTTTGGCACCTGAGGTTCTAGTTATGATGCAAAAATACCGGTTTTTTGGTGGATACATACGATCATTACTTGGCAGAAGGAATTATAATGAGTACTTGCATTAATGTTGTATTTTTTATTTGAACTAGGCATCAATAGATAATAGAAGACTCGTCAGCCATTCTGTACGATCGGAAAAATCACCTAGCTACTCGCCAGTCATAGTCATAGAAGCACACCGCCAGAGTTAATCTGTACCTCCGCCACGTCGTATGAGCAGCGCGCATTGGAATGTGATGAGTAGACGTGCAGGAAAATTTAGCCCGAATATGTGTTGTTCTTGAAATTACTCTACACTCGAATCAAAGAAAAAAAAAATCTAAAAAAAAAAAATTTAGATGTACTAGTATGGGGTACATAACCCGATCGCAGGTAAGCAGTTCGGGGGCCTTACCGGTTATGTCGGCGAAGAGAAGCCGGAAAGAGACAAATGAGCGAGCGTGAAGGATCGGCGCTGGCGCAACCTTGTCCAACGGTTTAAAATTGTCGGGTCTAACTCCTACGTGTGCCAGGCCGGGAAAGGCGGTACGGCACAAAAGCTTGTGCAGAAGCATGGGGTAAGTTGCGCCATGTCCGGTATTTCATGGCATCCCCCCTCACCTAATGTACCAAGCTGTTTTTCCCGACATGCCTTTGGCAGCGAGGATCAACGGGAAGTTGGCAGCGTTTGCAATCTGGGGGGGGGTCAAGCCATCACCAAGACTGGGCGAGTGGGACGATCTTTACCAGATCGGTGGCTGATCTACGAATTGAAACCTTTGCCAAGCACCCTGATGAGTTTGGGGGTGGAAGAGAGGGGGCCGATGGTGCGAAACTGGGCAGTATCCGAGAATCGATTGGTAAGACTGGTCTCTTGTTATTTTGAGTATGTGTCTGTGTGTGTGTGGTGTGGAAATGCACATCGGCTACGATCAACGATCTGCGAGTCCTGCGCGTGGGGATGTTTTGCTCACACTTGTCCCTCCAGTGGCTAATTGTGGATCGCACGTTGGCCATTGCTCAGCGGAGCCTCCAAGGCACGAGATAACCGAGCATGTGAAGACCCTAGGCAACTTTGCCGTTTTTTCCCTTCTTACATGATACAGAGATACATAGACTAAGTGGATGGTGTTAGCACAGGATGCAGAGTCTCCGCAACTCGGCCAAGTGTGCGTTTTTCATCTGCAGGCTCGCTCATCCACGCGAGGATCCCCCCCCCCCCCCCCCAATAATGTTAGGGACGGTCGAAGGGACTCGAGTCGCTCTGCATGCCCCAGGTCTGGTGCAAGGACGACCCCGCAGCAAACGGAGTAGGGAATGATCGACCGAGCTTGAGATAGCAGGTTTGATACAGATATGATTTAGACTTGAAGCTTTGAGGGTGCAAACGGGGGAACAAGCCGTGTCAGAATCACAATGCCGCGGGAATCCGCGTATTGTGGCTTTGCACAGCCTTAAGAGACCCTTTTTTGGGAATGCAAGACGGGAGGCAAATGGAGCTAAGGCGAGGTATAGCGCTGCAGTAGTGGAAAACTAAGGTGAAGGGGTAGCAATCAATCATGCGATGGTGGGCTGTAAAGGCATAGAGTACTAAGAGAGTAAAGAACAAAGTACAAAGTCTTGAGGAATGAGTAATGAGCAATGGGCAAAGTGGAAACGGCAAGGGTTTTCTATTTGGGGAACAGCCCTATTCATACGTACGTACAGCATACTAGTTACTAGACTATGGTGTATACAGTGTACAGCTCCATATTTTTAGAGATAGATACCTAGGTAGCTGGACACTCTATATAGTATAATTAAATATTATCTCATGATGCTTTAATTAACATTAATTTAGACCCTACTCCGTACTATAATCTAATACCAATACAGAATACCTTACTCCTGGTAAAGCGGCAGGCGGCCCCTGCCGCTTTCGCAATGATCGACGGCGTACCGTACGGTAAAGACGGATTCTGCTTTGGCTCAACTTCAAGGTCACTTTTCACTTTCACTTTTCCCCTTCTCGTATCATCTTTACCCTTCCTTTCTCTATCCCCCACCCCCCCACTCCCCTGCTTTCCTTTCCACTTTTCCTATCCTCTATATTCCTCTTCCTGTTCATTCCCTCATCACGACCCGGGTTAATTCCCTTTTCCCCCCCAAATTTCGTCCCTCCGCTCCCTGCCTGGTCCCGGTCCTTGGCCTCATCCCGCCAAGCTGACTCGGACCTGGGTTTCGGGCTCCCTCGTCCATGCCACGCTCATCTGCCGCTAGTAGGAAGAACCAGAGCAATCGGCACGACAATGGCCTCGTCGGTCCCGGCAAGAAAGTGACCAAGCAGAAATCCTCCGGCCATCTGAACGGCTCGCCCAGTAACGGCTCTGCCCCCGGCTCGGCCACCGTTCCCATCGACCTGTCCGCCACACGTTCGACCAGTGATACCGCGATCACCTCGCCAACACTCGTGACAACAGGGCCGGATGATACCAAGCCAGATGGCAATGTGCGTGGAATGTTAAACGGACACAGCAAAGGTGGGGATATGGATTGCAGTCAGACAAACGGTGCCTCGTCGCAAAACGGCGGCATCGCCGGCTCGGCTTCTCGCAATGGCGTCTCCAAACGATCTGGTTCCAGCTCGTCAATCAATCCCCTTCAGTTCGCATCCAC